GGGGGGGGGTGGGTTGGGTGAAATAAATAGAAAAAAAAAAAAAAAAAAATAGAAATTAAAAAAAAAAAAAAAAAAAAAAAAAAAAAAAAAAAAAAAAAAAAAAAAGATAAGGTAGATCACATCACTAACTCGACTCGTGTTGCTGCAGGTTATGACGAAGGTGGCTACAGTGCCAGTGTGAAGTTGGACTCCTTTCAAACCGACTTCAATCTGCTGTCATCCAACTGGACCAATGATCCAACGGGGTTGACCAACCGTAAGGCCAATATTACCTCCTTCAATGTCCTGGGGGCGGCCTTCGGCGCCTTGTTTGCTCTAGACTTGAACGACCGTCTCGGGCGCCTGCAGTCCTGGCGCTTGTCTTGCCTGGTGTGGGCCTCTGGCATGTTCATCCAGGTCTTCTCTTCAGGCATATATGGGCTGTTGTTATTTGCGAGAATATGGAGCGGGCTAGGCGCCGGAGCCCTGACGGTTACCACGCCGTTGTATCTATCGGAGATTGGTGCGTTCTAGCCACCGCAGTTTCAAACTTGATTTGCTGACTTGTGTTTCTAGCACCGGCCAGGACCAGGGGGTTGGTAGTTAGCGTATACATGGTCATTTTGTTGGCCATTTTATCCGTTGGTATGGCGTCCCTTTGCTTTTCTGTTTTATCTTTTTTATTTCCGACCCTTGCCACATCCTCAACTCACCTCACCTCTCACCTACCATCTCTGCAAACCACTACTGTTTGATTTCCAACAGAACTAACCCTCTCTCCTTACAGGATTCTTTGTTAACTATGGCGCAAGCCAACATATGGCACCCACCCGGACTCAATACCGCTTGGTGCAAGCTATCCCCTTAATTCCCGTCGGCCTCGCCTTTTTCGCATCCTACATTGTTCCAGAAACACCCCGCTACCTCGTCTCGAAACAACGCCACGGAGAGGGACGAGCTGTCCTCGCTCGTCTCCGCGGCAAGGACGTCTCCGATCCAGAAATCGAAGATGAATTCAATGCCATCGACGCGCAGGTGCGCACCAAGGCCTCAGACCTGGCATCCGTCTCGCACTGGACCGCCTTCAAGGAAACCCAACTCAACCCCAACTATCGCCAGCGCTTCTGGCTCCTCATGGCGATGCAGACCATCGCTCAATGGACCGGCGGCAATGGCATCACCTACTACGTCTCCAATATTTTCGAGTATGCCGGCGTGACGGGCAGCGGCACCTCGCTGATCTCCTCGGGCGCCTACGGCATCGTCAAACTCGTCTTCACCATGGCCTTCACCTGGGGCCTGATCGATATTCTGGGTCGCCGCCGCTGCGCGCTCACGGGGCTGTTTCTCCAACTCGCCGCCCACATCTACATGGGTATTTACATGGGCTTGCAGCCGGGATCCAGCAACAACAAATCCGCCTCCGACGCCGCCATCGCCTCCGTCTTCGTCTACGCCGTCGGCTGGTCCGTCGGCCTCTGCACTATTCCCTACCTCTACGGCACAGAGATATTCCCCACCCGCACCCGCAACGTCAGCTACGCCCTCAGCATGTCCCTGCACTGGTTCTTCCAGTTCGCCGTGGTGCGTGTCACGCCCAACATGTTCGACTCGCTGCACGTCTGGGGCGCCTATCTCTTCTGGGCCATCATCTGTACCCTGGGCCTGATCATCCTCGGCGTCTGGATGCCCGAAACGAAGGGCGTCCCCATCGAGTGTATGGGTGACCTCTTCGATGGGCCGTGGTATCTTCGTTGGAAGGCTCGGGCCTATCTCGACTCTTCTCCCGTTTCGTCTTCCCACTCGACTGGGGTGCACTCCGAATTCGAGACGCATTTTGATACCAAACCGGCGGATACGCAGAAGACGGCATATCAGTCTTGAAAAAGTTACGCTATTTCGTGAACATACTTCGCACTTACACCTCTACTTATTTACGGGGTATATATTAATAATGTACATTGGTCTTTAGGGGAAAGGTTTTTCAGGGTTTGGCTTTCCGGAATATACCCGATTTCATACAGGATGTGTAGTCTGTTTTTGCATGTGGATTCTTTTTTACATGGGTTAAGATTATGTAGATGCTATATCACATATATATAGATTTATTATAGCTGTTCCAAACAATCAAGATTTTTTGGAGTGTTTCATCCAGAAATATCACGCTCGCCGATTAGATATTGTGACCCATGAACTACGTTGGGAGAAGCCCCGACCGAGACTTCATGCTAATCTAGTATCGAATGCGGGCGTCATATTTGTCGAGATGGGCTCTGCATATGAAAAGGCCTCGAAAACTTCCGGAGTAATCTCGTACGAGCCAGGATTGTCGAGCGTCATGACTGCATTCGGAATTCCACCCAAAACGTGCGTCGTGGCCATCGCGGGGACGCTGGTCTGCGACAGCTCAAAGTCCGTGACCGGCTGTTGGAACGCATACCCAGAAAGCATAGATGCGGAGCTCACGCCTGCGGTTGTGACGGAGGACCCCATAGTAGGCTCGGCAGATTGCTGCTGTAGAGGAGAGACGTGACGGGAGGTATTGTGAAGACCCATGGGCTGTTGTTGTTGCGGGTGGTGAAGGGAAGGAGAGTGGCTGTGGCGGGATGGGGGATGGGACTGGGGCTGATTCTGATGCTGAGCTTGGGGTTGTTCATGTTGGGGGGGAGGGACGCCGACGTGGATGTCGATTTGAAGCTTCTGAAGCTCTTGGTATACTAGGCTGAGGGCTGTCGTGATTACTGTGCACGCACCGACGCTAGTGATTAGCAGCGATCTCACAATTGGCAGAACAGAGGGCAAAACATACCAGGATTAGAGGCCTTAACTCGCTCCAGAGCGAATATGCAGAATTTGATTTTTTCCAGAGTTCCCGGTGCAGCATATTTCAAAGCTTGGATCTCAAGGAGGAAGATAGACGCGGCAGTATATACGCTGTAAGAAAGAGAGAGAACAACATGGCTGTCCCCAAAGGTGCGACGGTAAAGGTCAAACAAAGAGAGAATGGAAGTTGCAGACGTAATGCACTGAACCAGATGACTCTTGTCGTACGATTCCCGATTTGTCTTTGAACAGAGAATCGGGCGATGCAGCAAGATGTTGATGGTATGATACAAGCAACTGCAGGGAGAGACATGTTGGTCAGTACTCAACGAAACATGGGGGAAAGGGGGGAAGGGGGGAAGGGGGATAAATGTACTTCAGAATCACTATATGACTAGGGGGGGAGTACGGAGGAAGTTCCGTGGGTACTAGCTTCAGATAGCTCGGTAACTCCTCCCACCATTCAGCCAGGTTCCTTGCTTGGTCCTGAACACAGTTATAGAATTCCGCTTCCGAGACCTGCCGGATGGGATCATAGATGTGAATTAGGATCTGATTCAAAATCTCTGCCAGTCCACACATCCGCATGAAGCAGGAAGTGGAGTGCGCCTGAGTCGGCGGATAGTGTGCACCATCCGGGAATACCACTCCATGAGGAGTCCAGATCTCAATCTCGGAGGTGTCATCCAGTATCGTTCTGGGCGGACTAACGCGCGACTGTTGCATCACAGGCGAACGACCGAAATATAGCGAAACCATTTTGTCCCAGAAATAGCAACTCCAGAAAAGTCGATTGCGAACCTCAATATCCTCATCGGTCAGATGCGCCGAATCGGAATATTTTCGGCTGTCGATCGATATCCCCAAGTCGTCGAGCATTCGAAAAGCCATGCCACTGTATAGCCAGGCCTGAGACCGGTTTCCGCGCCCACACTCCTGTGCACTGAGAAGAAGCAACGTCTGGATGGTCGGGATCCCCACGTGGCCAACTTTGAGCGAGTCGTATAGACCTGATACTGCGCGATGTGAGAATTGGGCGCCGCCATCGAACGATTCTAGTATAGGTCCAATCCTAGGTTCAGCCTTGCACCACCGCACGGAATGGGAGAGGACCGCGTTAAGCAAAGCGTCTGAATAGTATGGGCCGTTGATTTTCATATCGCCTGATTGTCAGGTTAGCCTGTCTCCCCGAGACGGTAGCCAAAAACCAAATACTAACGAGTAAACGTTGGTCGGTAGACAAAGTTGAAAAGCGGCTGGATCCAACACCAGTGTGAATCAAGAAGATACTGAAATGGTTCCTGTTCCCAAGTGAGAAGATGGACTCCCCGTGGGATGAGCCCCAAAGCCGAAGACTTACCGGCATCGTAGCCATCTGCTCGAAAGCCCTCTCTCGCCACGCATTGTTGATAAGCCTCTCTTTTCGGCCATCTAACTGCAGGGTAGGGTTCGAGGGAGATGTGGCCTCGTTCAGCGCACCACTTGGCAGTTGGAACAGACTGGTCGGTCCATGGAAGGAAACTCGGCCGTCATGTTCAACATTCAACCCTTCGAAATCCCTAGCCAGGTCACCGGTATTTTCATCCTCCTCCTTGATGCGTGTCCGTATACCCGGACTTGCGCTACTCTCCCCCGTCGAAGCAGGGGAACTTCCTTTTCGAGCCTCGACCTCGTTAGCTTGGCCCCGGAGCTTGGAAAGAGCATCCTCTAGCTGAGCCACCCGAGTCTCTAGTTGCTTGGTATAAGATAAAGTTGGGGCTCTAAGATCGAATCGACAGGGTTAGCGATCGACGAGAGAACCATGCAGGGAAGCGGGAGCATCGGCAACGGGCCAAGAGCGCGTGACAGCCGATGGGGACTGGGTCGAGAAGCTTAGACTCACAAGCTATAGACGCACACCTCGCCGCGCGCAGCGCATCGCGAGCATGACGGACTGGCGCCGTTGCATTTCACCTATCACAAGCAAATGTCAGTAGGCGAGCATATAAGCGAAGGAGGAACCTTCTTGGGAATAAGCTCGGAAATCATCCGAGTAGGCGACCAGGGGAAACCCACTTTGCGCTTGCGGCAGGCCTCACAAGAGAAGGCACTTTTCCGAGGCAAAGGCGTCTTCAATGGCACCTCAGCCATGCCAGAAGAGCTAGATTCTACCACCATTAAATTGGGAAGACGAGCAGGACGGATCAGAAATCATGGCATCCGGCCTAAGATAAAAATTTCACGTTCACCCGGGGACTGAGGGAGAAAAAGGGAAAGAGAGGGAGAAGAGAGAGGGGGGACCCAAAGGAAGAGGGAAGCGTGAGTGGGGGGGAGGGGAGTGACCGGAAGTTGGGATTTACTTTGGGGACTTGGAGTTGGGACCAGCCAACGAAGACGCAGTATTTTATTTTTCCTTCCAGAAGGAATTCGGGCGAGAGAGGGAGAGAATCGTGGGGCACAGTAGGTGTACACCGGAGGAATGCAATGCAATAATAATTAATTGCATTCTGACTGTAAGAAGAAGCTTTCGTGCAAAATTTGGAAGTTGCGAGCGAAAGCAGAAAGTGCATGACGAACGATACTTCGGGCAACTTAGACGACCTCCCGCCAATCAGCGAGCCCCGTGACCGCTGACTCAGGCACCCGGTCTCGTGACGGTGGCGACTAGACTCCCGGCTCTTAAGCTTAAAGGTCGAATGATAAACCCAGGCGTTGATCCCGGTGGAGTCCCCGGGACCTTAATTCTCTTCACCCTAGGGTGAGATCGGAGGAGTTGGATGTTCTGGTTTTTTTTTTTTTTTTTTAGTTCAATGTAAATTGTAGTAGTCGGCATCCCGGCCACTGGGTTGACATCATCGTCGGCCAAGTTGAAAAAAGCCGAAAGGGAGTTCTAGACAACTGCCGTGATCAGCATGACTCAACGTCAGCGTTTCATAATCTTTACTACTAACTAGTAACTAACTATTTTAGTTATACGATGGGAGACTGGGTGTACCCCGAGAGAGGGTCATCTGGATCGCGTGCCCTGCAATACATATATCTTATGCTGTACGACGAAGTACTCCGCACGGAGCACTGTTACGCTAATATTGAGCAATCCACCAGAGAACCTTAAAATATAAGATCATAAAATAATAAACCACAATACATAATATCAACACATGATAAAAAAGTACTCCGTACTCCATAAACCCAAGAATGGTTGCCTGAGGCGATCGTCGCGGAGCCGTGGGCTGATGGCGGCCCGTCCGGGAATCGCGCTGTCAGCTCATCGATGAGAAAACATTTCATCCACCATCAATGCATCAGACAATTTATCCGTTATCGCCAATATTCCTTCAGCCCTTAGTTACAGAATACTCTCATGTTACTAATATCGTCCAAGCGTCCTGCACGAAGAATATCAATTCCTTTTACTCTCCGATAGGTAGGTGGGGTGAAGAAAGTCCACTCCGGCTCTACGAAGTACTTCAGGGTTCAAGATCGAGGTGGATTCCCTCATCTGTTGACCCGACCGACACCATGAATTTTCCCTTCCGTCAACACTGTAGTGTACTCGAATGCCGGCCCTTCTGCCCCCATCCCAGCCTCCCCCGTGCAGAGTGCAGACCGCGGGTTGATTGATCGGCTGAATTCAGCCAGCCTCGCAGGAACTAGCGGCTTCCATCTGGTGTTGGCGTGTCATTCTCCCCACCCCTCTCGGTCTGAGAGCTGCGGCTGAATCAAAAGCCCAAAATAAACTAATTGGAAGGAGGAAAAAATCCATTAAAACATTGGATGCACCCCGAGATACCCCCTCGTATTTTCCCTTCTCCTTTCCTCCACAATGGGTGTCTTACTACGACCTGACTGGAGCGCTCCTTATCATGGGCATCTAACAGCCTCTTTTCGTATGTAGCAGTCCAGGGTGAGAAGAAAGAACAAAAGAAAAGACAAGGAAACGGAAAACCCCCATTAGTGGCCGAAAAGACTAACAATTTATAAGACAAGACCTAGAGAAGTGATTTTTCTCGACTTTTCGATCAAAATAATTGACGCAGAGCTACTGTGACTATGGACCCCGTCAAGGCCACGCTTCGCGCGTTCTGCGTGGCCGCCCTGGGCACGATGGTCGAGGCGCGATCTGCGTTACCACTGTCGTCGACCGACCCCCAAGCAAACCTCAAGGAAGATACCGAAGTGACCTTCGATCCTCTCGGTGTCGCCGCTGTGCTCCATAACCCGCGTGCTAATAACAGCGCCGCCATGCTCTACACCCAGTCGGATCGCGGCATTTTCACGTGGCCGCATACCATGATGATTGGAGGTACTTTGCCAGCGATGAAAATGCTCGTCGACCACCTAGTGGAAGAAATGAAATCCATACATCCCGCGATCACCATGTGTACGCAAGTCACCACCATGTTAACGGTTCGCTCCGACATTTCTGGCTCCGTGTTTCGTGAACTCCCCCTGGATTCGAGCAACGCCTGGCTCAACCATGTGGTGTCTTTCAAGGCATCGGCCAAGCCAGGTAACGATTTTGCGGTGGTATGCGTCGACGGCATTCGCGAGGACGTGAGTGTGCGAAGGCAGAGGGTGAAGGACACTATAGGCCCCCTGCGCTGGTGGATCGCCACCTTGACATTGGATTTGATCAGTCTGGTCAACGGGCTCATGATGGCCACAGGATTGATCATGGGGGTGTTGGTTGCCGACATATGGGCCGCAGTCTTGTTCTTTCTGTACTGGTGTCACTGGCTTGGGACAATACTCATCTCGTTCCAAAGCATGGTTCAAAAGGACGAACCGCTCATTAATAAAGACGAGCGGCCAAGATATGCCATTTACCAGCGAAAGGAAGGCGGGACAGTAATTTTCAAGGGTCGACAGGACCAACTCGAAGTTTGGGCTCGGTCGACGTGGGAGTATAGGCCGGACTTCTGGAAGAATTGCCTGCATTGGATATGGATAATGACGGGTACTTTGTCCGCATTTTGTTCTGTGGCCTGTATGGTGAATATGCGCAGCTATATGCAATTGGCCTTTCTGGGGGTCCTGGTCTACGCCTCTCTTGCTGAGATCCTAGCCATCCGAATTTCGCGCAGCTTGCAAAAGAAGGCAAAAGGCGACGATATCCATGAGGCTTACGTTTTAACAAAAAATAAAACTAGATCCGTGGCCATCATCCGGGCGACATTAGAGATAAAGCGCACTTGTCGGTTGGAAGGATTGAACTGGATAGACCTCAATCTCCTTCCACCAATGTTTGTGTTTGAAGAAATGCAGAGAGTGCTCAAGGATATTGGTTCGATGCAGATAGAATGGGAGGACGCCGAGTTGGCGTGGGATTCACGCATTGCCAAAGCGCGGGAAAGGTTGGGCGTGTTCGTCGCGCAGGTGAAAAAGAGGGACGAAGGGGTGTCGGACGACCAAAAACAAGGTGACCTCGCCAAAAGAATTCAGACTGAAATAGAAACAGCGCTGAAGACTTCATGGGAGAACACCACCACCAATGTCCATAAGCCAGATTCGAAGTTTCGCGGTGCCTAGTTGGGCATCGGTTACAATGAACGACATTTCTAGGCAAATACCCAGATCAGATATGTATTAATAAATCATACGACACTTTCTTCAATTCTCTTGAGGATCATTCTGTGAAGTAAAATTAAGCGGTTATAACTTAGAGGTCCACGATTCGAACCAGTCCAGTTCAGTCCTTCCTGGCGCCGAGCGCTATTATGCAATGAAATGTCACTTGTTGACCTTCTAGACCTAGTGTGCCGAGAGCGAATTTTCTCCGGGGCCTTAATCCTGACACATTCGCTTTTCGCGACAGGATCTGTAATGCGCAGCCGGGATGCAAATGGTGTGGCTCTTTCAAGACATTCTAAGGTGGATCTATAGTTGGCGTCGTCAAAAAGGTACCCCGCGAGTTCAGGAAAAGCAATATCCAAGGACACAGCGCAAATAACGATCAGGCATAGCCAGAACGGGTTCCGGGATTGGCGGCCATGGAAGAACAGATCGGTGTAAAGCGTCTTGACCAAAGCCAGAGTTGGACGGGGTATCATCAAAGCATCCAAGCGATCATCAGCCCAATTGATAGCGCAGTCTGGAGTACTGGCCCTATCTGCAGCCCTCTTTTCCGTTTCATGGGATAGCAGTCTGATAGCGATCGTGTAGCTTCCAGGGTAGATTTTCTCGGCGATGGTCGCAAATTTGCTGACCAAGATCACTGTTTCAGCAGCGCAGCAGCATATCTCAAGTACACACCACGGCTGACGGAGAACCATAAGCAGTGATTCTACAGTACCATTCTGCCCAAGGATGCAGTGATGTTTAGAAGCTGCCGCATTGACCAAGAACCATGGCGGGTGGTCAAGAGGATGTGGTTTGCCCGGTGCGCCGGGGTTATGTTTTGAATACGGCAACGACGAAAACTTCCCCGGAGCAACGTCCGCCAGATTGATCCAGACTGGTAGCAGCTCTGTTACTGCCGAGGCTGCTTCGGCGAGTTCAGCATCAAGTATGAAGCCGTCTTGATGGAGTTTGCAACCTGAAGAGAGTGCAGCGATCGAATGTATGGCGAACGAGTCGCCCAGGCCGACACCGCCGCCGAGATCGTAGCAGGCGCATATTCGACCAAGTGCAGAATATTTGCTGTCTATGCCGCTGGCGCTGACATTTGCCAGAGGCTCCCAATCTGGCGCACGGGAGTCGGGCATGATCTATGTTTGAGGGTTGAAGACTCCCGAGACTCTCTCTTCACCTGGAATAGAACAAAGCGACAGACAACATTTCACGTTGTGGAGCCATGAGAGAGCAGCGTTTTTTGACTCATTATTCGAGGGGCTTGTCGGATGGCGAATATTACTGAAGAGGTCTCCTGCTCAGCCACGGAGTTCGCTGGAGGCAGCAGATGACTGCTTAGCCTGCCTGCGGCATGGTCAGGTGATCCTCCACATGATTCACCATAAGCGGTCAGGTATGGGGCGATTCTGCCGCGCGAGTATGTACAGAATAATTCTAGTATAGATGTATGTGTTGTACATTATGATACAGTTATCACAGCTCCATCAAATCTCATACAAATCGCTTCTCCATTTCCCTCAGGAGATCATGCACCGCATCAACCTTCAGCGGAACCGCTCTCGGATTCTTCAACGCCTTTTCTCCCAATCGGTTCGTAACCAATTCCTGCAGCTTCTGCGCATTTCCTTCTGGCTTGCTCTGCATCTGTCCGGTCAAATCCATCGTAATCCGGGACTCAGCCACATCCTTTGACCCCATAATGAAGATCAAGTTATACTTCATCTGCTTTGCGCGTTGGATCTTTTTCCCAAGCGTCTGACTGCCTGCGTCAACATCAATCAAAAACGTCGAGTCAACAGAGGATAGAGGTTGCGGTTGCGCAACACCACTCTGGCCATGCTCATCCTGGAGGAGACGGAATCCCGAGATCTGAGCCGCCGCCTGGTGCGCCTGATGCACAACGTTTTCATCCTGGTTGACGGTAAGAATGATACCTTGGCGTGGCGAGAGCCAGAACGGCCACCGACCCGCATACTGCTCGATCAGCAACGCGAGGAATCGCTCCAACGATCCAAAGTTTGCGCGATGGATCATGACCGGGACCGCCCGTCCGGGTGTGGCGGGGTTGTAGTCCTCTTCTCCTTCGGCGACCTGATACTCCAGTTCAAACCGTTGCGGCAGGTTCATATCCAACTGGATCGTAGACAGCTGGTGATACTTGCCGGCCTGGTCCTGTAGCTGTATGTCAATCTTGGGGCCATAGAATGCCCCATCACCTTCGTTCAGCGTCCACTCCCGTCCACTGTTGTCCAGCGCCTCGCGCAGCTGTCCTTCAGCACTGTCCCACAACTCCAGACTCCCTATGAAATCCTTTTCCGGCCGAGTCGACAAAACCAGTCGATACGGCCCCAGCCCAAAAGTATTCATCACCAGATCCACAAACCCCAACGCCTTTCCGATCTCGCCCTTGATCTGCTGCGGCCGGCAAAAAATATGCCCGTCGTCCTGGTGAAAACGTCGCACGCGGGTCAGCCCGCTCAAGGAACCCGAAACCTCGTTCCGGTGCAAGGGGCTGAAATCCGCATATCGAATAGGAAGTTCTCGGTAGGAGTGGGTTTGCGATTTGAAGAGGAGACAGTGGCCGGGACAATTCATCGGTTTCAGCCCGTAGGACTCGTTCTCGCCGGTAGGGTCGTCGGCGTCGGCGTCGGCGTCGGCACCGCGCCCGCGCACTTCGTACATGTCATCCTTGTAGTTCTGCCAATGGCCCGAGACTTCCCACAGGGAGCGCTTGTAGATGGTGGGGGTGAGGACTTCGCGGAAGCCGTATTGGAGATATTGCGTGCGGAGGAAAGAGATGAGTTTGTTGATGATATGGGCACCATTAGGGAGGAAGAGTGGCGAGCCGGGACTGTAGAGGGAGGTAGTGAAGAGGTCTTGGGAAGTCCCGAGAGCGCGATAGTCCGGATTGGTTGTGGTGGATTGGGAGGACGAGGGGGGGGGGTTAGACGGAGCTTGCGGATCGAAGCAGGAACATCGTCGCAACGCGGTGGACGATAGCCAGTGTCGGGGCGGAGGCCGCGAGGGATAAATCCTGGTGCATAAAGATGGTCGAAAGAAATTCGCCGGGCGGCAGAGGGGATATAATCGTCGCATGGTCCAGGGCTGAAATATGAAGAAACACAACTAGTAGTTGCTTTCCCATGTTGATGGGATTTGATGCGTGACGCGGAGGCTAATCGGCCCGACGTATAGGTACCTTCTGTCTACTTCTAGACATGGTTGATTGTTTTACTCTTTCTTTTGTTCTTTATTATCCCCAGCACGCATCAGAAGATAATTAAAAAAAGAATTGCTAAAACAAGACTAGTGAGTAAAATGGCTTAAGTGACCCGAATCTCGCTTTGCATGGAACTACTTGCTACAGGCAGCTCCTATTCAAAATATATCCAAGCTCCGCATATTCGAGAGAACCGCAATATTACGCCTTTCCTGCCCAGTGTACTCTCGGTTCTGAATATAGCGCTTCTTTGAACAATCCCTTGGACAGATTTACTGAAAATTAGGGACAAGGGCGTTTGGCATTCTTGAAACTGGCCCAGAGAGGTGGGGTGAAGGAGAGATAGGGGAAGATACAGGGAACGGTGGCAAGTTGTGAGTGAAAGAGGATGTGAAAGAGGTTCTAGGCAGCTCTTCAAATGAGCGTTGACTTTCAAATTCACACCCAAGCAGCAGTACGTCGGCAGACTCGATAGTAAATACCCGAGGCTTTTGTTTGTCGCCCGGTAATAGCCATGGAATCACTTCTTCAATCCACTGTCCTGAGAAGGCTTGTTGCTAGATTGAATGCGACCAGTTTCATGTAGATCATCCCCGTCCGCAGTTAATCCCCAGTTTCTTGGTTGTCATGCGGATGCACCCTTCCTGGTGTCCTTCGCATGTCGGGGGCCGTTTCTTGGTGAATGTAGTGTAAATTCACTGTATACCCTACGTGCCTACCATCCCAGGCCATTCACAAAACATGGAGGGGGTTCCGAGGTGGGTAAGTGGGTGAATTTCTCCAAGTAAACCCTGGTCTATAAAAGCCCAGCTTTCTTCTTCTGTCGCCCTCTTTCTTTCTCTTTCTCTTTCCACCCACACACCTCTTTCATCTCCTTTGTTCTGTGGGTTCAACTCATTCTGCCTAGCGAAAAAAAATTGCCCAATGGGTGTCCAGTAACTCCATCTCCTATTCTTGCTCGGATGAGTCTTTATACCGGACCACTTACTCCATGCAAAATAAAAGGCTCCGCACACATTATACGCCGTACGATCCAAATGATCCGTCTAACCCTGTGATTTTCTCATGGCACGGTGGAGCTCTCGATCTCAGTTTGGCCAGTGATAAAGACCCCGTTCAGTCCATAATTCGTGGATTCAAAAAGATGCTCGGTTTCTTCCGCACCTTCAGAGCAGTCGAGTTGAACGGGGTCCATTACCTCAGTCCCGAATGGATCCGTGTTACGAGACTCAAGGATTTCCCCCTTCTCAGGGAGCTCAGGATTATCCATTGTTTTCCATTTGTGTTAGATGAATTTGATGTCACGACGGAGTACCATCACAGCATTCTTGACTTGTCAGTTGGCGATGACACACATTTCACCATCGACTTCTATCCATATGATGCAAGGCTTGAATCAGATTGGAATCAGAACGGAGAATGTGCCTCCCGAAGCAATTTCGAAAAGATTTTCCCCTTTTTCCTGCGCAGCCACGCTTTCCTTCTGCGCAGAGGATATCTTCTAAATACTGCGCTCACCGAGATGATCCTACCATTTTCCAGCTTTTCCAACGCGCCCAAGGCCTTTCACTATTTGGACGCATGGGATCACACATCACGCCAAAAATTGATCTCCACAGCGATAGAGGAAGGTGCGAGAGAATTAGAAAATCCCCAAAACACATTCGCAATGGGAGCATCGACCCAAAACAATCTGATGTCGTCTATTGATCCATATGATTCTGACTTTGACGGCGAATCCGATACATCTGACGCAATTGAAATCGCATTATATGACAACTGCTACTCGCAAACAGTCTCAATCGTGGATGGCAAGCCAGCCAATCCAAAAATACCAGGAAACCGACACCGTCTTTTCACGTGTGACATGTGTGAAGGAAAATTCAGGGGATATTGCTTCCGTAAAGTCCACATACACGGAAACAAGAAGGACTTCAAGAAGCGTGGGGGTTGTGCGAGAGACGAAGTTTGGAGGTCCCATTGGGCTTAGCTTGAGAAAGAAGCCAACGCTGGCAAAATTCTGGAACGGCAATCCCGGTTCCTCCATAATGGGATTCATGCATGGCTCTCTGGGCGTGAGGTCGATCTAAGAACCAAGTATACCGAAGTGGTCCGGGACGTCGACGACTGTTCGGCTGCCAACGACTTTAATCACCGGACGACATTGACGTACGCTCAATCACCATCGATCAGGTCCATCCTGCAGCAATTGACCGGCAGAGACCCTCTCGAGGAGGTTGCCGAGGAAATCAAAATCACAACATTCAGTTCTTGTTCTCTAGGCAAACTTGCGATAGAAATTAGCCGGAAATACAACATGCTCGAAATATAGAATATGGGATAGAACTACAGGCTATCAGATACCTAGAGATTGTCTCAAATGCAGCCACGAGCAAGTCAATCAAGGGTTCGATTCTTGTATACGGCGGTGCTTATATAGATTGACACTACTGATTTAGTTCAGGACCCTACCGGAATAAGAAAAAATTTTCGATGTAAATTGGTCTTTATCAAACAGCGGTAACTAGGTGTAGTAAAAAGTAAGAGAGAGAAAAGCCACGGAAGTAGGCGACCCGGCTGTTCGCTAACCGTTACTGCAGTTCAGGCATTGGTGCGAGCCTTGGGGAAATCACAATTATTCACTCCGTGGTATTTATTTTATTTTACTATCCCAGTATATATGAGAATATCGACCTTAAAAGAAGCATTGCCGTGACATTAGATGACGCGCAAAACGGCTTCAGTCTGTTCTCTGTGTGTCCAACTCTCATTCCCCCCCCCCCCTTTTCTAGGACCCTTTTAGGTATTCCTTCAAGACCCAGAGTCCTCGGTACGAACGCCTTGATTTAACCATATACCTACTAGTAACAGGCAGGGCGAGTGTTTCAACTTTCAACATCAACGGGTTAAAGCCGGTTCTTCCCTGTCTTATGCAAGGGGAGCAAAGTGAGCACCACAAAGCGTTTGTTGATGTAACCATATGGGACGCCACAAATAGAAGAGAGAAAGAGAGAGCCGAGCTGACTGACTCGCCTCTCAGTTGCTGTTTTGAGCGACCATCTCCAGCAAATGATCAACCTTGAAAACATATCGTGCCCACCCTGGACCCTGAGGTCAGTCACAAACAGCCTTGCGTTCTAAGGAGTTGCATCTCTTGCGATGCCTTCCTTCTCGTATATCCCCACATCCAACCCTCCCTCATTGGCGCTTGCCCTCGGCTATGCACTCCGTGGACTCTGCACTAAAGAATACCCAAGGCTGAATACGATCGCGTGCCGGTGAAGAAGTGCAGATTTTCATCTCCAGGAACCAATACTATGCTTTGGATTCCCCGTTTGGCCTGGCCAGCTATCAGATGACTCACGATCTTTTGGCCCATTCAATCTAACCCGTACCCGACGGATTTCGTACCAATAGCCATCGCGGATTTGTTCTTCATCAGACATCAGGCCAAATGCTAGCCAGATGTGGGAAGCAGAGAGAGCCGCATGTTGCCCTGTGGTTGCAATCTAAGGATCCGAGGGTACCAGAATGATGCCCGATTTAACCCGTCGTGGGATTGGGGGGGCCAAAACTGGTTACGGGGCAAAGAAGAGTTTTTATAAAGAGATACCGCCAGCCTTAACATGTTTTCCCCTGGCGTCTTTTCTGTTGCTGAGATTGCTTGCGACCAACTGCGATCTCCTCGACCGCTAGCATTGCCATTCTTGTTCGCGACCAAAGCAACTCGACTCTACTACCTTCACAACTATGCGGTCCGTGTTTTTCTCCCTGCTGGCCGTGGCCCTGGCCACTGTCGTCTCTGCGGAGAGCACCACCGTCGAAATGTTCAACGCCGGAGAGGCAACGTTGAGCCTGACTAGCGTTCGCGCCAGTATTGTCGGTGTCAACGCAGACGCCACCACCTACGCCCTGGACTGCCAGGACGGCGCCCCGGTGACGGTATGCCCACTACACTCGCCAATTACCATAACCGAAGGCCCCTCGACATTCACCATGAGCGCCGTTTATTCGACCAAGACGGGCGGCGCGGACGCCAAAGTCACCATGGTGCAGGACTGCGACATCACCTCCTCGACGCAAGGCGCCTCTTGTTCGGTTTCCGTTGGCATGGAGCTCACCGTGCGCGGGCATTCGACTTCCACGGGTACCTCGTCCACCACCTCCTTCGCCTCCGACGACATCTACTATCAGCCCATGACGGTCACCGCGGGCGCGGAAAAACTGAATGCACCCAAGGCGACGGAAAATTCGGACGTCGCAGCGCGAAATGGCGGCGTGAGCGGTGCTGCTGCCGTCGCTCTTGCCGGAGCGGCACTGAAATTCTTTTATTAGACATCATCTACGATGCTGGAGCAGTCAACGATCTTCAGTTTAATACTTATATAATATGCCGTCTGCCTTTTCCAAACTGTGATGGATGCGGGATAATGCTTAATGATTTCACGCGTCTCAGTACCGATGCATTACTTTCTGACAATGTATGATTCTGCATAAATAGACATACTCCGAACAGTGCCCCGTATCCACTCGTGGTGAACCTCGGGATAAATCGAAGTTCTAGAATGATTACTCTTCATGGGTCTTAATTGGTAATTATTATTAGTTAACTATTGATGTGCCCATGATTGATGGTCAAATAGTTATAATTATTTTTGATTGTGTCGAAATCAACCGAGACTGGGATTGCCCGATTCGGCAGTGACCATCCGGTTCAAGCGTCCGGGTCTCCTTTAATTTTCCATACTCCGCGGACTCTTCTTTTCTTTCCGTCTCGCTGCCTATCTCTCTAGCCGATTCCGGACGCATCCTGATCGATTAATCCATGAAGATTTAAAAAGAAATACTGTTCTATATTCTAATGTACATGCCTAGAAACAAAAGATCTGTTCGCTCATCTTCGAAACCGCCCCGGGCGCCTTGAATCCCATTCCTACCAACGTCTTCTTACACGCATTGATCATGCCAGGCGGCCCACAGAGCATGATTTTGGTGCCCCCCGAAGGCTCTGGTAGTCGCTCACTTAGCACGGCCTGGTCCACATAGCCCGTTCCGTACTGCCAATTCTCGGGCGCCGTGTCTAGCATGTACCACAGTTTGAAATTCTTGGGATACTGGCGCGCAAACCGTTCCAGTTCTTCTCGAAGCAGGATGTCGCCCTCGGATCGATTAGCATAGATCAGGCTGATCTCCGTCGTGTCGCGCTCGTCCTCGCAGATGGCACGGATGAGCTGGTACATCGGCGTGATGCCCGTGCCGCCGGCGACCATCCCCAGCTTGGTACCGAGTCCTTTGCTGTAGCGCATAGCTCCCTTGGGTCCCCGGAATTCCACTTCGTCGCCCACCTGCAGGTTGGCAAGGTATCGGCCGCTGAGCAGTCCGTCGGGGTAGCATTTGATGACCAATTCGATGCGACCCTTGTCCAGGTTGTTGGACACGGGTGTGTAGGACCTCGTCACCGTAGTGCCGTCGATCTCGGCGCGGATGGCAACGTGCTGGCCGATTGGGAGTCCCAAGATCCTTCGAGCATCTGGCAATGCGAACACAAATCGGTACACATTGGGGGACAAGAGCTCCTTCTCAACCAAAGGCAGGCGCTGGTATTCTTTCGGATCGAGGAATCCCTTGACGGAGTGCGGGTCGACCCTGACCACCTTACGCGCTTTCTTGTGCAACGGGTAGCGAGTATATCCAGATTCGATCTTGAGGAATTTAGCGGCCTGCCGGGCGACGGCACTTCCAACCGCTGCGGAAATAGCGCTCGCCGTGAGGAACCCAATCGCGAAGCCTCCGCGCGGTAGTCGGAATCCGCTGAAGTATTGGGGCACACCATTGCCGATATGTCGTTTCAAATCCAGAGAGCCCAACGCTCCGCGATTATATGCGTAGATGAGGGATGCCACCGCACCCACAACACCGGTCACTGCACCAATCGAACCGCTCGAAGACTGTTTAGGAACTGGCACTGACTTCTGAGCAATAACACGAACTGCCTTTGGCGCAACATATTCTTTGGCGCCTTGAAGAGTGCCAATCAGATATTCCTCCATGATCTCCCGAGAGTCGTCGGAATGACCAACATCTTCAAAGGCTTCCGTGGCATCGGTGCCTGCAGTTTCAATGAGAACTTCAGCGCCACCAGGATGGTCTTGAAGATACTTCGTAATATCGTAAACTGGTTCTGCCTTAGCAACTGACCGGCATTGAACTTGACGGTTGATATGTTTCTCTTACCTTTCCCATGGACAACGATCCAGAGGTCGTCCTTGCGGTTATGCGATGCGACGTCTGCTACCGTGTACTGAGGCAACTGGGCCTCTGTGGAGCTCTCAGTTTTTGATCCCATTGTGCTGGAGATATGTGCCAATCGACTATCGATTCAAGAATCGCCAATCCCTTTAAAGGACAAAGAACAGAGGGCACAAGAGAACGGGAAAACGAAAACCACTTTTAAAAAAAGGAGAGCATTTGTGTTTTTATGCTAATGCAGAGACGGACTTATGCCTCATCGCTTTATCCTCCATCCCGGGTCTTTAGGCGCCATACTGCCGGCTCAAACCAGTGACACGCGAGATAAAAGTCAACCTGATACCCACAGTTGCTATTGCGACAAGTTACTGTTACAAGTTACAACTCATCTGGTATTGGCCCACCGGCGCTAGTTGGTCTTTTTTGATTTGTTTTAGAGCGATAATTCACTTTGTACCTCGGGATTTTGACAGACTTATCTCCTTTCAAACGTCCAAGCGGCCCGAACTGACAGGTCGGCACGGCACAGCCGTGATTAAATTCGAATTTTTACAGTGCTTGGATTCCGAGACACTGGCTTTGGTTCGCCAACATGGCTTCGGCCGTTAGCGGTGGGTCTCCGACGGCGATCTATTTCTTCTTTCTACGGTTTTATTTGGCGTATGGAGCAAAAAAACTTGTTAGCCTGGATTTGGAAGAGCCGAGGTTGACGACCTGACAATGCCGCTCTAACCATTTTATGCACGCCAGGGTCGAAACGAGCACAAACAGCTATCGTGATACAGAGTGGCGGTTATCGTCCTTTCTCACTAAAGATGTGGGCATTCCTCCGATGTGGGTTCGCGACGAGACCAGCTGGTTGCCCTGATTCGTGGACTATGGCACAAGGTCTCCCTGGAATAGCCACAGATGGCTCTTATAAATCTGCAGAGCTATCCTGTGTCCTCAGAGAGGTCGCTTCTATGCGATAAAATCCCATTCATTGTCCGTCATGCCATACCAACGTTTCTATCTGCTGGGGGAGCCCGTCGAGAGCGCAAGGGTAATCGAGCTCGACCCGGCGCTGAGTCGTGATGAACTACGAAACCTCATTGCTGCGCATTTTGCAATCGTTCAACCTGATGGTTGGTAACTATCCGACTTCCAATTACAAATCTGGTTATCATCTTTGTCTAACGTCATGAAACAATGCAGGCATTGGCTTCCAATCTCAAGACGCAATCTTATCTGACGTGGGAGAGCTTGTTGCTAGCGAAGATCCCATCAGCATCACGATAGATGGAAAGCCAGTGCGGGGGATCCCTGGTCCCTCGGGGCTGCCAATCATTGGGAATTTCTTTGAGATCTACCCCGATCATCTAGGAAACCACCAGCGCCTCTTCGAGCAATATGGCCCTATCTTCAAGACCACCAATATGGGCCGCACCATCTACCACACCAACGATCCAGAACTCTCTTCCATCATCTTCGCAGAGACCGACTTCTTCACAAAGAAGATTAATGAGGCTCACCCCCTCCGCTCCATTAAGAACACCGAAGCAGGCGTCTTCCTGGCGGACACGGACACCCCGGAATGGAGAGCTGCGCACAAATTCCTTCCTCCTGCTCTGGGCCCCAAGGCCGTACGTCACTATGCGCCAACTATGCAGGCGACTGTCGAAGATGCGTTCAAGGTCTTTGATCAGCTGGACGAGCAAGGCAAGGCCTGGAACGTCTACCAGTACATGCTCAAGCTGGGCTCCCAGGCCGTCGGGAAACTGGTTCTGGGTATTGACTTCAAACATTTCACCACCCCCGATGCGCCTCCCCACGAACTGATCTCCCTCATCGCCGAGTCGCTCACGCTCAACAAGAAGGTGACCGCTCGCGGCGATTGGTACGCCAAATTGCCCTTTGGGGATCCCAAGCGCCTGCATACCATCAAAGACCGCGTTTTTGTCATCATCGACGAGTCCATTCAGAATGCCAGTCGCGGTGGTGTCGAGGACCTTCCGTTACAGGATGCCGCATTGAAAGCCAGCAACATGATCGGTAGATCCCCAAATCTCCTATCTTTGGACCCTGACGAAAGCTAATAATTACTTTGTAGACTACGCCGTCCGTGCAACGGACAACAAGGGCGAAAAACTCCCTAAGACGAGTCTCATGCAGGCTCTACTCGTCGCCACAGGTGCCGGCTTCACAACCACCAGCTCTCTCCTGTCCTGGCTAATCTACAGCCTCGTCACCTATCCGGGCGTCCAGGAGCGCCTGCTCCAGGAATTCATCGACAACGACATCGACGAGAACACGCAGATCACCGCCGAGCTCACCGATCGTCTTCCCTTCATGGACAAGCTGATCAAGGAGACTCAACGCCGCCACAACCCCTCCTACCAGCCCGGCCGTACCGCCCGCGTTGACATGATCCTTCCGGGTGGCTACAAGCTGCCTGAGGAATCCGTCGTCATCGGCGCCCTCCACCACCTGCACAACAACCCGGACGTCTGGAGCAACCCCAACCGCTTTGACCCGGACCGCTGGGATACCGAGGAGGTCAAGAACCGGCATAAGAGCGCGTATATCCCGTTCGCGACGGGCCCGCGCATGTGCATCGGTTTCAACTTCGCTCTACAGGAGGTCAAGGTCTTCTTGCCGAAACTGGTATACCGGTATAAGTTCATCAAGGAGAATGATGGGCCCATCGAGTACGATCCCATGTTCCAGCTCATTCGGCCGAACAATCTGTATGTCCGCGCCGAGAGACGCGTCAAGTGGCCGCCTAAGACGGAGCCGGCGCCTACGGCTTCGCTATAAGCTTAAGGGGGCTTGGATTTTTCCTTAGGAGTTATGTATAATATAATTTTTTTTTTTTTTTCTAGTTTATACCAAGGTCCAAAATTGTTAGATAGATTTCGATTACTTTCCATTTGAACGACAGAACATTAGCCATCGCCCGATTTAAGATAGTTTTAAGATAGTACGCATGCCTACTTAATTACTATCCTTCTCGCAATAAGGAGACGAAAGGAAGAGGCGCTGCGGTTAATTTACAGCTACTGTTATATGGATCATCAAGCAAATGACCGTGCTTCACAGCTGGTGGGGCTGCTAACGAAGCTGACTGTAGCCAAATTGTATTCCAAAGTATTGGGCAGCGTCCAAATGCTGAACCCTCCAAGCAAATCCCATCTAAGATACAGAATTAGACCATGTATATAAAATTTCACAAAGCACAAAAAAGGTCTCCAAAATCCGAAGCAACATTCTATCCAGTACATTCCAATCCCGTCAGATATCCCAAGCATAAAAAGTAACATGAAGTCTAGGTCTTAGCTTCGCTTCCCTTAATTAAGTCGAAAAAAAAAAAAAAAAAAAAAGCTGAAAAGGCATCCTGCCTGTTAAGTCGTCCTCACCATCCCCGGAATTACCAAAGAAGCAAGCCCATCAGGGCAACCGTCGCTAACAGAGCAGACGGGAAGAGACTAGTCAGGGAAGGCGGAGAGAGAGACGAAGAGGAGTTCTCCTGACTACCATCAGTGGAGGTAGGATGTGAAGTCGAGGTGGTGGTAGGGCCCGATGTGGTCGAGGGAGTTGTAGAGTTCCCTGACTTATGTAGAGCCAGGCTGGAGGCGAGATCGGACACCAGCTTATTACCCATAGACCTCAGAGTACCAAAGTTGGTTATGTAGTTCTCGTTCATGGCGCTGCTGGACAGGACGGCATCTTTGCCGGTAAAGACGATATCTGTGACATATCGGTCAGTCATGACCCTAAATATCAGGGGAAGAGCCACTTACATGTGACATCCGGGTCTGAGTGACCCTTATTACCATCCAGATTATCATCTGGGAAACAGGTCCTGGCCATCAACCAGGACGCTTCACCCGTGACGAGGGGGGTGTCGCCGTTGGAATCTCCTAGGATTCCGTAGTACATTTTGCCGTTACAGATGACGGCGGCGACGTTGTTGCCGGGAAGGTGGTCCTTGTTAGCCACCATGAAATCGTCCGGGATAACAATAAAGGGGACATTGTAGGCCGATAAGGCGCCCCAGTTAGTTGTCGATAGGCCGTCGGGGTTACCCTTGCAGCGGTAGTCCATTCCATCGCAGTCGACATCCATGTCTGCGATCCACATATAGGCTGCACCCTATTTGAGACGATTAGTACAAGAAAGAGCTTATAGTAGATTGCTGATTAGTACTTAACTTTTTGAAGCCTGACCAGTCTTTGTAGATGGCCGATTTGGTCCCCTGATTATCTTGGCTCAGGGGATAAATTGCAGCTTGGACGTTCGTGTTGGCAGCCGCCGACTGAATCTTCGGGATTGGGATAGAAGAGTCGGCCGCGAAGTCGCTGGCCTTGGGGGTTCCTTTTGGGCTGCCGCGAGGTATTACGGCAGCAGAAGCATGGCTCAAGGCGCATGCCAACACGACGAGCGAAAGAGCTCCCATCTTGAATTTAGTATAAGATCTAGTCAAGATTCTAGAAGAACGAGGAAAAGGAAGTGATAGAAGATGATGAGCCTTTGTTAGGAAGGCTATAAATGGGAGGTAATGCTTTTAGTTCTGGCTTGCTGGTGCTTTCAGGGATTTATTCTCAAGGCATGGGTTCGATAGTCAGGGAGTTGTAGATAGGGAAGGGAGAGGAAGATGCGAAGGCCTACTGCCTAGCACTTATGTGAGTCACGAACCTACCTGAGCGGTCACAGTCATCGCCAACCGTGGGAAGGGTAGAGCAAGCCGATCATGATGAAGTCAAGCTGGTGAGGAAAAGGAAAAGGAACAGGAAAAGGGGGTGGTTAGGGTGACACAAGCCCCGTGACTCGACCGGGGGAAGACAAAGAAACCAACATATACAATTTCGATATCTACATCTCTCTCCCTCTCTCTCTTTCTCCCTCTCTCTCTCGTCATACCATCAGCAAGTAACTCCGGAGTATACTCTCTCCAGGGTCCGTCGGGGCTGGAGGCAATATTCGGTAGGTCCGCCCGAGATCCATGGATGCGCCAGACTTCCTCTCTTCTCGCTTCTCACAGCGGAGAAAGTTCCCGAATCCCCGAGTCCTCTGGACTCGTGGAATGACAGCGCCCGTGCGTAATCCCTTCGGTCGTATGTAGTTACTCAGTTCATACTCGGAAGGGCAGTTCAGCCCTACCGAGAAGGACCCGCAGATCTCGGAGATAAAATGCATCCCCGACTGCTTCTCTTTTCACTCTCCTCCACTCCCTTCTTTCTTTTCTTTTCTTTCTCTTTTCCCTCTTCTAATTCTTTTTCTTTTCTTTCTCTTTTCCCTCTTCTTCTTCTTCTTCTTCTCTTCTCATTATTTCACCCCCCCCTTTTTTCCCCCCTCCCTGGTATTTGACTGCTCTTATCCTACCTACACCGTTCATCCTCCCCACCAATTCACTTCCCGAGGGAGTCATCATCGGCATGTCTTCCGCCTCCAGTTCGCCAAGAACATGGCTGCCCAGGAAATTCCTAGAGGAGTTGGGCCTGTTGTCGGTATGGCAATCATCGTGCGACGTGAAACTGCTCTGTGCCCAGCGATTCGTGCGCCTGTTTGCATATGGCGGCTCTACGCTCGTCCTGGCCTCCTATCTTTCGGCCCTAGGTATCTCGGATGCCCGCATCGGTCTGTTCATGACCCTGACTCTGGTCGGAGACGTGGGCATCAGCTTCTTCCTCACTCTTTTTGCTGATGCAATGGGTCGGAAATCTGTTCTGATGCTGGGCTCGGCCCTCATGGTGGGCAGCGGAGTAATCTTTGCTCTATTTGAGGATTTCTGGATCCTCCTGGCTGCGGCGGTATTCGGGGTCATTAGTCCAAGGTAAGATCTCGCGGTCTTTCGACATGCATCGCAACACTACTATGTGGCCGTGTGTATTCTCAGCACTAATAATTCCGCAGCGGAAATGAAATTGGTCCCTTCCGGGCAGTGGAGGAATCCACCCTAGCTCACCTCACTCCTCATGAACTGCTAGGTGACATCTTCGCCTGGTATTCACTCATCGGCACGGCCGGCACGGCTCTCGGTATGATGGCCTGTGGATGGTCCATCAACATGCTGCAAGTCATTCGAGGCTGGGAGTTTGTTGTCACCTGTCGAATGATTTTCTTTGCCTATGCGTCTATTGGTGCGATCAAGTTCTTGCTAGCCGTCGCGTTAAGCAAAAAGGTCGAAGTCGAGAATAAGAAGAAACCAGCACAATCCTCTCCGACCCAGGGAGGCGGAGAAACGCAGCCTCTGCTGGGCGACAGGACGGCGACCCCCCCTCCTAAGGCGCCCCCAAAGAAATCCCTCTTCTCGTTCCTCGGAGACAGAGAGCTTCTGTCGCTGGTCGTGCGACTCTTCATCTTGTTCGGTCTAGACTCTTTCGCCTCGGGCCTGGCGTCGTTGTATGTTTTATTTCCCCCCCCAATTACGTTCCACGTCCATACATGTGCTACGTGACCAAATTGATCCGCGCGAAGCTAATTGGCTTTAGGTCCTGGATGACCTATTTCTTCAAACGCAAGTTTTCCCTTCCTGAGGGGACACTCGGTTCCGTCTTCTTCACCACCAGCATCATCGCCGCCGCGTCCATGCTAGTCGCCTCGTCGATCGCCAAGCGCATCGGCAATGTCAAGGTAAGATCGGGCGCTGTTCTATTTTGCATGCGATCACTCCTCGCCTGGCTTAGAATGAACACTAATAAATACAACCAACAGACTATGGTCTTTACCCATCTCCCGTCTGCCATCTGTCTAGCTCTTATCCCGGTCCCCAACATTCTTCCTCTCGCCCTTACCTTCTTGATTCTCCGCGCCTGCTCTCAGAATATGGATGTCGCCCCACGCTCGGCCTTCCTTGCCAAGGCGCTCCCGGCCGACAAACGCACCGCCATCATGGGATCTATTAACGTGGTCAAGACGTGCTGTCAGAGCCTGGGCCCATTGATTACGGGAATCTTGGCTAATCATGGCCTATTTGGCGTCTCGTTTACCATTGCTGGTGTGTTGAAATGCGTCTACGATCTGGGCATGTTGCTGAGCTTTGCGGGTCGGGAAAATGTGCAAAGGACAGCAGTGTCCTCCCCTGCGTGAGTTTAGGTAGAGGTGCTGGAGAGGTGAGTGGAGAATGCTCGCTTGGATCAATGGAGATGTATGTGTATGTTAGATGTGTTGAGTGCGTGACCGTGTGATTGTTGGTGGTGGATTTAGAGCACAGAGAGCTGAAAGGGTAAGCCATTCATAGATTGTGTTTTAGTATATATATAGCTGTATATAAGTAGTGACTAGGATGTACAATTCCAGCATGGGTGCTCACGGCTATGCTTCGGGTCTCCCTAGCTACCCCATTTCCAATAGACCAACAAACCTACCTGTCATACGACTTCCACCTCTAACATTATGTTCGGCGCTGCGGTGCTACCCCGAGGCATCGTATTGGTCAAGTTCCAGTAGAAGAAATCACTGGTTGTTCTTATTAGCTCACGACAACAACATCAAAACACACATATGTGCAGGGTCACATACTTGATGGTAGCATCACTTGCACTATATGACACTTGTGGTTCCGACACCACAGTTCCGGACACAGTGACTTTCAGCCCTGCGAGATCTCCCCAGCCAGTCACGTCTTTCTTCCGAGAGAAGGGAGATACCAGGAACTGGAACTGGGAGGAATCCGTTCCATAGGGATACGTGAGGTTCAGATACCCCGGACCAGCGACAGCGTCAACCGCTTGTTCGGTTGCATACAGCTAAGCAAGTGGAAGAATGTCAGCGAGTTTGGCCGATTGCTTTCTCGATTCTCCGAGCTTTTCTCTCTGTTTTTGGTGTGCGTGACTTACCACTATCCAGCCGATTCCAGCACCGGTGTCCCACTGAATGACCGCCGGATTGAATGTAGATGGGTTCTCCGCCGGCCCGCCGATAACGGTCTCGTTGAAGCTCTCGCAACCGATACTGATCTTCTCTCCTAGCCACGCATTGACACGCCGAGGGAAGGAGTCGTAGGGTATGGAGTAGGCGGACGTGCTCACCGAGTGTTCACCCGGAAAGACCCTTAGGGCATCGATGACTGAGGGAGGGACCAGGGAATTGTGGAAATTAGACAAGACGGCCACGAGCGGGGAGGTGGCAAAGTCCGCGTTGTGAGACATCATATAAACCTGGTCGACAGGTGGATTAGCATGTCATCGTTTCATATGCCTACGTTCCAGACATCGACAAGACGCGGTCTGATCGGAGGTGAGAGCTGGGAGGGGGTTCTACCTTGTCGATCACCGGAGATTCCTCCTTGCCCCCCAACGCCCAGATATGGGCAGACATGAGGCCGAAATATTTCTGCATGTCGAATCCGTACGAGCGGTCCCACGGCCCGGCGAGGTTCTTCAACTGCGCATGATACAATTGTCCGATCGTGGTCCAGGTGGCTTGGAGCATCTCTTTGCCTTTTTGCTTCATCACCGAGTCTTCGGCGGCATACTTGGCCCATGTTGTGAGTGCAATCAGGGACACGCCGGTGTATGTGGCGCTGTTGAATTCAGACAACGTGTCGGCTCGGTCAAAGAGAGAGATGATTTCGTTCGCGTAGGCCTCGCCCGCTTGGGTCATGTTGGCGTCGCCTAGTTTTTGGCCCGTCCAGCCACTGATCAAGGCTCGCATTAGTGACTAAAATGCAGCAGCGATTAGCGAACAGATGGGTCGCGACCCCCTCGAGGGCTTCCTCACCGGATTGGTATACGACGGGTAGAGGTTATCGTCATCGACGCCTCCGACCCGGTAGCTATCCCCAATCGTGTTGTTGTAAAGAGACGCGTGCATAAGACGAGTCATGTCACTATCGATCAAATGAGGAAATTCCTCCAAGGCTATGATGAATGCCGTTCCGATGAACTCTCGCCAGTTCGGATCCCAGGTGTCGTAGATTAGTGGAGGATACGCCGCGCTGCCTACTGTCGGTTCTTCTGGGTATTTCTCATAGTCGCCGTACCTGGTTATCATTGGCAATCCGCAGCATCACGGGGGACTTCAGGTTAGTACAAACCATTGATCCTCGGGATCCTTGAGCTGGGCAGATATGATATTCTCAATGATCGTCATGGCCTGGGAGACATCGTCACCCTGATTGCGAGCCAGCAGACCAACTACATACCACGCCGACGCGCGAGTATCACGTCGCAAAGCCGTCGCTGCACTGGGCGCGAAGACATACCCGGCACTCGGATCATATATGCGGTCCAGATAATCCATGGACTCGGAAAAGAGTCCACATGTGTTCGCCGACCATGAGGGAAGACATGGGCTGCCGGCGACCAGGGAGACACACACTGTCGCAGTTAGACCAGCTCGTTTCATCAGGCTCAACATCGTCGAGAACTATCTGGGGGAGGGGAGCGATGGGATGGAGCACAACACTGAAGAGAGGGGCAGTTAGGATGCGGGGGAGAGGGGGTATATACCCCCATCTTTTCGAAGACTTCCGGCGGGGGTAGCGCTGGGAAGAGGAGAGAGTAGATACCTTATCTCTCGACAAACAAGACGCAATGCGATGAGGAGATCCACCAGGCGATATCTCTCCATTGGTGCGATTTCTACTTGGCGGAAATTGTCCTTGCCGACAGATCAACCTTCCTCGGCAAATCGTGGGGAATTTCTCGCTTGACTCTCTTGCGATCTTGTGGATTTCGCTATACTATAGGTATGGATAAGTAGGTGTGCAGCTATGCATATATACACCGTACATACAGAATCCAGAGTGCAAACCCACCGCTGCATGGTTGTCAATCCTTCCCGAGCCAACTCCACATTTCTTGCCATGACAACTACGACGAACTACAGCACAAATTTGAACTCGGGGTCTCGGTCGTCGTTGTACCCCTCGTACTTTGCATACTTGCCTTGTCGCTTATCAAGGTTGAGTTTGGCACAGTATAGCACGTTCAACAGAATCCTATACGGAGGCGGGGTTAGTAAGTGCATCTCGCCTCGTCAGGGGCAGCGTGGAACCCACATAAACCAGGCGAAAATGAGAAGCCCAAAGACCACCGAGTGGCCCCGGTGGAACTGGGGCTTATCCTTGTTGGGATAGATGAACGCTGGAGTCATATGGGTCAGTTGATCGCCTTCTAGACACTTGAGACTGCAGGAGCCCGTCGAGGAAATGGTGCTTACTGGCAACGAATCCACCGCAGTTTGCAATAGCCAGTTGCATCGCCGACGTGGTCGCTCGCTTGTAGTGCCCGGCCGAATTGTTCGAGTTCCACACCAAGATGCAGGGAACACTGGCATACATGCCCGTGGCCATGAGGAATGTCATTCCGTACTTGGCCTTGGGGGACTCAATGTTGGCAATTGCGCCGTATCCGGCAATCGCAATCGGCAGGGTAAACAGCATGAGGACTCCTCGAAGTTTCAAACGATCCGACAGGAAAGACACGGCCACTAGGGTCGCGCAACATTGTGAGCTGAGCCATCCAAGGTCTAGGGAAGGCACGCGAGGCAATGAACGTACCGGTCAAAATAGCTGCCACAGCGTACGGAATGACAGTCCAAAGTTGCACTTGGTTCGCATCTGTCGCAAAACCACTTTCATCAATGATGGTCGGCAACTAGCCAGGCCACGTCCTCATCAGTCCCAGCAAACCCTCATTGACTTGGCCGGAGATACTTACAAATAATCCGAAGGAGTACAGGCCCGATAGAATGGCAAAATAGGCAGTCGCGGAGAGCCACATCTGCAAATCAAAAACGCCTCGGCGCACTTCCGACCATCTCATCGTTTCTTGTCCGTCCGTTTGCTCTCTGTTGTCATAAGTGAGCATTTCAAAAGGAAGCCAGATTGTGCTGTTGTCGGTCATAAGAGACTCTAAACGGATATGGAGCATGCTTACCCATCAGATACAGTCGGACTGTCAAGGTTGAGTCTCTGGCGAGCAAGCAACCGCTCCTCGGGTGTGAGAAAGGACGCCGTTTCCACGCTGTTGGGAAGACCGAAATAACTCAGACCACCACATACGAACGTCTGACGGTTCAATCAGTAACTGCGAAAGAGAAGTGAAAGATTTTGTCCAGGTAAACTGACCAGCAGCCCTTCGATGATCATGATCCAACGCCATCCCTCCAGACCGCCCCGCGGGCCGATTGCAGCCAATCCACGGGCCAAGAGTCCTGCTATGCATCAGTCACGACGTCCTTGCAGATGTGCTATGACAAGCAGAGACTCTAATAGGCTTGGAGTTCTCCATGCAAAGACATACCTCCAAACGCTCCCGACAACGATGCCGCCGTATAAAACAGTCCGATCCGCAAGGCCAAGTCGCCCCGTCGATAGAAGGACGATAGATACAACACCTGTCCGACATTAGACAATTTTCGGTCGAAGAGGAGAATTGTTTAGATCACGCACCATTCCTGGTAGTAGCCCTCCCTCAGCAGCCCCGAGAAGGGCGCGTACGGCGACGAAATCTCCGAAATTCCTCACAAAACCCAGGCACATGGTGATAATGCCCCAAACCATAGTGAGGAATGGCAGCCATAATTTCGGGGAGGCCTTTTTGATTAACAGGTTACTTGGTAGCTCGCTGGAAAGAAACAACGGAGGCAGCGTTAGCGTCAAATTATACAAAGCAGGGGGCAAGAAAAAAAAAGGTACGGAGGGAAGAGAAGAAAAAAGAGCAAGAAAGAAAGAAACAAAAATTGAGGGGGAGAGGGAAACTATCCGGACCTACCTGCAGACGTAGGTGAGATAGTATACCGTCAAGCCGATATCATACTGATGGTTGGTGATGTTGAGATCCTCCTCAAACCCCAGCACCTTGGCATTACCGACGTTTGTTCTGTCAAGAAAGGAGCACAGGAAAAGTATGGCTAAAATGGGGAGGAGTCTTGACGAAAAATATCCGGAGTCAGCAATCTGTCCACCGCTGGTGCATTGGTTGCGTTTGTGTGCAGGTGAGCGAGCACCTACCTCGTATCTAATTTGAACAGCAGACTCCGAACCAGTTGCTGGTCGGAAGCATACCCACTGGACAAGCTCTCGGGGCCGTCTTGTCGGGCATACTCGATCTTCTCGCTAGGGGTATTAGTCGAATCCATGGCTGTGTAACGGTGAGAGACCAAAGAAAGGAAGACACAGGTCGCGGCCTCTTGTTCTGCCGGATTCAGGGGGAAAGGGGGAGAGAAGATGTGACATGTACAGCCAGCGATCGATCATGGAAGATAAAGCTGTTGAGGAGCAAACAGCTCAGATCGCGTCGGACCCCATTTCTACCTCCGACCGAACGAATCCTTCGAATTTTGTCATCAACCAATAGGCGGGGGAAAGAGAAGGGGGGGGAAGGAATTGCTGACTCCAACCAGGGGGAGAGGAAAATGGTTGAGTTCCCACGGCAAATGTTGGATTTTCCCTACCCCGGACCAAGACTCGACCAGCCCCGGATTCCAAGGCTTGGGCCTAAAGCTTGGCGGCCATGCGTCACTGGTCGCTTGCGCCTCTAGTGCCCATCTAGTCGGCGCCGCGTCTCCGCTTGGTTCCTCCCGGCAGAAGGTCCGCCAGCCGTGCTTATCTTTCCTCTCTTCTTACTCGCGCTGCTACCGTCAACCACTAGAGACGACCCCGCGCTTGGTCTTCTATATTTGGGAGATGTATGTATATCTCAATATACATATATACTTATTTCTGTATAGTGATCCGCGGTATTGGTATCTTGTTCGGAGGAAGATCCTCCCCTCGTCTATTCCACCTATATGCGATGACTATCTTGTTCAGAAAAACACTTATTCTATAATTACATTTATCATGGCAAACACATCTCCTCTACTCCATGAGCTCGAGGTTCTCGGCAACGGTGAATGGGGCTTCGGTCTTGCTCCGGACTTCTTCAACCTTCACCCCGGGGGCGAGCTCGGTCAATAGCAGTTCGCCCTTGGTCCGGTCCACCTGGAATACACACTGTTTATTTTGTTAGAAACGTCAGATCCCGGATCCGAGCTGGTTGTACTCGGAGCCATATGAACTCACCAAATCTGTGATGATCGTGCTCACGCATTTGGCGCCCGTCAAAGGCAAGCCACACTCGGACACAATCTTAGAGGAACCGTCCTTAGCGGTATGGCTGGTGGCCACCACGATCTTGGTCTTGTCGGGATTCGAGATCAGATCCATGGCTCCTCCCATTCCCTTGAAAACCTTTCCGGGAATCATGTAGTTGGCCAGGTCTCCGGTGGCACTGACTTGCAACGCCTGTGACTGGTTAGCAAATCCCCTAGATCCAGCAAATAGGGCTGACCAACCCCAAGAATAGACACGTCTACGTGTCCGCCGCGAATCATGCCGAATGACTCAGTGCTATCGAATGTTGCGGCGCCCGGAACAAGGGTAACGGTCTCTTTACCGGCATTGATAATATCCCTGAACGGAGAAGGAAAACAAATTAGTCTTTATGACAACCGAGAAAAAGTGTCTGATAACACTACTGCAAGGGACAAAAGCTCACGCATCGACTTCGTCCTCCGTCGGGTAGGGTCCCTTGGGTTCCCGTTAGCCATCCAGACTGTGTCCAACTTCATAACTCCCAGCCAGCGCATTACTTACCATGCCTAGAATACCGTTCTCCGATTGAATCCAGACCTTGCGGCCTTCGGGTAGGAAGGATGGGGCCAGCGTGGGAATTCCTACTTTCGTGTCAGCGTTTGCCTTGTAATTGTTCGGGAACACTTACCGACGCCCAGGTTCACGTAGTAGCCCTGCTTGAGCTCCTTTGCAGCTCTCCTAGCAATGAGGTTTCTCTGGGCCGTCGCGGCATCCTTCGCCGTCTTGGTGATACTCTCGTCGTCCGCCGATCGCAACTTCTTGATTTCAATGTGTTTGTCGTCAGTAGCGGGCACAATTCTGTCCACGAAGATTCCCGGCAAGTCGACGTCATTAGGATCTATAGAGCCGAGCGGGACAATGTTCTCGGCCTCCACTATGGTCAAAGTTGCTGCTTTTGCCATGATTGGGCCAAATGCCTTGGTAGTGTAGCTAGGTTCACGCAACGGTTAGCAGTCTGAGGACAACGTCCGGGTTTTCTTGCGCATACCGGAATACACAGTTGCCTGCCTCGTCGGCCTTCCATGCCCGAATGATGGCCACGTCGCCGGGCAGTGCTTTCTCCATCAAATATGTCTTGCCATTGAACACGCGAGTTTCGCGGGGATTGCCGTTTTCGATCACCTTGCCGGACTCATCTAGCCGGACAGGAATTTGACCATCTTGAAGAAATGTGTCTACCGCGTTTGACAATGCGGATTTTAGGGTTAGCGTCTACGCCGATGGATTACCGTCTTTCCTTCTCTTTCTTTTTGTCTAGGGATAAGTAGAAGGGGACAATGACTTACGCGCGCCCGTAGGAGTGAAGAAAGCAGGAATGCCGGCTCCTGCTGCCCGCAGTCTTTCCGCCAGGGTGCCCTGAGGGCACAGTTCAATGGCGATATTGCCCGTTAAATACTTCTTCTCAAGCGCTTTATTGTTTCCAAGGTAGGACAGAATCAATTGATTGACTTGGCCCGCTTGTGTCAGGGTAGAAAGTCCACCTTTCCCGGGGGCACCGGCATTGTTGGACACCGCAGTCAAGGAATGAAGATTCTCGGCTCCACGGCGATGCATGGCCGAGATCAGCGTTTCTAGTAAAGGCGAGCGTTAGATGTCCTGGCCCGACTACATTGCATTAAGGGGGCATGGGCTCTGGTTACCTGCAACACCACAGAGACCAAACCCGGAACTCAGGATCGTTGATCCGCTCTGGATATCGGCGACGGCTTCGTCGGCATTTTTGAATAGTTTCGAGGCACTGCGATCGACTTTGGGCGCACGCGTAGGTTGGTACACGGCGGTCGAGTATCTAGGATACCCAGTCGCTTTCGCTTTCAGTAACAGCCGCGTACTGGGCCTGTGATATTTAGCCACTTGAATCTGTGGGCGAGCCACCGCGAGGGCTCTTCGCGACAATGCCGACGCCGAAACCCGGAGTGTCGCCATCGCTGCCGTGTTAAGATAAGACGGGTTGAATCTGGTCAAGAGGGCACACAGCAAGGGGAGGGAGAAGATAATGCAGGAAGATGTTCCTTCGCACGACAATGAGTACCAAAAGAAGAAGAAAGATCGAATGAGTAAAATCCACTACGTGATTTTCCTATTTGTCTTGCTTCGGCTAGTTAAGTTATTCTGCGATCGCGAGATGACGACAGTCCCTCGGGCCGTCGGTCCTACTTCTGGACGCCGACCGGTGGGGAACCCCGTGGCTTCCGATTATGAGACTAACTCTATACTACTAGGTCCATTTGCTGAGCACAGTACGCACAGAACGAGGCTGGCCACGCCTCAGAAGCTAAAATCCGTAGTATTGCCAAGGTCGAGCCATTCCCAATTCATCATGTCGTCTAGGGGCACGTCGGGAACGCTCATTCCAAATGCTGTTCCCGCCCTGTTCACGGCGTCAATGATCTGGTCATCTGACATCGCAGAGAACTGCAGTGGCTCTGACCAGAACAACGGCGGTTCAAACGGTGGCTGCGTCGAGGAAGCCATGGGGCCATATCCATTCAATGTCGACGGAGGCGGAAGGCTCTCGGTGGAGATAACAACGTGCGAGTCGGTTTGAACCGCAGTGCTGGGATTGCCTGGCGACCGCCGAACGAGCTCCCGTAAGAAGCGTCCGTATAGAGAAGACGCGCCACTCCGGTGGTCTGGTGTTGCCCCAATCCGTTCCAGGACGCCAGCGGCCTCTTCAATCAGATTTCGCACACTTGGGGCCAGACTAGATCTGCTGTCTGCCGGCATCTCGCTAAGGCTGAGCGCGGAGCATGCGGCATAGGATATCATGATCACGGTGTTGTTTGGCATGGACTTTAGGCGCGATTCGCCCTGTATGGCCGCTCTCAAAACATTCAATGCCGATGAGAGGCAAGCGGCACGGAAGAATCGCTTGACCTCATGCGGCGCCGTTGGATGGTTGATCACCCCTCCGTATGTAGATAGCTGGGTATGGGTCACCAAGATTTCGACGTATGGTGGAAGAGAGTGCGCTGTCTCAGTGTTTAGTACACTTTAAACCCGTAGTGATCTATATATTTCTAGTACCACGATAAAGGAAAGCGGAACTTACATTGGCCTTCTCCAATCGCTGGTGCCCATGTTTCATACCACTTGTTATAGAAACTTTCTATGATCGATTGGATCCTAAAAACCAGATATAAGCCTATGATATTCGCAGGACCACACTGTCCAGGACAACCTACGATTGGGCAGCTTCGGATCCAGTGTCAGCAATCTGGTGACCATCGCAGATAGACTTGACTCTGTGGAATAATTCATCCTTGGTGGGTTAGCTAAAGATGTGCTAGCAGTATTGGAACAGTACTATAAGAAACCACATCAACGTACCAGATTTCGACGGAGAACTGCCATTGAATTCAATGGCCCATCACGAGAGTCAGCAAAGTTGGAAACATGCCATACATCGCAGTTCTTAATTAGAGAAGTTGGCGGAACAGTATAACTTCTCCCGTGGGCTAAACAAACACTACATTCGGAATGGTCAGCATGCAATCCTTTCCGATATTCCGATATTCCAAGATTTGGCCACCATACCCTCTTTCAAGCACAAAAAGGGCAATCCAGGTTCTTTCTCTTCGTCTCAGAAGCCTCTGGCCCCACTCAGATGCTGGCTCCACGTCTTCAAACCCATCAACGTTCAATGCTCTTCTAGCATCAATACTGTCTGCCTTGGCCAGTCTCCTGAGAAGACCGCTTTCAAAACTGGTTGACGGAAGCACGATCTTGTTCAAAGACAGGTCTAGGGCAACAGTAAGAGCCATTCCTATGTAGTGGCAGGTATCGTCATCGCCTAGGCAACTTCCGGGTGCCATCCACGGAACATTCACCATGAACGCGAGAACAATTTCTACCGATCTAAGGCGTTCAGTAATAACACTTTGGGCTAATGATTTGCAGTGCCTAGATAGCCTCTTGGACAACGCAGCAGCAGAAGGTAGAAACAGGGCAGCGGCTGCCATTATCGAAGTAAATAGGAAAGCAGATTGGGCGCGCACAAATGGCACCGTATGGAGAAGAGGGTCAAGGCCCCATCGAGTATGTGCCAGGTTCTGATAGAAACTGGAGGACGTCAGCTCGGATCCGGTCTAGGACCTTGAACTCTCTCTGTGTCGAACATACAATGAAAACAATGTCTCCGCCTCACTTGAGGTCACAAGTCCCAAGTCAATGGGATCTATTTCTGGGCCAGTATCCAACCTTGCCTTCGCAGGAACAAAGAAGGACCTCGCTGCGGTTGAATTGCCATCCAGGCTGTCCCGTGGTGCGCTTGTAGGCTCCGATGAAGCCAACGGCAGCCACTTAACCGTCCCACGCGCCTCCGGAGGTGATAGTTGGAGATCGGATGCGCGTGCGAGTAACTGCAGCGGATTTTCCGCATCGTCCAAGGATAAGCTGTCGTCGGCATTGGTCTCATGGGGAGATTGGATAGCCCGCGATTGATCGAGATCTTCGGACTGATCGTCCGTCTCACTAGGTAGTCGCTGCCCCTGGATTTTGTTGAGCAGGTCTTGCAAGTTTGAGATGATGTTCTGAGAGCCACTAGACCCTGCATCATCAGTTCTGGGTCGCTTGATCGCCTCTTCTATTTGATGCAGCGCCTTTTCAAGGCCCTTTCGTTTGCTAGAGGCCCAAGGTGGTTAATATTCACAATGAGTGCATTCCGGGTAGCGATCAGAGGGATAGAAGAGATTCATCGGCCCTTACTTTTTGACACCTTTCTGCCTGCCGACATGGTGGCTGGGCACAATGCATTCTAGCTTGGCCTGCCTGCATTTGTCACAGCATGCATCGTCCCCTTGACTTCGGTTGCATCGGATCTTGCTCCTTCTACAGTTCAGACATGCAGCTCGCCTAGCGTGGGGTGTCTTGTCGAGATTAGATGCTGCCGGTGGACCATCCATCTCCTCTTCGGCAGGAAACATGCATCGGTTCCTCACGAGTCTCTAACGATCTCCATAGGATATATTCGTATAAGATAGTCCCCGCTCAGTAATCAGGATCACGACTTGTCATGCGGGTTTACGGATGAAGGAAGTGTGGGTAATAAGAATAAACCTCGAGATATGCACCGTAAATTGACATATCATGGAGAAGTGATTTGCCGCGGGAACCGTCTCGGCGGTGGACGCCCCGAAGAATACGTTTGACCGGCGACAGGCGACCATAACTTGGCCCCGAACTCATCCCATGGCCGGGAGTGGGGGATCGCGTCGACTTCTCGTACTTGTTTGATTGAGATTCTGAATCTTGCTTCATTCTGGTTTATTGTTCTACTCAAAAATGCGCCGGGAAGAAAGAGAGACAGAAAGAACTCTACCAAAATAGACAAATAAATACAAATTTCCTTCAAACGCCACTACCACTTCCGAGCGCACATATCGCTCTGGATGTAATGAACTTGGGAAGCTAAGATGATGTCGCGGATAGTAAGCATCGAGGGCATAACTTCGTAAATGTCCATGGGTCCTTATTGTGGCCATGCAAGTGAGACGGAATAACACAACGTCACAATTATTCCCAGCCACCCAGTTTCTTCATGTCGAAAAAGTATCGGGGAGACGAGCAAAGAGTATAAATAAGAAGGACATGAAGGGCGAGGAGAGCTGGACGAGATATAAGAGGCTCAGTTAGCAGCCCGTAGAGCCCGGAGCCGTGCTCCTAGACCATCTTCAAGTTCGCTATCGGCCTGTTTCTGATCCTTAACATCCTCCTTGGGTGCTGTGTCGGCCTCCAGGGCCATGCGCATATCCACACCCGCATCATCGGCAAGTTGTTCCATGAGGCGGTCCACATCCGCCTCCCCTTCTGCCCCGTATTCTTGCATGGAAATCCCCTGCGCAACGTCTTCGATCGCGCCACTGGCGATTTTGAAGTCCTCCGAGCGAGCCAGGAAGTTATTGGCATGGGATACCAAGTTCTCCAGGTTGACGCTCTTGGATGCCGCATCTAGGCCTCGCGATGCCATAGCAAGAGTACGTGATGTGTCCCGAGTGCTCTGCGCGGCCTTCAATTCGTTGATTATGACATCTGCACGAGCCGCTTCCGCCTTGAGCGTCACTTGTCTTCGCTTTTCACGTACGGCTGAAGAGGCGTGGATGCGAGCGATCTGAAATTCGCGATTCTTCATGGCCTTATCGGCCTTGGCTTTTTCGGACTTGAAGGTGGATTCGGCACGAGCTGCTTCTTTCTTAAGTCGGTTGGAGTGTAGCTAGAATGACGATGGTCAGCCAAAGCATGTATGTATTCATCGGTGCCGAATCGAGGCAGACTCTGGGCATAACAGAGGGAGGCCAGGCGGCGAGAAAAGGTCCACTCACTTTCACGTTAGTGCGGGCTTCAAAGATGGGATCTTTTCGAACCATGTTGCCGGATATTGTATGAAAGAATAGAGAGGGACAGAAGCAGAGCGAATGCGATTTGGCGGGGCTACGGGGAACGAGATCGACTGCTATCCTAGAAAATGAGACCAGGGAATTATGGAGGGCGGCGAAAGAGACGAAAATGGGCGGGGCTTCGCGTGGCAACGTCACTTCCAGACCGCCCTGACGGGTCGAGAGGCTCTTCCCCTACGGAGTACTACGGAGGCCCCTGTACGGAGTAGCTACAGGCAGCACAGGCATCATGTCCCATGTGAGAATGGTGGTAAACCACAGAATTTAATACCGAATATTATTCAGTGAAGACTCTTGATTAAAGCATAATATTGTACTATACAGGAACAATTCCTCAGCGTTCCTTGCCCATAAGCAGAGACGTCAACGTCTCGCCGTTGTTTGTTGATGAACTCCTTAAACTCCATGTAGCCCTAGAAGGCTTTCCAATCCGATTTCGCCGACCGTTTTGCGCTGATTTCAAACCACTCAAAATTCGTTTGCGTCGTCCCGACTTCTCGAGGCGGTCTATCGCCCACGCGAAGGTTAATAAGTACTCCCAAGTCCAGCCAGTCGCTCCAGCGCCGGCCGCCGACACGGGATCACGGCACGGGATCTCGCTAACAGCCAGCTGCAATGCCCTGCCCGTCGCATCGCGAAGTGGACGCGCCATGGCTGGGTTGCACGCTAGAAGTCTGGCGAGAAGCCTCATCCGGAAGGGTGTCTGACGGTTCGGTGCCTTCGAGACCGACATGCTCGGAGTCGAAATTAACCATAGAATCAAAGGGAAATGCTGATAGATCTCCGCCGTCGAAAACGTCAAAGGCGAACCCGTCTTCAAAGACTGAAGAATCAGGCTCAGCGGACGAATCACCGTGAAATAGGCGGTGGAAGTCGTCATCAGAAAGAGGAGCTGCAACATCATCTGCAGCGTGACTTTGAACGTTTGAGGCGAGGTCAAAGAGTGGGAGAGCGCTTCCTTCTCCTTCGAGTCCAACGACTGACACTGCAGGTCACACAACACCGCTGCAGGATGTTGTGTCATGTCGGAGGACTCAGCCAGAGTAGAAGGCTTCAGAGTGGGAGAATAATCGGTAATGGATGGCGTCGGAAAGGGGATGCGCTCAAGCGGGAGCTCTTCGTGCTCCTGCTTGAACAAGGTAGGAGTGAGGGTCGGCGAGTCGCCTACGGGAGACCCGGGCTTCGGCGTGTTTCCTTGCGAGCCACGGACTTCGGCAGCCAACTGGGCGACCTGCTGGTTCAGGCGGTTGTTTTCTGCCTCCATTTGAGACAATCGTTGCATCAGAAACTGGTTTTGCTGCTCCATCTGGATCTTCTCGTTTTCGAGTTTCTCCATCTCGAGTCTCTTTCGCTCGCGGGAGGTCTGGGCCGCCGCGCGATTCCGAAGAACCCGCTCTATACGGCGCTGTTCCTTCTCGTCTTCAGTCTTTGCCCGTTTTCTGTAAGTCTTGGTTAGCGCGACGTTCAAGGCATAGAGTGGCTTTGGCGGGCAGGTCGTACCTAGGAGGCAAGTTGGTCTTGGGGACCGGCAGTTCCTGGCCCCATGACTTCCTCTTCTTTGCAGGTTTCTTGTCTTCTGACGTGACATCAGGCGAGTCTTCATTTAGATCTTCTAACGAGGTGTCCGCCGGGGAGACAGTGAGCACCGGGACATCCGACGCGGGGCTCCCGGGCAACGAGTCGACCGAGGAGAAATCGTCTTCCATGATGAACCGGTCTATCAGGGAAGGAGAGATAGAAAGGTTATTTAAAGACCCGATCAACAGGTGGTTATTCGTGTGGTGGAGATCTTCGGTGTCTTTGGCGTAGTATAGAGCTAGAGATCGTGGGGAGTTGATCAGATCAAAGAAACCGGCAGAAGCCAGGCTGTCATAGTGGACAACCCCGGAACACGGGGTAACTCGGGGTTGCCTGAACTGATGCCTGAATTTGGAGGTGGAAGGGAAGAGAACAGGTGGTCTGAAGGCAGGGAGAGTGAAGCCAGAGTGTCTTCATGGAACGGAGTGGGAGGGAACGGAGGACTCTTTTAAAGGCCAGCGTGGTCACATCCGCCCGGCCCCCTTGCACCTTGCAGTTAAGGGGGCGGAGTCGACGTCGTCAGCCATGAAACCGTAATCTTACGGGGAATTCGCCGCCGGCCCCTTGGCGCCCCTTTGTGCGCCCTTTGTGCACACGCAGTACGAGCGGAATTAACCCCCTTTGGGCGGTATGGACGGGGTAAAGGCCCGTAATTTTGGACCCGGCGGCTCGCCCTTTCCTCAACCTGCGACACGGAGGATCCACCTTCTCTCGCGGTCTCGAATGTCGAGGTGAGACCGTCGGGCGTCCGTCAACGACACTCGGCTGAGTCTGAGACTTCCTTCCATTTTTAATCCCTTTAATTAATATTAATATCACAACAAGGCCACCCCCTGAGTCCCTTGGCTCGGCACATCTGCTGAGTACTGTACAGTCTTATACTCACTGAGCAACTAATTCCCTCCATGGATGACCACCTCTGAGTACCTCCTGGAGTCTGGAGTCTGGAGTTCAGACTTCGGACCTACCTACCCGTGGGTGGCCAGTATTAATAGTAATCTGGAGCCCGGAGAATTGCATGATGCATAATTGAGAAAAGGACGCCCCACGCAGACCCTCCTTACCCGTGCTCACTCCTACTCAGCACAGCTGCCGGTGTCGGACTGTCGGACACGCTGCTGATTACTCCGTGCCTACTATGGAGGAGAGTACAGAGTTAACCCAGCCTGAACTCTACTGGCACCCTACTCGATGAGAGCTTTTATTGTTAAGACCACTTCTGGTCATATTTATTGCAGAGAGCCTCAGTCATCATCATGCCATTCGAATATGCGTTTATGGGGCATTGAGGAATGCAAGGGGGAAAAGAAAAGAAAAAGAAAAAGCAGTGTATATGGAGCTAACGCCTCTTCCGATCGTAGTGAACTTCATGATAAAATCATACCCAGAAAGCAGTACGCAAAAAAAAATCATGCCACGATATTCCCGATGATAAGAAGAAGAAAAAACAGAAAGAGAAAATCGCTTTTCGAGGAACCCCAGACGTTCTTATAGCGTGACATCCATCGTGTCATCCCCAGCATCAAGAGCACCTTGCTTTTCGGGATCCGGTGCCACGACACCTCGCCCTCGACCGGCCAAGAGTTCTCGCCTGACTTCGGGCCCAATATCCTTATGCCCTCGGACCAGGAGCAAGTCTAGAAGTGCTTCTCGCTGGTCCTCGGTGATATCATTGCGGTAGCGCTGGGCGAACACCAACAGTGACTGATGCCAAAGGACAGGCAGTTTATACATTTTACTGGGTCCATCGGTCATCATGGCATCTTCAGCGCCGTCGCTGGCCCGGAAACGCAGGAAATGAAACACGAGGGCGTCGATCACCTTATAGGGAAGCGCGTATTTCTTCTCGAGGAAGACTCGAATAAACATATTTACCGCACCGGTGCTCTCCAAGGACCTCAAAGATTGCTCGGCGGAGAGATCGCACATACGAAGCAAAGCGGCTGCAGAATGCAGGACCGGAATGGAGACCCGTGCAATGACAGACGAGACAATGTGGGCCTCGCGCAGGGTGCAGGTACCGCTGGAGACAAGAGGGAACAACAATCCCTTGAAAAAGCAGGCTGGTTTATAGAGTGCTTTCTTCAGCGAGTTGTAGGTGTGCACGTTAAGCTTCTTGGTCTCATGAATCTCTTCTCGGACGCGGTCGAGAAGAACGGTAGAGATGTACTCTTGTGCAACAGCCGGCTTGGAGGAGATGAAGATTCTGGTCCCGGCGTAAACGGCGTTTGCGGACCATGACTCGGGGCGGGTGATAGAGAGGAGAGTCGGCCAGTTGGGTACGGAAGGAAGAATTTTGAACGGCTTGGGGAGGGGTCCAGATTTGTAGCGCGAAAGGATCATGCCGACTCTGTGTATGGTCAGCGCTATGTGCAAAAACTTCGACGGTGATGTCACGGGCCCGTAGATATACATACTTTTCGTATACTTCGACTGCCTTCGCCGGGATCTGGACGGCATCTTCTGGTAATCCTCCGCCTTGGATGAATTGCCCACCATCTCCGGATTGCTTTGCTTCATGCTCCGCGATCTTTTCTAGAATGAGATCGGCCAAGTTTGTGCTCTGGCCTTGAGACTCTGGGTCGCGAGGGCTGAAGATCGGGTCTTCATCGCCACCGGGAATGAATTTATGAAACATATCGAGGTCGTTCGGGTCAACCTCCTACAAAAAATTAGAGAAACGTCCCCGAGAAGATTTGACGAATAGAGAATCAAAGATATGTTAACACGAACGCATTTGTTGACATACCACTTCTTCAATTTCTTCTTCATCGTCCCATTGATCGTCTTTGAACTTCTCCTCGTCGTCTGATAAAGCTTCGTTATCGTCAAATCGAGAATCGAAATTGAAAGCCGAATTCACGTTCTCCCCAGTCGTGCCCATTGCCGCTCTGCGCTCCGCTGCATCCTCATCCGCCAGTTCCTGCCCAATCTGCAAAATCTTCCGAGACATTTTCGCATCGACGAAACGTTCGCCATCTTGTTGATCCTGGTCTTCTCCGGAGCTGCGTTTGCCTTTCTTGCTGGATTGGGTCCGCAAATGGCCTGCGGACATAATATCCTCAGCCAACGGGTTATGCCTGCGAGCGGCGGCGGAGCGAGAAGACGTAGCCTTCGGCATGATGAACAGCCCTTCTCGAGTCCTGGGAGGGAAGGTATACAAGGGAACAGTCGGCCAGGGGTGAGACAAGTATCTGGTGTCGAGCAGTAAAGTGGTTTCGTCTCTTGCGGTTTGCCTGCCAGTGACTTCAAATCTTGTGGCTCCTGTACATACAGACGTGATCTAGAAATTGTGTGTAAATTTTTGGATCATGTGACCCCACCGGGGAATTTTTTTTTTAAACCCCGCTAATGCCCGAGCTTTTCTGTAGACCGCTTTGAATGCTCCCTTACCCATTGGTGGGATTACTCACCGCCTTACGACAAATCTCGTCCTAGGACACTCACCGCCATCTTCAATCAAACCAGCATTATTATTGACCGCCTTCGGGAAAAGCCAACCTACGCCGCAGCGAACGAAGACGTCTGAGACCAATCCATCCCCCATCCTCTTCTCTTCAGGTTACAGGTAAGAGCGTGGCATACCTGTATTTAATTTGCAATGGCAGGAAGCAGGCTAGCTAACTATGGTATGCATCAGTGACGCCAGCCAAAATATAATGTAAGTACAGAACCTCTTTATCCAATGCGATTGAAACAATCCCGGATTCATCGGCCGCTTTTGGTTTTACTGTAATGCCGTGAGTCGAGAAAATGCACTTCTTTCGTCACCGGTGCTCGTGGACGTTTAGAGCTTTTTGCTTTTTGCTTTGCCTCAGAGCTAGGAGTACACAATTCAATTTCTGACCAGACGCACCTTGTCCCAGATGCCGCTTTCTCTCCCGCTCGGTGTTCGCCTATAATGCCATGCGTTTGCGAAGATTAACTTGACTCCATATTTTAATGTTTGCCATACGACACTCCAAGAAATTTCTTTCGTTTCAACTTGTCCAGAAGACTTTGATATCTTGATTTTCGTCATAACTTGCTATATCAATTCGCTATGGCATCAACAAACCCCATAGGGTCTTCTGCGCCTTCGTCTAACATCAACTCGCCAATCTTGCCGCCCAGTAGTACACCATTTTTTAACGGGACGTTGTCTGACGCGAATGCGAGATCTTCGCCTATACCCCAAGGCAATGCATCGTCTCAGGCTGATTCTGCAAGATCAAAACGCAACAAGCGTGACAGTCGCAAGAAGCGTGAGGCGAAAGGGCTTGACCAAGAAGCTCCACCCAAGAAGAAAGCAGTGGCTGTTCAAAATACCGCTCTTTCCAGCTGGGATCTCAATATACTTCGACCGTTGTTGCTTGCTGAACCCCGGCCATCAGATCTACTGCCTCCCCAACCTCGCCAGCTGAACCTTGTGGATAAGAAAGCCTCCGATGTGACTGGGCAGGTCCGGGCCTTCTATGAGGTTGTCGACAAGCTCACTAATAAAAATGGGTTTCGTTACGGCTATGCCATAGCTGATCCTGGCTTTCCCCATATCAAATATCGCCAGACCGATGTTCGCCCCTACCAGGCACGGTTCAGTTTCGAAGACTCGCCAGCAGCGATTCTCTTTAGCGAAGATGCGCTTGCAGTCACAACCAGTGACCCATGGCACACGGCCCGTGCCAATGTCTGCGCACGAGAAGGGAATTTCTACTATGAAGCACGTGTAATTAGCGGTGTGGTGAGCGACACAAAAACTGACTCCTCTAGCGGCAATCTTGGGCGGCCTTCGAGGGGTCATGTTCGTCTTGGATTCGCCAGGCGAGAGGCAGATCTTGACGTGAACGTTGGCGTTGATTGTTATGGGTACGGAATTCGGGATGTAAACGGTGAGGTAGTGAATCGAATGCGCTGCGAGTATTTCTTCCCGAAGGGAGAGGCAATCCGGGAAGGCGATGTCATTGGAATGCTCATTTCCCTTCCGCCACTATCACTCCACAAGAAAATAGTCGAGGGGACTTATGATCCCGCTACCGATGAAATCACCAACGCAGAAGCGCCTTCCGCCGTCAACATCATTCGTGATCGAATTCCATTCCACTATAAATCTGACTTTTGCTGGCAACAATCGAATATATTCCCTACCAAACACTTGCGTGACTATGCCTTCAATCTTAAAGAAACCCCAACATTCGGGCCCCCATCTCCGCTGAATTCGGAGGATGCGTCCTTGCGGACACTTCCAGGCTCAAGCATCACAATATTCAAAAATGGCGTCAAGATGGGCACACCCTTCAAAGAATTATACGCATTTCTTCCCCCGGCCAGTCGTCTCGCCAACGGTACTAATAATCTTGGACTTGGGGAGCGCGAGAACGCAGATGACGGGATGATTGGCTACTACCCTGCTGTCAGCTGTTACGGTGGCGGTGCGGTTGAATGCCGCTTCGAAGGTCCTTGGTGGGTTGGGCCGCCTTCTCACACAGAGAGCGGAGCGCCGATTCGAGCTTTCGGGGACCGGTTCAGCGAGCAGATAGCGGAGGACGTCGTGGCCGACATTGTCGACGAGGTCGAAGCAATGTTTCTGTGGGGTGGCATTGATGGAGATATTGTCGGCAATTCGGAGATGGATGGTTCCAGCTCTGGGCCAGTAGGGGGTTCTGAAGTCCTCAAGGCAGGGGTCGGCGCAGCATATGAGTCCGCCTTAGCATCGAGTGCGAAGCTTGAATCCGCAACCATTGATAACCCTGCGGTAGAAAGAACCGGCGAGGTACCAGAGCTAGATCCTGGACTAGGTCCTGGCCATATCACATTCGACGGTACAATGAATGTTGATACCGCGGACACCCCCAATGCAGCAACTCCCTCGACTGTGCCGGAAAACCCGACGGTTGGGGAGGATACTGAAATGTCTTGAATTCATGAGAAACCTCACATGACCCGATACCATTTGAAGTATGAATCGTCTTTTGCAGCCAGGCTTCCAGCAAAACTTGTTTTTGATTCCGGCAGGGCCCTAATTTAAATATGTAGTACAAAAATCTATATAGAGACCACCGCAGAGGTGTCAAAAGCCACCAGCCGCTATATACATAGAATTGAACCCTTACCTGACCATTCCTCCAACTATTAAGGGGGCCTAGCTGTTATATGTTCTTACAACTCGTGGACGAGTCTGTATCCATTTTGCGCTTGCTACAAATGTAAATTTCTGAGAACCTGCTCTCCATGAAAGATAATCTCTCTCGTGTTAAGGCATATGTAAGATAAGTTGTACATTAAGCCACGAGCTATCAGCTTGACGCAATGACTCGAATGGTCGTAATTTGCCGATCCTCGACAGCATGGAATGATGTCCCTTTGGAGGCATCCAAACCACATTCCGATTATCTATACAAGAACAGAGGTGGGTCAGAGACTTTCCCCTTCCAACGACTCCCCCACTCTCAGCACCAGCTCATCATCGCCATACTGACCGATTATCTGGATTCCGGTATGATCAACGCTTTCATCCACCTTGACTGGGACGGACACTGCCGGGAGACCGGCTAGACTGGCAGGCACGGTAAAGACATCATTCATGTACGCATCTAAGGGGGATGCCGCCGTATTGCCTTCCAATAAGTCTGATATGCGCGGTGGCGATGACGGCACAGTCGGGCACATTAGAACATCTACGCCAAACCCCCCCAGCCTGGGGCCAGCCTTTGCTTGACGAGAAGTCAAGGGCTGTTCCGCATTGAAAACTGCATTGAAATCATGTTGAACGAGCCGTCGAACGCGTTGGGCCTGTATGAAATAGTTGTCAATGGCATCGGCACTCAGACTAAATGCGCCTAGCAAGATCCTTCTCTTGACTTCAGTGCCAAACCCGTCACCCCTAGTCGTGGCATACAGGTAATCGTCCGGTTGCGCGCCACCATCAGGGCCCGCGGGGCGAGTCCCATACCTGACACCATCGTACTTTGCCAGGTTTGAGGACGCTTCCGCAGGCGCGAGTACGTAATACGCAGACAACGCCAGCTTAGTCGCTGGAAGGGAGACCGGATGGATGGTGTGGCCTTGCCGTTGCATGTATGCCAAGGAGCGGGACCAGGCCCGACGAATTGAAGGAGCAAGTTCCAAGATGTTATACTCGGCAGGCACGCCAATCTTCAACGGGGCAGACTTCATTCGAGATGCAAGAGACGGGGTATCTAGACGGGAAAGTATTCGAGAGCGAGAGGTCGGGGAGAGACTCGTTGGGTCGCGCGGGTCGTGTTGGTTCAGAATATCTGAGGCCGATTAGTGATTTGGCGACCCTTTCGGTCCCCGGAGGGGTAACAAGGGGGGATAGTGAGAGAAGACCTACTGAAGATCTCACGGGTGTCGGTGCTGCTCCTCCCTAGAATTCCAACCGTATCCAGCGAGTTAGCATAAGCAACCACACCCCACCGGGAGATCAGTCCGTAAGAAGGCTTGAAGCCAACCGTCCCCGTGTACGCGGCCGGAAGTCGAACCGATCCACCTGTGTCCGTTCCCAAAGCTCTAGAAGCCAGGCACCGATTTATTCTCAGCAAGCACTTCAATATATGTGGGCTTCGCGACTAACATACGCATAGCATTGGTCCGTCGCGACAGCGACGGCACTTCCTCCTGAACTGCCCCCAGCGGACGGGGCGTCTGCGTTGCCCCGGTCCCCAACAGGACCGAAACACGAATGGACAGAATGGGATCCCATTCCAAACTCATCGAGATTCGTTTTCCCCGCCACAATGGCCCCGGCGCTCTCCAATTGCTCCACAACCGTCGCGTTCGATGGGCTGGCGAACCGTTTTAAAATGCCCGAGGCACATGTCGTTGGAAAGTTGCGAGTGCATATATTATCTTTGATGGAGACCAAGCGACCATCCAAGCCGGACTTTGGTTTTCCTGAAAAGAAGGACGCTCAGTTAGCTGGGGAAAATGAAGATGGAGCGAGTTGGGAGCATCACAAACCTTTCTCCCTGCGACGATCCGCGTCCTTCACGCGGTCCAGCCACGGGCCCGAGGGTTTCAGAGGAGTTATGAAGGCATTGAGCGCTGCTGACGACTGCTGTTTGGCGATGTACCTTTCGGCCTCGCGCAGTAAGGACATTTAGAAGTGTAGAGTGCGCATAGAGTGGGCGCGCAGGCAAGCAACGGAGACGTTGGGAGGCCAAAAGAATCCCGACGGAAGACCCGCGCTTAATAACGCCGTGCCCGGGGTTCCCGTGCTTCTTTGCAATGGTTGTCTCTTTCTTTCGGATCTACAGGTGCATAAGAGACTGGAAATCAGTGATAATTCCGGGGTAGCCTAGGCATTATAGATATATTCCCACGACAAGAATGCAGTAGAAGCCGCCGCCCGCTCCGGTTGCTCGTCTCCGCCGGCCCGACGGGTGAAGAACGACGTCATCCGGATTTTCCTTCAATCCCAAAACACCAGCTCCCCCCCCCCACCCCCAGTCACCTATGACTTGACTCGTCTTGTCTTGGTCGCCGTATCGTGTCTATCAAACAACCGTCACTATGTTCTCCCGCGCCGCGGTCCGATCTGCGGGCAACAATGCGATCCTCTCTCTGAGAGCTAGAGCTGCCTCCCCCTTGGTCTCGACGGCCACTCGTCAATGTCAGGGGTCTCTGCCCAATGCTTTTATGGGAGGGAAACGTTTTATTGCGGTCTATGGCTACACGCAAGCGAAAGCCCTGGTATACTCTCGATATGGAGAGCCCAAGGACGTTCTACGGTGAGTGCCCCTTCTGAGCTGCTAAAATCCCCTCGGCATGGGACCGTTGAGGACGAGAAGAGACGACGAAAACGGAAACAAAAGACTCATTCTCAGGATCGTGTAGGCTTCATAAACATTCTATCTCTCCTCCTCACGGGTCTCAAGTTACGCTTCGTCTTCTAGCTGCACCGTTGAACCCGGCCGACGTCAACCAAATCCAGGGTGTGTACCCGAGCAAACCGCCGTTCCAGTCAACCCTTGGCACATCGGAACCCTCTGCTGTTGCGGGTAATGAAGGCGCCTTCGAAGTCATTGCAATGGGCGCAAATGTCAAGAATCTGAGCAAGGGGGATTGGGTTGTTATGAAGCAGACCGGCCAGGGTACCTGGCGGACGCATGCGCAGCTGGATGAATCGCAGGTGATCAAAATTGAAAATAAAGATGGTCTGTCTCCGCTTCAGATCAGTACAGTCAGCGTGAACCCCGTCACCGCATACCGGATGATCAAGGATTTCTGCAATTGGGACTGGATGCGCGCCGGTGAAGAATGGCTGATCCAAAACGGTGCGAACAGCGGCGTGGGTCGGGCTGCTATCCAGTTGGCACGGGAATGGGGCATCAAAACCCTGAATGTTGTTCGAGAAAGGGAGACCCCGGAGAAGACGGAGGCTCTAAAGCAAGAGCTGCGGGAGCTGGGTGCAACTGCCGTGGTCACCGAGGCAGAAATCCTTTCGGGTGACTTCAAGAATAAAGTGAACGAGCTCACCCGCAACGGCAAGGAGCCAATCCGGCTTGCTCTTAACTGCGTTGGCGGCAAGAGTGCGACTGCGTTGGCGAAAACGCTTGCTCCGGGTTCACACCTGGTCACCTACGGGGCAATGTCGAAGCAGCCCGTGTCTCTGCCCTCGGGGCTTCTTATCTTCAAGAATCTGGCGTTTGATGGGTTTTGGGTTAGCAAGTGGGGCGACAAGAACCCACAGCTGAAGGAAAACACCATTAACGATGTTCTACAATTGACTCGCTCCGGTAAGTTCAAGGACATCCCTGTGGATGAGATCCGATGGAACTGGGAGACGGAGGGCCCTGCTCTCACGGCAGGAGTACAGGATACTCTTAGCGGCTACCGCGATGGGAAGGGCCTTCTCAAGTTTGAGGGCGGAGATTAGGAGGCGTTCTTGCCGTTTGTATATTGTTGTACTACACTCAATCTATCAACCCAGTCAAGTCTCGGACAGATGTCCCCTCGTAGCTTCAGACTCTCAAAGAAAAAAAAAAAAAAAATTGCGTCTCCGCAGTAAAGAAATATTCATCTAGCACCGAGGAAAAGAATCACACGCTGGCTCTATTGGAGAACATATGGCATCATTTATCACAACTCCAGTTGTCCTTCACCCAATTCAAGATAAGGTTGGTCAGTGTCATAGATGGCATATACACGTCACTGTCGCGCGAAAAATCAACATCAAGGTCCGCAAATTTGGCTGCCAGTGCCACATAGGACTCTATAAAATCAATGTATACGAGATCAACACGATCTGGGGCTGACGAGGCATTCAGTGATACACGTGCCTGGATACAGTTTGGCATACGATAGAAAGGGATGGGAGAGTGGATGGTGTCGTCGCCGTCCGCACCTCCGTCGTCAGTGGTGGTGTATCCAGGCTGAAGCTTGGGTCTGGATCCGGCGTCACTTAACGCGGCGGCTTGATCTATTAGTTGGCTGTGCCGGAGAAGCTTCCCGTTATCAATAGTCACATCAGTGTTATACACCGACCGTTCGGGCGGGGCAAGAGACCAGGTAAAGTCGGATTGACGAGCAGAATCAATGAATATCTGTGGTTGTTTGTTTAAAACCTCAAGCACGAGTTTGGCTTTTTCATAGGGAACATCTTTCAGATATCGGAAACCACTGGTGAATGGGGAAACTATAAATGTGGTGTCCTGAGTGAAGGGTCCCTTGAATATATCAAACCGCATGGCACCGGTGTTGACAATAGCAAGAGCTGGCTGTCCTACACGAGATTCATCCTTCAAATAATCGGGAAGGACTTGGGTTTCAAGCCAGGTGTATATATTTTCCTCGCTCGGATATTTGACTCGGGACATCCAAAGATCACGAGGGGAACAACCATGGACTTCGTCTAGCCGGAGTGCACTTCTGGATTCATGGATCAACCACGACACGTTCTGACCAAGGTCCGTGTGGAATGACTCCCTATCAAGCTCGGTGTGATGAAGAAACGAGAAGAGATTGTTATCGATATACCGCCGCTGAAAGCTGGGGGTACTCAAGGCAGGCGTCTGTCGTTTCTTGGTAGACAGACCATCGACGGACATGAACCCGATGGTTTCCATAAAACGCCCACTTGCCAAGCCATAGGCTCGCGAGTCATAGCGTGCAAAATCGCGAATGTGATAATGACCCCCGAAGAATTGAATTGGCGTATCCCAACGAACAGACCTAATCTCTTTGAAGATGGCTTTGTATTCTTGTGAATGAACAGGCACATGGCCAGTCACAAGGAAGAGGTCAACATCTGGGTCCCGAATGGCATCCTGAAACCAGTCTTCTTTGATGGTCTGTTCGACAGGACATACCACAGTGTTGTTATCGTTCTTGGTGAAATCGAACAGGAAGCCAAATGCAACGATGCGAATTCCCTGGTTTTCGGTGGTGAATTTCTTAAAACGGGGAGCTAGCGGCACGAGGTCATTAGTGACAGGGTGCAAGATGTCAATATTCGACGCCAGGTAGTTTCCATGGAAGTTGACGATCGTGGTGAAGTACTCGGCCTCGGAGGTGTTCCGCTTGTACAGCTCGTGGTTTCCGGCGGTGATTAGGTCAACCTGCTGCTGACGCAGAATTTCCGAGATGTAGACACCCTTCGGTTCCGACGAGTCGTAGAGGCCGTTGCCCTCTACTCTATCACCCGTATCTACCACCAGCAGATCCACGCCCTGTGCATTTGCCTTTTCCCGCATCCTGATCGCGAAGGAGACATAGTCACCCCAGTCTGCAGCATAGGAGGGTCTATAGTCGCGAGCTGATCAGCACAGAGCCAGGGGAAAGGACGCCGGAAGAGCTTCACGAGCGTACTCCTGCAGATGACCGGCCAGCCAGCCATGGGTATCCGTCGTGTGAAGGAAGTTGAGTTGTCCCCATTTCAGATCACGCAGGGGGGCTGCGATAGGATCCGGGGCCATTGGTTGTGCGGCGAGCGCCAACGAGACCGAGAAGGAGCCGAGGAGGAGACGCAGCATGCTGGCGTCGAGCTCTCTGAAGGAGAAGACTGGAGGGCGGGAGAGAGAGCGAGAGAGTAAACGGAGTGCCTGATAAGGATAAGGTGAAGGCGGCAGGAGGACGGAAGAAGCCGCCGGTGAGTCCCCGTCTTAGTCAGCGGTCAACCCAACAGACTCGCGCCGGCGCTCACCAAAAAGTGAAAACCCGTTGACGAAAGACATCCAAAGACGGAGTTGCGCCCCGGAGACTTTTCTCGTCCTCTCTCTATCAATCCGCATCCACAGCCGAGCATCTGTGCACTCCATCTTCCTAGTCTTATATCGCTCGATCTTGCCATCCCTCACATCCGGCCATGACTGCTCCTCGAGTTTTCCGTCCGGCAGCTCGCCTGCTCTCCTCGCGCCTTTCCCCTGCTTCTTTCCGTCCGGCTTTCACGCAATCCGCATGTGCCCCTTCGATCCTGCGCTTCCGGGGCTATGCTACCGCTGGCGGCTCTAAGGAAGTCACCGTCCGAGATGCTTTGAACGAGGCTCTTGCTGAGGAGTTGGAGGGCAACAAGAAAACCTTCATTCTCGGAGAGGAGGTTGCACAGTATAACGGAGCGTATGAACCCCTGTTCCCAACACGCATCTAGCAAAGGTTCGCCATTCTGATACTCATCACCTCCACAGCTACAAGGTCACAAGGGGTCTGCTGGACCGATTTGGTCCCAAGCGAGTCATTGATACGCCCATCACGGAAGCCGGCTTTACCGGTCTGGCAGTCGGTGCTGCTCTTGCTGGGCTACACCCCATTGTAAGTTTATTTTTGTACCCATCTTCGACGGCTACCCATGCAATGTGCCGGCGAGAGTTATCAAAGCTAACCAGTGGTATCATCGGGTAGTGCGAGTTCATGACCTTCAACTTTGCCATGCAGGCCATTGACCAAATCATCAACTCGGCTGCGAAGACCCACTACATGTCCGGAGGCATCCAGCCCTGCAACATCACCTTCCGTGGACCCAATGGATTCGCCGCCGGTGTCGCCGCCCAGCACTCCCAGGATTACTCGGCCTGGTACGGCAGCATTCCCGGACTGAAGGTCGTTTCGCCCTGGAGCTCTGAGGATGCCAAGGGTTTGTTGAAGGCTGCTATCCGTGACCCCAACCCTGTCGTGGTTTTGGAGAACGAGTACGTGACTATGGATCAAATACCCCCTTTTAGATGAGAAAGGGAAAAAGAAAAAGAACCGTTTGAGGCTGATTGTTTACAGGCTTATGTATGGCCAGGCCTTCCCCATGAGCGAGGCGGCGCAGAAGGACGATTTCGTCCTGCCTATTGGCAAGGCAAAGATTGAACGTCCCGGCAAGGACCTGACCATTGTTTCCCTGTCCCGCTGCGTTGGACAGTCCCTCACCGCTGCTGCCACGCTGAAGCAGAAGTACGGAGTTGAAGCCGAAGTGATCAACCTGCGGTCCATTAAGCCCTTGGACGTGGAGACGATCATCCAGTCGCTCAAGAAGACTGGCCGACTCATGTGCGTTGAGTCTGGATTCCCCATGTTTGGCGTCTCCTCCGAAATCTTGGCCCTGTCCATGGAGTATGGCTTCGACTATCTGACTGCCCCTGCTCTCCGTGTCACCGGTGCCGAGGTGCCTACTCCTTATGCCCTTGGTCTTGAGCAGATGAGTTTCCCCCAGGAGGACACGATTGTCAGCCAGGCTGCCAAGCTGCTTCGTTTGTAATCCAGCTTTCTCTCGAGCGACAAACGGATCGAGTTCAAGACCTAAAATAAAGCCGTCATGTTTAGTACCCTTTTGACCGTCGTGACCACCTGTTCTCCCCAGCCCCCTTTCAAATCCCTCGCCAAGGCTTACTATTGCTCTTTTTTTTTCTTTTCCTTTTTTTTTTTGGGAATCTGTACAACTACACTAAAGAATCAATTCAAAATTTGCATCTATAGATTCAGGAACGATGTCTGTTCGCAGATACTTGGTGGAAGACATTTTTGATATGGTTATACCCAGGTAATATAGTAAAGAGTTCGCTTGTGTTCTGTGGGTGGGTTTGTCTTGTTCTTTAACAGCCAATAATAAATTTACCGTCCGACTTTTTAATAACTATCGTCGGGCTAGCAATTTTACATCAAAGAACGTAAATCCGATTCTCTAAGAGGCTTGAAACCAGTTCAACCCCTTCGCCCAACCGTAACGCCGCCAATCCTTTCGATTTATAGGCCACATGAGCTTCAGCCTGTCCCGGAGCGAACCGATTGTCCTCATAGCAAGGGAGAGGTAGTCTCAACAGTCCTAGCACCGACACACTCGGACCAGCAGTCGGTGGGTCTGCGAGGGTCGTAGTAGTCGCCACGCAGCGTGGCATGCATATTCTCTTCGTCAGTGTCGCTTTCTGCGGGCTCATGATGGATACCGCCGGTGGGACCCGGTGACGGAACACCAGCTCGTTCACCTGTATCTGCGAGATCTGGGTTTTCATCCTCATCCTCATCCCCAAGCACGTTCTTCCTTGTCGGTGCTATAGGTGCTACAGGGCCTTTAACTGCTGTAAAGGAGCTCTTGAATCCGCCTTTCTTGAAGCCTCCGGCACTGCTGGCGCCGACGGCGCCGCCACTACCACCACCTCCTCCCCCTCCGCCGCCGCCGCCGCCGCCGCTCGCCATTCCTGTCCCTTGAGATGCCCCATTTTTATTAGTGTCGATTACTCTTAGCCCAGCTTCTGCGTCGGCTTTCTTTTCCGCTCGCCTTGCTTTCTCGGCGGCATTTGGGTCCCGCGACAACTGTTTCAGATCCTGGAGACGTTTGCGATGCTGATGGTCATATGAAGAGATATGCGCTTCGTATTCTGGATGGCGGGAATAAGACTTATTGCAGAGGGTGCAGGTGAAGGAACTCAAGGCGGAACGTGCAGACTCGGTCTGGACACAAATTTAGCGATCAGATAGCCAGTTCATGTATTGGTACTGCGATTGGGGTTTGAGGATGGTTATGGGACATACCTTCGGAGTTGGATTGATTAATCCTCGCTGTATTACAAGATACGGAAAGATTTAGCAACGCTGTCGGCAGAAACCAAAGAAGATGACAAAGCGCAGACGTACAGGTGCCATCTTGGTCGCCCGGATTTCGCAGAGGGGCTTTTGTTAGAGCTTGATAGACCTGCAGAGGCCGAGCAGGAACAAGTACCAAATGGTAGATGGCCTGCGTCGTCGGGCGGGAACTGGGCCAGGCTACTCGGTATTTCTGCTGGCAGTATCCCACCGCCCGATTTTTCTTGACTTATCGGAGGATGTCTTCGTAATGACTCCATACGCCGTACCTGGTGAGGTCCTTCTTGCTTCTGCACTGACCTTCTCGGTTGGTTCGTAGAAGTCATTAACCTGGTTGCATTTTGGTAAAACACGATCGATCCCGCTAAAAATATCGCGACGGCGGCCATGTCTTCCGTTGAACACAATGGGACCCGGAAACCCGATGATATCGATACTCACTCTATGTTCTCATTACAGGAACTAGATCCATCTCCGGTGCAAGAGGAGTTCCCTGATCTTGAAAATGGCGCATGCCTCCCCAATATTCAGGACCCTCAGCCCGAGTCGTTCGACAGGTGCCCGAGCAACCTCCCAGCTGCAAATCTTGGGCTCCGCGGATATAACTGGGATTCCTGGTGTATGCATAGACCCTTCTCTCCGTTTTTCGTCACCTCCCCTCCCTGACAACTTGAATGTACAAACTTAACTCACATGCTCTCAGTATCTGCATTCCAGAAATACTCGACATACCCACCGACGCTGTTCTTAGCGCTGCATTTTACCAACACGGCCTTGATTCCCCTAGTTACCCGCTCGGTGTCCGATAGCGACACTTATCTTCTCCTGACGCGACCTATCTACCAGGCCCCCTCGCTTGAGCATCTAGTCCTCACAATCCCCAGTCTAGTGCACGTGGCATCGGGAATTGCTCTCCGCGGCATTCGCTCCTCTCGTCGAGCTCGATTGTACGGCGTAGAGACTAGGTCGCAGAGGTCTCTGTTGAGGTTCTGGCCTCGCGTCAGCCTGCAAGCGCAAACCGGTTATGCGCTCGTACCGTTGCTCAGCTTTCATGCCCTAGTCAATCGTGTCGCGCCATTGATATATGACGGTGGGAGCTCCGGCGTGGGTTTAGGCTACGTAGCGCATGCGTTCACTCGGAATCCTACTTTCTGGAACGTCTATTATCTGGCGTTTGTCGCCGTCGGGGTCTGGCATATAGTTGGAGGGTGGGCCGCTTGGATGGGGTGGAGGGTGATGACAGTCCGGAGAGACCGAAAGCCCAAGAAGGGCTCGCTCGAGGACTATTTCAACGAGCCCGGAAACCAACAGCGATCTAGGAGACAAAGGAAGATGTGGTGGACGGTAAACGGAATGGCAGCTATGGGGTTTTCTATCTGGTTGGGAGGAGCCTTGGGGATAATAGGGCGATCAGGGCAAGGATCTGGATGGGAGGTCAACGGCTGGAATGAAATATACCACCGAATACCTATTATTGGATCATGGTTGTAAGAGGGAGGGGGTATGTAAAGGTGCTGTTGTAGGATATTCACAGGTGATAAAAATGTGTAATGGTAAATAGAGCGATATCTAATGCATTATGTATGTACATTGCACAGATTGACCGTAGAGTAGAGAGTAGAGTGAGAGTGTTTTTAAGGTGGTCGAGTCTGGAAGGAAGCAGCAGGACGTGGCCCGTGCGCCGCGGCTTTTTTTTTTTTTTTTCTTTTTTTCTTTTTTTTTTCCCTTGCCTCCCCGAAAAGCATCGATTGCCTGCGGTGTAAGTCTACAGAGTACGGCGACAAGTTTACTCTATCCTGATCCCCCCTCTGTCTCCCTCTTCCCCTGACGAACCGATCTATTGTGATTGGGTTCTTTTTCTTCCTCCCCCCCCCCTCCCTCCAGTCTACCGGATCATCGATGGTTCTAAGAAGTACCTGGTCCATCTCTCGTACACCTAGGTTCCTAGATCGCAACGTCTTCCTCACCTTCGTATTGCCGAAAAGCCTTCCTTGTCCTCCTCGCTATCACCTAAACCGAAACCCGTTGCGCCACTTCCATTGTTCGTCCTCCAGAATGGAGGAATCTTCACAGCCACGGATTGCCGACGATCGCGTCCAGTATGATGGGAAAGAATACAGAGCAGTGAAGGAGGGGTTGGCTTTCATCCTGAATGCGCCTGCAGAGGCTGCAGCTTCGAAAGGAACAAAGAAGGATCTCAAGATTGATGATGAAGCCCAGTCTGTATTTTACAATCCGATCCAGCAGTTCAATCGCGATCTGAGCGTGCTTGCGATCAAGGCCTACAGCGAACACGTGGTGGCGTTGAGGAAACAAAAGGCCGACAAGAAGATGCAGAAACAGGCTCGAGATGGCTCCGCCAATGGCAAAAAAAGGAAGAGGGACGAACAAGATACCGAAGAGCCGATCAGTAAAGGGAATCCGCCCTCCTTTACGATCCTAGATGCTCTTTCGGCCACCGGCTTGCGAGCACTCCGATATGCTTCAGAAATCCCAGCTACCACTCGTGTCGTTGCCAATGATTTGTCGCCTTCCGCAATTGCGGCCATGAAGACCAATGTCGAGTACAATAAGCTAGGGGAGTTAATCCAGCCAAACATTGGCGACGCTCGGGCTTATATGTACAATCTACCCCACGCATTCGACGTCATCGATCTAGACCCTTACGGCACGGCTGCGCCCTTCATGGATGCGGCGGTACAGGGAGTGAAGGACGGAGGATTACTATGCGTGACTTGCACTGATGCTGGAGTCTGGGCTTCGAATGGGTACCCAGAGAAATCATTTGCCTTATATGGCGGCGTACCATTGAAAGGTTCACATTGCCATGAGGCTGGACTACGCCTGATTCTGCACGGACTCGCGGCGTCTGCTGCCAGATATGGACTATCGATCGAGCCCCTCTTGTCCTTATCGATTGATTTCTACGCGAGAGTCTTCGTCCGCATTCACCGATCTCCGGCCGAGGTAAAGTTTGCTTCGGGAAATACGATGCTGGTTTTCAACTGCGATTCGGGGTGTGGGGCTTGGTCAACACAACCATTGACTCACACGAAGCAGAAGCTTGATAGAAAAGGTGACCCTTTCTACCACTATGGGTTTGCACAAGGGCCAGTTGCAGGGACGCACTGTGAACATTGTGGTTCCAAGACGCATATAGGTGGTCCAATGTGGGCCGGTCCTCTTCACAACCCTCAGTACATCCAGAAGATTCTTGATATGCTCCCTGGAACTGATGCAGAAACATACCAGACCATGAGCCGGCTTGAAGGCATGCTAATGACAGCCCTCGAAGAGGACCTGACTCTCAGCGACCCCGCGGAAAGCTCGTCTCCGGAGTCTGTCGATGCCAATAATGACTCACCGCAAGAGCAGTCAGATATCATTGCCCGCATGGATCCCGCTCTTCGTGAGCCACACCCCTTCTATTTTAGTCTCAATATCTTGGCGAAGGTCCTGCGCACGTCGACGGTTCCTTACGACGCCTTCTGCGGGGCGCTCCGACATATGGGCTATCGGACCACTCGTAGTCACGCAAAACCCAATACAGTGCGCACAGATGCCCCCTGGACAATTATCTGGGAAGTCATGAGGGAATGGGTGAGACAGAGGTCTCCCATCAAGGAGGGTGCTCTTAAGCCCGGGACGGCGGGCGCGACCATCATGGCCAAAGGTCGAGAAAACTCGCTGAACACTGATCAAGGTGAACTGCTAGACATCCTGAAAAAAGAAGTCGCATCTGCAGCTGAAGGCGGAAAAGATGTCTCCGACATGATCATCAAGGTGGAGGCCGCATTGTACCGCTCGGGATCCCGACTATCACTGAAGGATTCATCAGACACGAGTGCAGAGGTGGACACACGAACGTCGCAGAATAAGACAACGCCGGTGGTCTTCGACGAAGGCTTGGGTAGAAACGCATCTGGTAGAAAGCGGCTAGTGAGGTACCAGATCAACCCTCGAGCCAATTGGGGTCCTCTGAATCGAGCATCTGGTGGTGGGCGAAAATGAATAGTAGTAAGAAAGTGGGAGGAGGAAAGCAAAAGGGAAAGGAAATAAATCTGCACACGAGCTCATAGTATTCGCAGAAACAATGAGAAGTGATAATAACTGCATTACAAAATGTAGATCTTTGTATGATCTGTTCCTGCTTAAAGCACAAATTTCGTAGAATCCCTAAGTAGGAGAGGCCCGGTGGAAACCCAGACTCAATCCCAGATCCTTGGCCATCCTGGCCTGCAAAGCTATATGCTGACACATAGGTTTACAACCGAATATAATATTATTAATAGATTGGCATATTCCGGAAGGTTTGACAAGGAAGAGGAAGAAGAAAGAAATATTATTTGTACTAGATTCTAGACATGCAGTAGTTATTTATCTTTAAAACACATTGCTCATCAGCCGATTTCAAAACTTCGAAACGGCAACAGCAACGGCCTGGGAATCGCTATGGCTTATGCTGACAGTAACCTGCTTAACACCATTCTGCTGAGCGGCCTCGGCCGCAGCGCCATGGAGCTAGAAGATATATTAGTTTTCTTTGATCTCAAAAACGTGAGTGGAAACTTACAGTGACCACGGGTGCCCCGGTAGCATCATTCACAATCTCGATGTCTTTCAGTGGAGCTCCGGCACCTTTACTGGAGACGCCGAGAGACTTGAAAACAGCCTCCTTTGCACTCCAACGTCCAGCAAAAGACGCCCGGGGAGATGCTGCCTGGCGGCAATACTGCTCCTCCTTGGAAGTGAAGTTTCTCTCCACAAACGTCTCGTTATCGATAGGGACCGCGTCGATGTTCTCAACGTCGACGCCGATCTTTGAATCGTCAGCGACATTGGCATTGGCCAACGACTCCACCATCTGCCGAGTACTATTGGCACCTTGATATGTGGGCTTGGGAGGTGCCGTGGGGAACTTCAGCTCCGAGGTCTTCTTGTCCATCGTCACGCGGTAATCGGGGTTGAGGAAAACCTTGCTTTGAAGGTCATCTTCATACGGCGCTTTGTTCTTGGCGACGAAGATGCTGTTGTTGATCAAGCCGTTGTGGAAGAAGCGGTACGCCTTCTTTTGTCTGGCCTCGACCTTGGTTTTATAGGTGTGGAATTGGGCCCGATCCAAGGCTGCAAACAGATACTTCGGGTGGATGCCAATGACTTGAGCACCCTTCTGGCCAAAACCGAAAGACGTAACCGAGAACGCCTTGATTCCATCCGTCTGAATGCTGCGGCTGGGGTAGACAATGTGATCAAACTTCTCCATGACCTTGTCAACATTATCGGCGTTGCGATTGCCCGGGACAAGACCGCTGTCCAAGACCTGCAAGCATCCGTTAAACATCCATGCGCCAGCTGCACCCTTCGGATGTCCCGTGAGATACTTCTGGAAGATACCCAAGAGAGCGTTACCCTTCTGACGGCCCAGGTGTTTCATCTGTTGGCAGATGACGTCGGATTCGTTCTTGTCATTTGCCACGGTGGAGGTTCCGTGGAAAGAGGCAACACCAATATCATCAACAGTAAGACCCCATGTAGCAAGAGCACCGCGGAGAGGGGCGATGCGAGAATCTTGTTTCCAGAAGTTGTTTCCAAGGCTGAACTGTGCATCCTTTTCTTGTCGAATAGCCTCCCGTTCAATGTGCTGAGCTCGCTCCTGCATGTATTCTGACACGTCAAAGGAGTCGGAGTTCTGAGAAGCCATGGCCCCAACTTCCTCCTGGAGGTACAGCAGTTCCGATTCCTGCCACTCCTTGATCTGCTTTCTCCGCAAATCGAGTTGTCGGCGGCGATACTTAATATCCAACAACGGCGAAGGGAACTTGCCGGGGTTCTCACGGGCAGTGGTAAGAACACCCTGGCCCGGAGCAGGAACAGAGCGCCCGATCTTGTCCGTGGCTGTGGTCGTCAAAGCAATGACACCATGAATGGGAACGCCCATATCCAAAGCAAGCTGTGCACTCATGATAAGCTGCATACCGCAGCCTTGGGATTCCATGAACCCAGCACGAGTGGTGGTCGTGGGTCGAGACATTTCCTGCGGAGTGCGGCCATGGGCAAATTCGTCCTCGGCATTACTGGTAGCCTTCATATTGGCGAATTCATACGATCCTTCTTCCTGGAAGTCGTCGAATCCACCAACAAAGCAGACGCGAGCCTTTCCTTCGACAATAGTCTCATAACCAATATCAACGGACTCGACAGCGGTGGCACAAGCGCCAACAGGAGTCTTGATAGGTCCTGTTGAGGACAGCAGCAGCATGTTGACCCACGCACTCATGGTGTTGATGAAAGACTCCTGGAGAATGTCCTTTTGGAGGGGCTTGTCCAGGTAACGATCCTTATACATACCCCGCAAGGCATGCGTTCCTCCAATACCAGAACCAATGCAATTACCGACCTCCGAGAGGTGAACGTACTTGTAGAATTCGTACGGGTCGGTGATACCTGCTGATAGCATCGACTCCGCAGTGCAGACAAGAACGAACAGTGTGACCGGATCGACTTGCTCAATAATATCATCAGGGATACCATATCTCTTCGCATCCCAGCCGGTCGGGACTTGTCCAGCAACGAGGCGGTCGAACTGGAGGGCCTTGGGGATGAGGAGAGTGGCCCCCTTCCTGAGGCGAACAGTGAACTCTCCTGATTCGGGGACTTCAAAGATCTCAACCTTGTCGCCATGCTCGCGCTTGAACTCCTCCGCAGTCTCCTTGGAAGCTTCAAACGGATCCAGGTCTTCCTGGATCACAATCTCCTGGAGCAGCTGTTTCTTCTTGGGATCATAACCCTTGAACAGTTCGGGTTCAATAAGACGAATACCGGAATGCTCAAGAATGAACTTCTCATATTTTGCCTTGATATCCTTATCGTCCACGGGTTCACCGGTCTTCGAATCGACCCAGCCGGAATACGCCTTCCCCTTTAGCGGACCATTGTGATGTTTAATGAGTCCCATGATCCAAGCCATTTCCACACAGCCTTCGAGGGAGAACTTTCCATGCGCTTCCATTTCCCAGCGTGTCCGCGAGTTTCCCCAAGGTCCAACTTCTGAGAAACCGGTGACGACAACAACTTTGTCCAGGTTGACCATACCCTTGAGGGAATCGTTGAGGGGCTTGATATCTTCATCCCAGTCAGGTAGGTTGGGGAACTCAAACTTGATATTGGCGCGAGGCTCTGCAGTAACACGCTTGTAGAGTACTTCACTGTCCTCTCCGTTGACGATCTTGTTTTCAATCGCCGTTTCCTTAATGACTGCTTGCCGAACATCGCTCGTCGCCATGATGTCGGAGCGAAGGCTGGTCATGAGACCCTTGAGGTCAGGGATGAACTGAAGACCACCGTTAAGGTCGGCCCAAACCGGGTCAAGCTGGCAGAGATTGACAATTGCAGGTGCCATCAGACCGAGAAGATTGAGGGCCATCTCCTGCTGGGAGAAAGTACGGACGCCGAGTTTTTCGACTCCTTCAGCGACCATATTATTCCCACTCATCAATCCGGTACCACGAGTCCAACCAATCACGGCGCCACAGATAGTCAAATAGCTATTCCAGCTTTCGGAGTACCAGCGGTTGAACAGGGTCTCCAAAGCGAGCTTCGACTCAGAATACAAGCCGTCGTTTCCGAAAGTACCGTGGTTGGGGGACAAGGGTAGGATAACCTGGGCAGGGCGAGTCTCGAAGCCATTGGCTTGCTTCTGAGACTTGATGCAGCCTAGCAGTCGCAGAAGGTTGGTCAACATGATGCGATGGGCAAGCTCTGATTTGGAGTCAATGGAATCAATCTCGCGGCCATTTTCGGGAATTGCGGCAAACGGGACGACAAAGTCCAGGTCCCAGCCGAGGCCCTTTTTGGCATCATAGATGTAATCAACGAGAGCCTCCACATCCTGCTTGCTACCTTGGTTGAAAGGAACCACAACCAATTGCGAACCACGGCCCCCGTAACGGGCGTACATTGCCTGGTAGTACTCGGTAACTTCGCGTGAGTACCGACTAGTTGTCACGACGACCTTGGCTCCACCACTGATCAAGCCCTGCAGAACCTCAGCACCAATCGAGCCGGCGCCAGCACCTGTCATCAAAACATTTTTGCCGTGGAATGTCAGGCCCGATCGAGCAGCCGATTCCATGACGTCGAGGTAGACACCCGTAAGCTTCTTGTTGTATTCCCAGCCGTGCTCCATCTTCTTCTTCAGGTGCAAGAAAGGGATCGTTTCCACCTTGCCTGTATGCGGGGTTCCGTTGCGCTTCAGACCGTTTCGGCCAGACTTTTTGGAGCTGCCATTTTCTTGCGGCATGATCTGGTTCTCGTTCATGCTCAAGGCGCGGATTACTTCCTTGTAAAGCGTGTTGAATTGCAACTGGGAGGATTTCGAGAGGCGGTGTTGTCTTTTGATCAGCTTATAAACGCTCCGAAGATCATTTTGCACCTTGGTTCGGTTGCTGTATTCTGAGATGGGGCCGCCCTCTGCCATCTGCTTAACGTAGTGCTCCAGCTTGCGAGCACTAGCTCGAGGAACTTCCTGGTATCCAATGTTTCCTCGCGCATCGATAGTGGTCTGGGGACCAGTAGGAATAGCAACATCCTTATACACGGGGGATACACCCAGAACCTCCTTGCAGTTCTCAATGAGTTGCTGGCCCAGCTCCTTGGCGAGTTTATACGTCTCACCCCGGTCGGTTGGGCAGTTGTCGATATGGTATTGCATGAATTCAAGAAGAAGGGGGTTTGAGCGGTTCATGATGCGGATACACTGGCTCACAATCTCGCGATCTACGACCCTCAGTCTGCCAAAGATGATATCGTAGTACATGCTCAGGGCATCCTGCCGGGCCCAGTTCCAAGAGGAGTCGTATACGCGTGCCTTCAGCGAGTCAAAGGCGGGCTCGATGCCGGACGCGTAAAAATCACCGTGTTCAGCCTGCCACAAATCCAGCTGGGCCTGCAGCGTTCTCTGGGTTTCCTGAGAGTCGATGAATGCCTTTTGGCCGGCACGCAGGTCCATCTTCAAGTATCGTGCAATGATCTCCAATTGCTGCTTGAAGAGGGCACGTTGATCCTTGGTCAATGCATCGATAGCAGCAGGGTCCATAAGCATGCCTCCGGTATTTCCTCCACTGTCACCGCCACTTGTCGGGGCAGAAAGGTTGATACCTGCACTCGCGGCATACTTGTTGGCGACATCATCAAGATACGCCTTGGCATCAGGCTCAGATCCGATACGAGAGGCAGGCTCCATCGTTAGAGCGAGGAGAAGAACACCATCTTGCCTGCCAGACCCCAAGCCCCATCGTGTCTCCAGATATTTGCGGACAGCCGTGATGTTAAAGCCACCAGGCATTTTGGATGACACCAGGCGAGCAATGAGAGAGGAAGACTGTTTACCCAGCTGGCCGTTGAACGTCGCTTGCATGGATGCGCCCAACTCATCGAGGGGCGTGTCTTCTGGTTTTTCTGGCGTAGACCCGAATTCTTTGCCGAGATCTCCGAGGATTTCATTTTGCAGTGTCGATTTACCTGTCGAGCAGAAAATTTAGCTTGTACTTGGAATACCATCGTTGGTCCCATCATGTGTACATACCTCCCACCAAGTCCTTGATAGCCTTGCTCAGAGGTACGTCTGACAAGCCCTTCTTCAACTTCTGTGCTACGAGGGTCCTCAGAATATCGACTGCCGTGACCGGGGTGTCCTCGACTGCTGCTGCCGGGCCGGCGCTGGGAGGTGGCGGTGCTGCCGCTGCGGGTGCCGCTGCGGCCGCGGGAGCAGCAGGTGCCGGGGCACTGGATGCAGGTGCTGTTTCAACTTCCGCTTCCTCCTCTATAGGATCCACGTCATAGTATATCTCCTTGGCATCCTTGTTGTAGCAGAGTATTTGGCGCTGCACCGACGTTGCGGCGTCATATGCTTCATATTTAGACGCAATCGTTCGCCTAGCCATGCCACCCAATGTGTCTGCCGGGCCAATTTCGACAATCCGTTCTGTTCGTTGTTCTGCGAGAACAACATCTTGAGTCTCGATCCATCTCACCGGCGAGGCAAACTGGTAAGCCAAAAGCTCAACCAGCAAGGTATGAGCAAGCTCCTGTTCAACTTCCGGGCGCATGGTGAAGTTGATTGAAAGTATGGGATAGATAAGTGAAAAGAAAGCACACGTCCGATTTTAGACGTCGCTTCGTGAACAATGATTCTCAAACTGACGGCGGCCGCTAAGGGAAGAAACAGAGCGAGAAGTGATTAGAAAGATCTATTTAATAAGGTGAAAGGGAAAAAAAGCTGTCCAAATATGCACCAGTCAGTAAAGCATTTGAAGAAATGTGGGATTCATCAACCTCGTTCTAGATTAATGTTCTGGATCAAGCCCAATGGTATACAGGACGGAGATAGTATTGGGGTGAAGTGGAAAAAAAAAAAAAAAAGGGAACGGGCCTAACATACTGTAATGACTTAAAACTTCACTGCACACCGTCTCCAAGTGGGAATCGCTAAAGCCCACTCAGCTGGAACCACAGACAGTGGGGAAAAATATATACCAGCGAACTAGAAGTGAACAATGCCAATTGGGAAATGTCAAAAGAGAGTAGAAGTGAAGACGGAGAGAGAAGCACGATGCTCCCGATTGCTGAGCTTTTGGTGGGTGTTGGGGCGGGAGGAAAAGAGCACCGCAGTCCATAGTCAAGTGGTTAGTTCCCTCCGCCGCCGTGGGTCACTTTCCATTACGGCCAGTACTGTACATACGTACGGAGTATAACCACGAGTACACGCCCTACCGCACAATGGGGATTAGTCATCTTTCAGGATCCTGCTGTTAACTACGGAGTACTCTGGAGTACTCCAGGGTAGTTACTACCTACTGTACTCTGTACATTCATTTCTCACAAGGAATTGAATACTACATACGCTGCCCCCGGTGATCACGCTGCATGATGGTCTGCTATCCAGATATCTTCCATAAGGACTTCCCGTTCCAAGAAAGGATTGACTTTCCCATTCCTCTCCTATAGCGTCGCTTGGGTTCAACGTGCATGATGGAGCATGTCTAGCATTCTGAACGGATAAGTACCGTGCTCGAGTAGATCTGAAGGAGATAGATTTCTTGACTTATATTCGAAGTTCATTGAATATTTACCCGCTCTTGTCGTTGACCAACATTTCTAATGGGGATTGACTAGTTATGATATATCATATATGACTCTATATGATCGATCTGCAGATACACCTGTTCACTTACCCACCTAAAGCAGTGTATCCAATGTAAAGACCTGAGAGTGCCCAAGGGCTTTTAACTGCGGGGTAACGTTCCGTTTGAATGACAATACCTAATCTCCCGAAATCTGGATCTTTCTAGAAAAGAAAAGAAAAATCATTGAACGTGTCCGTCCCCTTGTTTACAGAGTAACTACAGTTGTTGTTGTGATATAGTTGTGATAGAAAAGTAGGTGAGATGCCTAGCGATTAGGTACCTTTCTGATACCGACGAATACAGCCGGAGGGCCGGTATTGTTACCATCCGCCGGGTCCAGCCCAACCGTTTCGGACCTTTGGGGAGGTTTCCGCCCAGCGCTATACCCTATCTGGCGGGTTCTCATTCAACCAGCGCAAAAGTGCGGGTTCTTCTCCGCCCATCAGTTCAACAGTGTGTTCCGTCCAATACCATGACTTGCGTGGATGGTAAGTATTATTCGGTGACCTTTTTTTTTTTTGGCCTTTTTTTTTTATTCCTCTCCCCCTCCCAAATCGGCCATTATCATTTCATAGCAGTCTCAATTCCCTCCACCGGGAACCTTTTCTCCTTTCCCTTCGTGCACATTAATATTATTTACTTGCTATAATACCACTTTTTCTTCAATTCCTCCCCCCCTTATATTCTATTATTCAAGTCCTGTTTCTACAGGCAGTATCCGACCTTTTTTTTTTGGTCTTTTTTCGATTGAAAAAAAAAAGACGCGGTCAAGGGTGGACCAACATATGATCCTAAACCAGATTTGATTAGGAACAGCTAGAGATACAGCTTTCAACTTTACGAAAACCGGTACGTCCTCTAACTCACGAGCTCAAGAGGAAAGAAAGCTAAATTTTACTTCAAAAGCAAAAAGTAGATACGAGATCACGAGAAGATGTACGGGACATCCACCGGACCCCAGACGGGAATCAATACTCCACGCTCATCGCAGTCGCTGCGGCCACTGATCCTGTCTCATGGATCCCTCGAATTCTCCTTCCTTGTGCCGACTTCTCTTCACTTCCACGCCTCTCAATTGAAAGACGTTTTCACAGCCTCGCTTCCTGAGCCGACGGACGAGCTTGCCCAAGACGACGAGCCCTCCTCGGTAGCGGAGCTTGTGGCCAGATACATTGGACATGTTGCCCACGAGGTTGAGGAAGGCGAGGATGATGCGCAGGGGACGTATTTAGAGGTCCTGAAGCTTGCCCTCAATGAATTCGAGCGGGCATTCATGCGTGGCAACGACGTTCATGCAGTCATCGCCAGTCTTCCGGGTATTACGTCCAAGAAAGTGTCTGTCGTGGAAGCATACTACGCCGGCAGAGCTGCTGCTGGTCGTCCCACCAAGCCTTACGATTCCGCGCTGTTCCGTGCCGCCTCGGACGAGAAAGCAAGCATCTACACCGTCTTCGGCGGCCAAGGCAACATTGAAGAATACTTTGATGAACTCAGGGAAATCTACTCCACTTACTCATCCTTTGTGGATGACTTGATTACCTCGTCGGCGGAGTTGCTGCAGTCCCTGTCGCGTGAGCCCGAAGCCAGCAAGTTGTATCCGAAGGGCCTGGATATTCTCCATTGGCTCCAGGATAGCGATTCTCAGCCAGACACAGACTACCTGGTTTCGGCCCCCGTGAGTCTTCCGCTAATTGGCTTGGTTCAGCTGGCACACTTTGTGGTCACCTGCAAGGTTCTTGGAAGAGAGCCCGGAGAGATCCTGGAGAGATTCAATGGCACAACGGGTCATTCTCAGGGTATTGTCACTGCCGCAGCAATCGCATCGACAACTACCTGGGAAAGCTTTGAGAAGGCCGCGAAGGATGTACTGACAATGCTCTTCTGGATCGGTCTGCGCAGTCAACAAGCCTACCCCCGTACATCCATTGCTCCATCGGTATTGCAAGATTCCATTGAAAATGGTGAAGGCAACCCGACTCCTATGCTTTCGATCCGCGATCTTCCCAGATCCGCTGTTCAGGAACACATTGATACCACCAATCAACACCTTCCCGAGGATCGCCACATCTCCATCTCTCTGGTCAACAGTGCTCGCAACTTTGTCGTTACCGGACCACCGCTCTCCCTGTACGGTCTGAACCTCCGTCTCCGCAAGGTCAAGGCCCCGACTGGATTAGACCAGAATCGTGTTCCCTTCACACAGCGGAAGGTCCGATTTGTCAACCGATTCCTTCCCATCACCGCTCCCTTCCACAGTCAATACCTGGCTTCGGCATATGATCGCATTCTGGAGGATTTGGAGGATATTGAGATCCCCGCCAAATCCCTGAACATTCCAGTCTATGGCACCAAAAGCGGCGACGATTTGAAGAAGCTTGGAGATGCAAACATTGTCCCCGAGCTGGTTCGCATGATAACTCATGATGCGGTCAACTGGGAACAGGCAACCGTCTTTCCCGAAGCTACTCATATTGTTGATTTTGGTCCGGGCGGAATTTCTGGTCTCGGAGTGCTTACGAACCGAAACAAGGATGGAACTGGTGTTCGTGTTGTACTTGCTGGGGCTATGGATGGTCCCAATGCCGAAATTGGCTACAAGCCAGAGCTCTTCGATCGCGACGAAGATTCGGTTAACTTTGCCATTGACTGGGTCAAAGAGCATGGGCCTCGCCTGGTGAAAAACAAGACCGGTCAGACCTTCGTTGATACGAAGATGAGTCGGATCCTTGGTATTCCCCCAATCATGGTTGCTGGAATGACACCGACTACTGTTCCATGGGATTTCGTTGCTGCGATCATGAATGCGGGCTACCATGTTGAACTCGCTGGTGGTGGTTATTACAATGCCAAGACGATGACCGAGGCTGTCTCCAAGATCGAGAAGGCGATCCCCCCCGGCCGTGGTATCACGGTCAACTTGATTTATGTCAATCCTCGCGCCATGGCCTGGCAGATACCCTTGATTGGGAAGCTGAGGGCAGACGGTGTACCCATCGAAGGTCTTACAATCGGTGCCGGAGTTCCTTCTATCGAAGTTGCCAATGAGTACATCGAGACTCTCGGAATTAAGCACATTGCTTTCAAACCTGGATCTGTCGACGCCATCCAACAAGTCATCAATATCGCGAAGGCGAACCCCAAGTTCCCGGTTATCCTCCAATGGACTGGAGGTCGGGGTGGAGGTCACCATTCATTTGAGGATTTCCACCAGCCTGTTCTCCAAATGTACACTCGTATCCGACGCTGCGACAACATCGTTCTTGTTGCTGGCAGTGGCTTCGGTGGGTCTGAAGATACTTACCCGTATCTTTCTGGTATCTGGTCGTCTTCCTTCGGATACCCGCCTATGCCCTTCGACGGTTGCTTGTTTGGTAGTCGCATGATGATCGCTAAGGAGGCACATACGTCCAAGAACGCCAAGAAGGCCATTGCTGATGCCCCTGGTCTTGACGATAAGGATTGGGAAAAGACATACAGCGGTCCCGCTGGTGGCGTGCTCACGGTCCTTTCTGAGATGGGCGAGCCAATTCACAAACTTGCCACAAGAGGTGTTAAATTCTGGCACGAAATGGACCAGAAGATCTTCAAGCTTGACAAGGCGAAGCGTGTGCCTGAGCTCAAGAAGCAGCGCAACTACATCATTCAGAAACTCAACGACGATTTCCACAAGGTGTGGTTTGGCCGCAACGCGGCCGGCGAAACCGTTGACTTGGAAGATATGACTTACACTGAGGTCGTTCATCGTATGGTGGATCTCATGTACGTCAAGCATGAATCACGATGGATTGATGACTCGCTGAAGAAACTGACTGGTGATTTCATTCGCCGAGTCGAAGAGCGTTTTACGGGCTCCGAGGGCCAGCCCTCTCTGCTTCAAAATTACTCGGAGTTGAACACCCCCTACCCGGCGATCGATAATATCTTGGCGGCATACCCTGAGTCAGCTTCGCAGCTCATCAACGCCCAGGACGTTCAGCATTTCCTCCTTCTATGCCAACGACGTGGGCAAAAGCCAGTTCCATTTGTTCCTTCCTTGGATGATAACTTCGAATATTGGTTCAAGAAGGATTCCCTTTGGCAGAGCGAGGATTTGGAGGCCGTTGTTGATCAAGATGTTGGAAGAACCTGCATTCTCCAGGGTCCGATGGCCGCTAAGTTCTCAAATGTGATCGACCAACCAGTGCAAGATATTCTGGATGGCATTCATCAGGGGCATATCCAGAGCTTGATCAAGGATGTGTACGCCGGTGACGAGTCGAAGATTCCTGCCATAGAATATTTTGGTGGCCATCTTAAGGAGACTACGGAGGGTTCTGAAACTGAAGGCCTCACCATTTCGGAGGACTCGAACAAGGTCACTTATAGGCTATCATCCTCGCCTTCTGCAGACCTTCCCATCATTGATGGGTGGTTGAGCCTTCTTGCCGGCTCATCCTTTTCCTGGAGACACGCTTTCTTTCTCGCCGACATCTTTGTTCAAGGTCATCGGTTCCAGTCCAATCCAATGAAACGACTTGTTGCTCCAACTTCGGGAATGTATGTTGAAATTACGCATCCCAACGATCCTTCCCAGACGTCTATTACCGTCAGAGAACCGTACCAGTCCGGAAAGATGGTCAGAACACTTGAGGTGAAATTGAACGAGAATCAGCAAATCAGCCTGACCTTGTTCGAAGGGAGAACTGCTGAAGCTGGCGTTGTTCCTTTGAGTTTCCTGTTCACATATCACCCCGAGGCCGGATATGCACCGATCAGAGAGGTCATGGAAGGTCGCAACGATCGTATCAAGGAATTCTACTACCGTGTCTGGTTTGGTAACAAGGATGTTCCATTTGATACCCCCACGACCGCGACCTTCTCTGGTGGTCGTGAGACAATCAGTTCTCAGGCGGTTGCCGATTTCGTGCATGCTGTTGGCAACACTGGTGAGGCTTTTGTCGATCGCCCTGGCAAGGAGGTATTTGCTCCTATGGATTTCGCCATTGTTGCAGGCTGGAAGGCTATTACGAAGCCTATCTTCCCTCGTACCATTGATGGAGATCTGTTGAAGCTTGTCCACCTGTCGAACGGATTCAAGATGGTCCCTGGGGCCCAGCCACTTAAGGTTGGCGACGTGCTGGATACCACGGCACAAATCAATTCGGTCATCAACCAAGACTCTGGAAAAATGGTTGAAGTTTGCGGCACCATCCAGAGGGATGGCAAGCCTATCATGCATGTCACAAGTCAGTTCCTGTACCGAGGCGCCTACGTGGACTTTGAAAACACTTTCCAGCGCAAGGATGAGGTTCCTATGCAGCTTCACCTTGCTTCCAGTAGGGATGTGGCTGTTCTTCGCTCCAAGGAATGGTTCCGTATGGACGAACCTGACATTGAGCTCCTTGGTCAAACTCTGACCTTCCGTCTTCAAAGTCTGATCAAGTTCAAGAACAAGTCCGTTTTTAGCCACGTTCAGACGGTTGGCCAAGTTCTCCTTGAACTCCCCACCAAGGAAATTATTCAAGTCGCATCGGTCGACTATGAGGCTGGCACTTCCCACGGAAACCCAGTTATCGACTACCTTCAGCGCAACGGAAACTCGATAGAGCAGCCTGTCTACTTCGAAAACCCAATCCCTCTTAGCGGCAAAACGCCATTGGTTCTACGCGCCCCGACGTCGAATGAGACTTATGCTCGTGTCTCTGGCGATTACAACCCAATCCATGTTTCGCGTGTCTTTTCCAGCTATGCCAACTTGCCGGGTACCATTACCCATGGCATGTATACCAGTGCTGCTGTGCGCAGCTATGTTGAGACTTGGGCGGCTGAAAATAACATTGGGCGTGTGCGCGGTTTCCATGTGTCACTCGTCGGCATGGTCTTGCCCAATGACATGATTACCGTGAAACTACAGCATGTCGGTATGATTGCTGGTCGCAAAATCATCAAGGTTGAGGCTAGCAACAAGGAAACCGAGGACAAGGTCCTACTGGGCGAGGCCGAGGTCGAGCAACCCGTCACTTCCTATGTGTTTACGGGACAAGGCTCGCAGGAGCAAGGCATGGGAATGGAGCTTTATGGCAGCAGTCCCGTTGCTCGTGAAGTTTGGGATCGAGCTGATCGTCATTTTATCGAGAATTACGGGCTCTCGATAATTGACATTGTGAAGAACAACCCCAAGGAGCTCACTGTCTATTTCGGTGGCCCACGTGGAAAGGCTATCCGTCAGAACTACATGTCCATGACTTTCGAGTCTGTGAATGCGGATGGCACGATCAAATCCGAGAAGATATTCAAGGAAGTCGATGAGACCACATCCTCTTACACCTACCGGTCACCCTCCGGACTTCTCTCTGCAACTCAATTCACGCAGCCAGCTCTTACTTTGATGGAGAAGGCAAGCTTCGAAGATATGCGCTCCAAAGGCCTCGTTCAGAGAGATAGCAGTTTTGCCGGTCACTCACTGGGTGAATATTCGGCCCTTGCTGCGCTGGCCGATGTCATGCCAATTGAGAGCTTGGTCTCCGTCGTCTTCTACCGAGGCTTGACTATGCAAGTCGCCGTGGAGCGAGATGAGCAGGGTCGCTCGAACTATTCCATGTGCGCTGTCAATCCAAGCCGCATTTCCAAAACTTTCAACGAGCAGGCTTTGCAGTATGTCGTTGAAAACATCTCCGAGCAAACAGGCTGGCTCTTGGAAATTGTCAACTACAACGTGGCTAACATGCAATATGTTGCCGCTGGTGATGTAAGTTCAATCCCAGAGGGCGTAAAGAATCTTCCACTGACTCTCACAGCTACGAGCACTTGACTGCCTTACGAATCTGCTCAACTATCTCAAGGCGCAGAACATCGACATCCCCGCTCTTATGCAGAGCATGTCGTTAGAAGATCTCAAGGCCCACCTTGTCAGTATCATTCACGAATGTGTCAAGCAAACGGAGTCGAAACCCACTCCTATCTCTCTTGAACGAGGTTTCGCAACAATCCCTCTCAAGGGAATTGATGTTCCTTTCCACAGCACTTTCCTCCGCTCCGGTGTGAAGCCCTTCCGGTCATTCCTGCTGAAGAAGATCAACCGGACTACTATCGACCCGAGCAAGCTGATTGGCAAGTACATTCCGAATGTCACTGCTCGTCCATTCGAAATCACCAAGGAATACTTTGAAGATGTCTACAGGCTTACAAACTCCCCTCGTATTGCCCACATCTTGGCAAACTGGGAGAAATTTGAGTAAAGGAAACGGGGATAGTCTGAGATTCTCCGGTTACCCACACGACTAGCTAATTCCGGCCTTGGTTTGCATCCTGGATGCAGGGATATATCATGTTCATTTATTTTTCTTTCCACTGTGCTTATTCATGTTGAGTATAAAATGCTTTGTCTTAGCGCCAGGTGTTGAGAAGTATTTTCGCATTTCAATTCCACTTTTCAATTTACATTAAATTCTCTCCAGACCTAAGGTCACTCTATCGCAATGGTTTGGGGTGCGCGAACGCTGAAACAAAACGCATCTTAGTCATCTCAATGTTGAGCGACATTGATGTGATTTCACCTTCATTCCCCACCGTCTTTCAGAGCACCGGGCCGTAAAAGACGATCCTCTTTTCCATAAACACCGACGTCTTTCACAATTGCTATAAATCTCCGGTGGTTTTCCTTGGAATCTCCAATGCGAGGGCGGAATATTTTCAGTAGGTCGCTGCTAAGAATGCCAGACTGAGGAATAGCGGCATGGATCTCTGCAGGTGTAGGAAAGGTTTGGTTGCTAGAAACCCCGGTAATGGATACACGGGTTTGGCCTACATGTGTTAGTTAGATGATGGACCCCAGGAATTCTTCATATTGGCCTGTAATTACCTTTCAATGGTTCTGGACTGCTAGCCCGGCTTCCTGAAAAACTTCGGCTGGCCAGAGGCGTCGGGCTGGCTGCTCGTGACCCTTGAGGTGTTCCACCACGAGAGGCCAAGGAAGGGGGGTTGAGCTTAAGCTTTTTGGTCTTCCCACTCTCACTCATCTCACCACCCGAACCTGCACCAGGATCCAAGTCGCTGGTGGATCCAGCACCTGGTCCGTTTCGAACGCGCTTTTTGCTAATCTGAAGTACATCAGTTGCTGGTCCGAAGAGGCTGTGATACCAAAACTTACAGAGGCAGCTGACGCCATTGGCGACATAGGGCGAGAACTAGGCTGAGGCGTAGGCTGGGACGAGGCATGCTTGCTTTTGCCCTTCTTACGGGAGGTGTCCGTACCACTCGCGTCAGAAACATTGGGTGACCCGAGTCGTCTCCGTGTTGCAGTCGCCGAGCCTTTTTTGAGAGGATCGACATGTTTGGGACGACCTGAAGGGGTGTTTCCACCCTTTGAAGACGTCGCTGTATCTTTTTTGTTCTTCTCTTCCTCGGCCTTTCGCTCTTCTTCTTTAAGCCGCTCGGCCTCGCTCTCGTCGGAGCTCTGCATAACATACATCAGCAGGAGATCAATCGAAGGATGGAGGTGCAAAAACTAATGAAAAAAGATAAAAGCAAAACAAACAACTTACCTCTTCATCGGAGTAGGGGTTAACGTCAGACCCACTGCTGTAGTCGTAGTTCTTCTCTCTCTTCTGGAGAGCCTTCCTCACTTTCTTCCCCTGAACCCGACGAGCTTCTTTTTCCTTTCTCTCTCGCAACTCCTCTTGCTCGTATTCCTTTTCTTCTTTCAAATCGAACACGTTCGCCTTCAGCTGATCTTGCTTGATCCTTTTTTCGGCAGCCTTCGCATCTTCGTCCTCATTGAACAAATCATCATGTTCCTCGTCATCAGCGAATCTGTCTTCTTCGAAATCCATCTCGCCGGCTTCTAAGCCTTCGGCACCACCTGGGACGCCTTGTTTGCCAGCGTACACTTTCCGCTGCTTCGCGAACTGATCCAATTCCTTTCGTTGGGCAAGCTCCTGCTGCTTCTCCATAAACCATCTCGGATCTTTCACCTTCTTTGCCATGAATTTCTCCGCCTCTTCTATCGTAAGAGCCTTGAATTGATTTTTGGCATTGAACCTGTACCACTTCTCAACTGGTATCATTCTCATTTTGCCCGTGTTTTCAAGCACAAAGATTGCGTGGGTTTCTGATAAGGCGGCTTCATAGTTACCGACCCAAACGTTCTTGTTGTCGAAATCCTCCAAGTGCCAGGGTAGCGCTTCTTCGTACTTGATTCGTGTTCTAGCTATCTCGTCGGGCGTCATGTCTGTTTTTGAGACCTGCTGTGTTTTTTGTTTGGGGGCATTCGCTCTCTTCGCTGTAGATCCGACAGAGGGCGCTATTTGGGCCAGATTTTCCGCACGCTCTTTCTCCCGCGCTGCCTTCCTAACCTCCAGCTCCTCGCGTTCGGCATCATCCACTTGGTTGCCGAATTCACCCGGGGATTTCTGGATGCCTTTATCCGTGCCTACCGCATGTGACTTTGCCCGGGGGTCACGGCGCTGAAGCCTAACTGGTCGGGTGAACTGGCGCTCGTCGCGGGGGTCAACGGGTTTTTTCGACGCAAACCTGGCAATGTGATGCTTTAAGCCCTCTCGTAGCTCGCGCTTGGTGGTGACAAGGGGGTAATCCACGTAAGTCTCGGATAACAGAGGGCCGCTGAATCCGTTTGCTGAGAAATGGTTCGAAGGCGACTGAAGTTTCCCTTTGTCGGTCTGATGGGCGGGGGCAGGAATGGATCCAGCTGCTCGCACCGGGAATGGTTTCGAGGCTGCACCATTCCCAGAGGATGCCAACCCAGGCGGTTTGGCGGCAGTAGGCTTCTTCCTTGGCCGCACCAAAGGATCTGCCACCCTTGGGCGGCGGATTCTCATCGGCGGAGGGCCATTTGATCCCGTTGGTGTTCGTGAATTTGGGTTGTTTGTAGGGGTAGTCATGGTAGAGCTGATGTGAATTGCGCGCCTTGAGAATTCGCAAAACTGCAGATGAAAGGCTCCTATGAAGGGCGGCTGACCCTCAGGGTCCCGGAATTAATTGCTTCTGGCAGTCAAGACAGAGCAGAACCAAAAGAAAGGAAAGAAAAAGTAGACGATATCGGCTTGGGCTTTGAGGTGGTTCAGCAATGAAGTGCCGGGTGAGTTGGATGTGGTTCGACTCTCAAGACCGCGCCGGACCGCTTAGATAATCATGCCGGTGGTCAATCACGGCGTCCTTTCTTTCTTTCTTTCTCTCGCTTTGCGAATTGAAACAGCCTAGGCTTGGGATTCTTTCAGGGATTTCCAGTAGAATCGAGAGACCACCAATTTATTCACTGTTTATTGATAATAGTGACGTTCTCTACGGATTTACAGTAAAACTCCACGTTCTATATTCATTGTACTCTCACCTTAGCACATTCTGGCGCATTCATGTTCAATCTTCAAAAGACTCTATAGCTCCTTTTGATCTCTCTATATCCGAATTGTCTCCACTCGGGTGACAAAAGCCTCTTGGAATAAATCGGTCAGTCGCTTCTACCCAATTGTCGGCTCCATTACATCGAGTCGAGTCGTATGTAATGTCATGGGATGTAGCTCAATATAACCAACCCGTGCTAGCCACAATATCTTGGGGGGCATTTTATACCATTGTCTTACGCTCATCCACCATTCACTTGATCTAGCGCTGGAGTCTTTTCAATTATGAAGCTGAATGGCTAGCGGACCCTTCGCGTTGCTGTCTGGTAGTGTATCAACCCATGAATGCTAGAAGATATCGCGCACGGATTCAAGTGGGAAACAACCCAAACCAACACTCGTTCGTCTACCTAAATCATCGCCACATATAGTGCAGACAGACCTTGAAAATGTATCAATCTTATTTTCATACACCAAGACCTTAGGTTGGCGATCAACAATCGTCACCATAGGCGCATTTAAGTTCAGGCAACTTACCAGGTTTATATGACCTTTTTATTAAAGCAAATGAATATAAATCCTAACATCCACAACGACCAACCTCGTATGCCGTTCTAGGCTATCATATTGTTTTGTATCTCAATGCTTCTTGCTCGATCGGTACTAGTACCGTTGTCCCTATACCCGGGTACTCTACAGCCTGGCAGACAGAGTGCTAGGCTGAACTAGAGCCCGCGGTTTATACGTACGTCGCAGTTTGTAGTTATACCCCCGGAAGCCAGCTGAGTCGGAAATTCTAAAAGAACCTCAGGATTGCTTCACTACAACCAGGCATTTCGCAAAGTTTATGCACATTACATATCCCTTATCACCGACGATTCTCATTAATATTGGAGGAATCAAATGATGGGTACTCCAATGAAATGCTCTTTATTCTCCTACAATCTCCTTATGACGGATGGCTTCCACTCAAAACAGCTCCACAACCTTCTCTTCCTCATCTTCTTGTCGCTGACCATTTGTGTTGACGCCATTTTCCTGCAATGCATTTGTGCTTTCTTCACCCTCTTCGTCGCGCATTATAACCTGAACCAGCCTGTCGCAAGCCTCTTGGACCTCCTCGTTATCAACCTGGAGATGGCACTCACGGATGATTGGGTAGACTTTAATTGCCCTCATGATAGCTCGCCCTTCTCGTGTTGTTGTGAGCAACAAAAGAGTTTCGAGATGGGTGACAATAATGCTGTGGTCACTGTCTCTCTTTTTGTCTGGCGGGAGCAATTGAAGGTCCGCTAGCATGTCCATTGAATCTTCGTCGGAAAACTCTTCAGGTCCAGCAATTGGCAGCAGTATGTAAGGTAAGATGTTAGCACCATCTTCGGAGAGGAGCACGGAATGGAAAGGGACGTCGAATGCAACGTTTTTGATGGTTGATGCAACTCCCTTTCTTCGTACCGTGCTCTTGTGCTCTGTAAAGACAGTCAGCTTCGTGACAGGTACAACGTCATCGTAGTCCTGTCTAGACGTAAAATATGCCCGGCCCTCTTCAGATTTCGAGAGATCGGCAAACAGATATGAGAGATAATCATAATTGGCATGTTTGTTGAGAGCACCCTCTGCGCCTTTCACAAAACAATCCATCAGTTGATCAATGGCAAAAGCTGAGCTAGACACGGACTCTGGGATTTTTCGCTTCAATGTAAGAAGCCGACTTATTTTGTTGGACTTCGCAAGGTTGGCAAGTAACATGGAGACATCATCTGCGTTTGGCTCTTTGATATTCTGCTCCATATATATCAGTACAAATGCTGTTTCGGGGCATTGTATTCTTTCCATCGTTTGAGAAGTTTAAGCGAGGAAAAGCATTGGGCAAGGAGCACCTACAGTCAATTTGACGAGAAGGGTATCCACGAAGGGGTCATCATTCGCAAGATCAGCCAATATCTCTTCGTCGGCTGAAAGATTTATAAGGATTGTCAAGGCATTTTTTGCGATTGGCTATGCGGCGGGAGAATATCAGTTAAAACATCCCGCAGACTCCGCACTCTGTAGAACTTACTGTATAGTCTCGAACCAAAAGCTTCAAATCGCGCACTGGCAGAAGTTGATGGCGTTTGAATAGACCTGGCTCGGATTTCGAGAAACTGACAAGGTTTTCACATGCTGAAAGAAGAGAGAATTTGATTATTATTTGCTGTCTGTGCTGCCTTTGGTATTTGATCTTTAAAGTCGGGGAGGGAGGGGATTTCTGAATGATGGGCGGTACCAATTTGCCTTATTTGGGTGTTGCCATGATGAAGGAATTCAACTAACTAAACAGAGAGCGCAAATGAGTAAATAAGCCTCCGGTCTATTTCGGTGGGCAGTAGTCTGGGAGTTGAGGCCATAATATTGGGAAGGCAAGGGGAGAATGTTTTCCACTTACCTCTTCCAACTGCGTTGGCATTGTAAAAATGGTTAATAACAGACGGTTTGATTCGAGAAGATATTGGAGGTTGCAGTTATTTGTTCGGCTTGAAGGGGGAGGGAAAGGGGACCGAAAAAAAAAACCCATACCCCGCCGTGAGTGGTGGGGGAAGAGCCTTCTGATGTCACACACAAGGTCGTGTCGCCAAGAGCGCGTGTCCACTCTGAAGCTACACCGGAGTACGGTCCGTAAGTCATAAATATTATCTATTCTATGGTATTAGTATTTACATATTCTCAAACGATTACAACCACCAAGACCCAAAAATTCCACCAGTAGTTGAATCTGCACAAAATCAGACGCCCATATATTGCCATTCATTCACTTATCAACTCCTCCCTAGTTTTAGACTTGATAGAAATATAACCATAGTCGTTGTGGTTATCTTCGAGGCCCGGGTTTTCCGAGATGATTGTAGATGATTCTCTTGTAGTTGAATGGTTGGCTGCAGAGGGGGCGCTTTCGAAAGATCTATGCTCTTCATTTTCCGCCTGGATGATCTGTGTGCGTGCTGTATATTCGGGCTCAGGCTCAGTCAAAGCATCGGAGTGGCCGCGATTATTGAGAGCTGTGTCATCAAGCAGCTCTGCGGAGTGTTCGTGTTTAGTGAGGCTCCTAGTTTCGAGGATAGCTGGCTGATCTTGCAAGTCCCCGCCCAGTTCACCGATTGGTACCGGAGATGGATCAGCCCTCTCCATGCCGTGCTTGGAGATGCCATCAGACTTGGAGCTACACCCAAAATGTGTATCAACAAGGTGCTTTACCACCGGCCACCCATAGGCATTCGTGAACATTCGCCTAACAATGATATTATTGTGTGCATCAGGTTCAAGCCGCACGAGTACTTTCCTCCATGATAGGTTACGGTGGTATGCTCTCGCAATTTTTTCCTCGACTTTGAGCCCACGCTCAGGTTCAGCCTCGTCATAACTGGGTTCGATTTGAGGATCTTGCGATGGAAGTAATTGTGGTCCCGAGGATTTGCTTTGTGAAGAACCGAATGTCAAGGTGCGGCGCTTGGTAGGAAGAGGTGGTGGAATGTCCTCAGGATGATATATCCGATCATGAAAAATGGTCCGAGCTCTTGACTCGGGGTCAACGATGAAATCAGCGGGAGGGAGAGGTGGCATGAGAAGATCACTGGCAGATTCAAAGAAAGTAGTTTTAGGGGGGGTATTAGACCCGTATTCTTCGGAAGGACTGTCACGAGCAAGACTCTCGCGATGACAGAAACTAGACGATGATACTCCTTCGACGATATCACCAGGAGGAAGTGTTTGACTGCGTTTATATATCTTTGTTTGTTTGTATCCCGTGGTGGTATTTGCTTTCCCTTTGGGCCGAAACATTGAGAAAATATTGCCGAGTGAGCTATGTGAGAAAAGCTGGTTTGATTCGTTCTTTGGCAAGGCTTCCGCAGCGGATAGACTTGCTGGTAGAAGCTTGCTTGGGCTTTGATCACCATCAAACGAACCCGAGCCACCATGGTTTGTTGTGTTGTGCATATCGACAGGCATTGTTGGTTTCTCACCTTTATGTGGGGGGTCCTTCTGTCTGAAATCTGCAACAGAACGAGTGCTTCGCGGGGATTTGGAATTGGCACCGGTTAGTTCAGCCCATCCCCATTCAGCCATCGTTCCAACAATGCCATTTCCCCGTCTAGCTTTCTCCACTCGGTCTAATCCCTTCCAATCGAGGAATAGCAGACAAGAGGTGCGTAGAGGAACGATCCCATCATTGACGACGTTGGAATAGACCGTGCGATTCTGAAACTTAGATAATATTTCATGAGCCGGACCACAGGGTAGGATCCTGAGTAAAGGCTTCGAGCCAGCGTTTGCGTGTTGGTGCGGCTTCGTGGAGTCCCCTTTGCCGCCAATCATGGCTTCCCAGCCACTTCTTACTCGCGGCGCCGTCCAACTAAGCCCTAGGTCCTGACCTGTCCGACCAACAAGACCCAAGTCTAAGGCAAACCTAACGTACATAGGATTTTCATTGCTGAGGCCTAGGAACGGGGTGGCAAGAGCGACAAAGTTGACAGGTTTGATAGAATCAAAGAATCCGGGATAGTGTTTTTGAATATACGCAATAGCATATGTTTGAATGAGACCGCCGAGTGAGTGTCCAATGAAACTGATGCTTGTTATTTTGTAAGCATGGGTTTTGGCATCAGGGAGCCCAGCTGGATTGTCAGAGCAGGCACCGTCTATAGAAGGTTCTTCCACTGCACTCTTCCAAGTAGAACGGGTTTTTGGGAAAGAATTTGTGCTGGCAGATCTGCCAGGTAGATGTGGCTGGTCAGGATATGTCATCAAAAGAACATATTTTGCGAGGCGTTTCCCAAGGTACTGAATCCCGCGTTCAGTACGGACAGCATTTCCAGGAAAACCTCTAACTATGACCTGTTCGACGTCGTTATCGTCCCCTTCTTCCTCACCCCCATCTCCCTCATCCTCCTCCTCATTCCCCTGGTGGTCTTGCTGCTCCTGCTCTTGTTGCTCGTTGTCTCCAATGCGGCTCGCTGTCTTAGAGCTGGCAGGGGCGCAGGGGCCAGCATGTCTAGTTGAAAGATTCTGTTAGCGAGTCGTGAACGGTGAAAATGTACAGTCAGATAATTCTCTTACTCGTTCTTGTTGCTCTTATTTCTATTCTTTGTGTGACGACCTTTAGAGCCTCTCGCATTTCTTGCAGCGGCATCGATGCTTTCTTTGAGATAGAGCATATCTGCGCCGAGATTGCTATGTAAGCCATGCGTTAATATGACAAGATGGATTTTCTTTCTGCGCTGGCCGCACTGGGTCGAGCTAGCGGGGCCATCGAAACTCGATGACGACTCGGCATGCGATGCTGGAAAATCCTGACTTGGTCTCCTCCCCTTTCCTTCGTTATGTTCTTCTGATAAGCCTGGAAAGGGGGGGTAATTCCAAAGGCTAGCAGTATCATCGACAAGCAAGGTAATAGAGCTTGAATAAACGCCTCTGGAAGCAAGAACTTGCTTGCCTTTCGATTCGGTTGACCAATGGTCGCGTAGTTGAGCTGCCCGACCTCCGTCCGTTGTTAACCCCCCTACAGAGAGCTCTGTGGACTTTTTGTCGCGGCCCACCAAAAGTTCAAAGCCGACAGACGCGGTGTTTGAGAAAATCACCTGGGAGACTATCTCCACAACCCATGTCACGGGCTCGGATGAATCGGATCTGGCTTGAGTATTTTTCGGTGTGCTGCTCTGCGAAACATTGATGACCGCATCCCAGTTCCCTCCTGCTTTTAGGTAAGGTTCAAATTGTGGTGTTTCCTCCGTATCTCGATGGGGGAATTTAACGTTGGGGTCAAATGTAGAGGGATAGCAGGACGTGTACAGGGTGTAGGGACCATGAAGATAAGCCGCTCGCAGGGGGATTGCAGACGTATTCTTTACTTTGACGAATAGTTTTTCTGGGATAGGGTGAATCTTTTCAGCTGATGGTGTATATGTGATGGTGTACCTGTTTTTTTGGAGTAGGGTAAGTCCCCGAATCACGCTCGAAAGGGGAGACATGTGCATACCTAACCACCTCACCCACTTGAACACTTCCAGCTTGGTGGATCAACAGCATTTCAGCTGCCTGCTCGACGTTACTTTGAGCTGTACGCCACCCTTGAACAGAATGGAATTTATATTGATTCGACTTGTCAAATGGAGAAAGTCCGCGGTCTGGTATCTGAGACGCAGAATAAAGCTTTGAATTGTGGAGCATCGATTTGAATTGTGAAGCATTCCATGATAGAAGTAAAGCAGATGCTCATCAAGCCCACTAGGCCATAGGCGCTTGCTTTACTTGAGCAAGGTTAACAGTGAGACTGGGGTCTATTCCTTGTGATTGCTCGGGTTAGAACCATCGGGGTGGGTACGGCACCCAGCGACGGTAGCCCGCCCGCCCGTACGTAGTCATGTGGGTACTGTATGTATCCCCTGACCCCCTGACCCGAATACACCATGTACATACGAAGTATGTATGTATGTATTTACCTACGTTCTAAGAGAGTTATACCTGCTACCTTTACCTATCACGATCACTCTTCTACTATACAAATACTATCCCCCAAAATCCATTTCAGTGCCTCTCCACCATTATCGAAACTGAAATTTCAAATTCCATGGAATCTGTCAATCCCGAATCCCTGTCTTGACTTTTCTAGTTACCCAATAACTAGTATGTACTACAGACTGTCTTGTCAATATGCCAGCTTTCCATAGAAACGTAACGTGTGATTTAACTAGACACGATGTTCTAACACGGATGTGCCACAGCCTCATGTGGCACCCTGAATGATGGCTGTAACGCAATGGGAACGTTGTGCAGACGAAACGCAGTCTCATGAACCATGGTCGAATACCTGGTAGTTTATCTTCACATGTTTGGAGGTACTAATATGTTCAATGCGCATTTATCGTCTTTGCTCACCTCGACCCAGCCCTTCTCCTCGACAGCAATGACTTTGCCATCAATACATACTCTTCTCCATCTCTCATCCTGCTCGTCGAAATCAATTCTAAGCTTCGCAATCTCTCTGTAGCAAACACGGTCCTTTTTTACATGCTGACCTCCGCGATAGGCATCGCTCATCAGTTGCATAGCATGCTCCGGAGGTAGTGGCCCGAAATGAACCATTCGAAGGCAGCCATCGAGCGGCTTTGATTCGGGGGAGATCACAAAGGCCTCTTCAAGCCTCGAAACCAAAGTCACTAGCAAATACATGTGTTCCCGGGTTTGCATGATTTCGACACGCTCACTGTCTGTTTGGCCGTTGCTCTTCGTGAAAGTAACCGTACCAATGTATCTATGGGTCTCGGCACCACTGGATGGGAAAAGAAGTTCCTTTGCAGCCATCTTGAACCTATCGGCCCCAAATCTGCGATATTCCACCGTGTCACTATCAGCCACTAATGCCGCGTGCATGCCCCAACTGACAACCACGGCACCATATATTCTCGGGCCCAGGTTGTCATTTGCTGGGTTATCAATGATAAGGGCCCGAGACTGGCCCTCTTCAGTGACGTATCGTGCGCCAGGTGAGAATATAGCACCGAAGACGGGTATGGGCTTGGGCGTGCCTTGCAGCAGAGCCACTAAGGCGGAAAGCGGCCGAGAACCGATTCCAATCGAGCTTGCCATTGCGTTTCCTGTGCCCATTGGGATGAGAGCAAGCGTGGGAGGATGTAATGAAGGTGTACCAGCAGTGTGAAAGGTATTAACGATATCAGTCAAGCCGCCATCTCCGGATAGAAGAACTATCGTCTGCGAGATTCCAGACTCGGCTTTCAAGATAAACCTTGACATACACAGCTCAATTATTGTATTTGCGGATTCTGTTTCGTGGATTTCATAGTCGGATAATCCAAGATGCAACAAGAGAGGCTGCAAGATATGGAGAAAGATGTGTTTGGCCCTTCCTGTCCCCGAAAGGCTAGATATTATGATATGTATTTCTCTTGTCTCCGTACCTCGAGTCTGAAGGTGACGAGGAACAGACTCGTACAGGTGAGATGATAGTAGCTTTGGTGGTAAAGAGCTGAACGAGACCGACTCTAGACGTCCGTACTCATCCCGGAGGCCACAGCCGGCTTCCTGATGCCCTGTTCGGAGGAACAATAAGGTATACCCCTTTGTGGCAGTGGCGTGCTTCGGGATGACACAAACTATATCATCAATAGCGATCCTGACTTCCTTCTGTTGGGAATCCTGGTATTGGATATAATTGTCGGCGGTATTGTAGTAGAAACAGTCATTATTTGGAATACATTCGACGACCATTATTCCAAAACCACATGTGAAAACATGCACCCAATGAATTCTATGTTGGTTCTATTATTTTTGAGGTAGTGGCAGTGGTGATGATAAGGAGTGGTGTTGTTGAATCATGAAACATGGTGTTGTGGTCGAGTTGATGAAATAACGATAGAGCAGCGTAAGCACGCGAAGCAGTGCCTATGTAATTATGGTGGGGTAGGTACTCAGGTAAAACACCGGGAATACGCGAATACGGTATGATACCTTAGGTATAAGGTACCTTGAACGTAGAAAGTCCGAGAGTGAGAGAAGATATTAGGCGCCCAGAGAGTATCTAGGAACGTCATGATATCGATATAGATACATGTGCATGTAGCAGCAGGTCCTATTTCATTTGTAAAAGCTCCCTACGACTGGTATCTCCGGAATCCCTTGCCTAATAGACCTCGCATGGCATTGAGGTCTATTTTAGCAACTAGACACATGCTTGTCACTCAGGTTTACTGCGATGAATGTCTGCGGTAGTTTGACACTAGAGCAAGACACTGGTTAACAATCTAGTTTAACCAGAACACAAAGGGTAGACAGGTATTACTTACGTGTCAAATTTCGCCTTCAGTGTTTCGATGACCTCTTTCCAATCTTGATGAGCAGTTAAACTCCGTCTCGGCGCACAGCCAATTGCATGTCTAGAGTCAAGCTGTACATCCAGAGGATCAAAAGCATGACACCCGGGGCTGATCGAAATACGGATCGAGTAAGAATTAGTTGATGATTCGCAGTCCCTGGCTTCATAAAGCTCAAAGCAGATCTGAGACAAGTAGTCCAACTCAGGGATAGCTGTTCTTGCTATCTTGGTTTGTATCCCACCCTCCAGAATGCAGTTGAGAAGAGTGTAAATGTGGGACTCCTTTGTGAAGTAAAAGAAGGACTTAGCATCTTGTGAGGCTTGGACCTCTTCAAGATCTCTCACTATTTCTTGAAGAAGAGGCAAAGACGTCAATAGGCCGATCTCTAGCTTTTCGGTGTCGGTGATACCATACTCCTGGGGTGTGACATAATCAAAAAGAACTTTTGCCAGCTTGTATAGTTCCCTCAATTTAGAAAGTCTCCCGTCTAGTTTGGCCTTCTTGGAACTTGATCCTGGATATAGCTTGAAATAGTGGTCGTAGGAATCATCCAGTGCCCTGAAGTGGGGCATCGATTCAAATGCGTGCATTCTCTTTTTTAATCCAAACCGTCGGGCGAGGGCGGAGCTTTCAGGGAGTTCTTCGCTCTTTTCCTGACTTGCTCCTTCGCTGCCAGACTTATTATCCTCAGTGGCATCACCTTCGTCGCCGTCCGGTGGCATGAAAACCCATTCCAGGAAAGGCCGGTTGTGAAGGGCGTCGAATTTCATACTATCATAGAGCTCAGAAAGCTTACTTGGATCGACCTTTTCTGTGTCACAAAACTCGGCGAATAGCTTCTCCCATCTTTCCTTAAATAAGGTAGGATCTTCACCAGTACACCACCGACCTTGGATCGAGTCCAAAGCGGGATTACCTGAGTTTAAATCTGTCAAGGCAGGATCCTCGAAGTCGTCTGATTCCATGACATCATGTTGCGGTTTTTCAAGTCTTTGGAAATTATGTCTCATGACGTCGCGATGGAACTTCATAAGTTCGACAACTGTAGCTAGAACAACCGACGGCTCAGGAATATTGTCTTTTGGCCAGGTAAACTGCGATGGTGCAGAGCCCTCCCGTAAAAGCAGTTTCAGCTTCTTCTTAACTTTGTCCATGTGGTCTTTAGCGGCGTTGGAGTCGTCCAAAAGATCCTTGCGGACTTGTATAAAATCTTCCGGGAGCTCTTTTTGGTCAAGAAAGGAACAAGCCCAAATTTGAGCTATATCACCTGTTTAGTTCACAGCCCACGGAACAAGCAAGGATATCAAACTCACCACTAGTGCTCACCCTTCGCTCGGAGCTCGTGAATATGCGAACGTTGTTAAGGGCCTCTTTATTCATCAACTTCAGGTCATCACGCATGTTAAGCCCTAGATCTTGAGATTGGTATCTCGCCGCATGTGTAGGCTCCCCTCCCCATTTAATTACGAGCTGAAGTTTATCCAGGACAAGGTCATTCTCAGCCGCAGAGAATCGTGAAAATGTTGCACCAGAGATAGAATCGCTTCGCGTTTGAGACCTGCTCGTATCGTGGGTCCCTAATGAAGTTTCAACGGGATGGGAACACATGGCGCCATCCTCAGTGTTCTCGGTGGAAGCCATCTGGGTTGTTTGTCCGCATGGCTTGTCAAATTCCTTCTTGCGAAACATCGGCTTGATCTGGACCTTTGTCCCAGGCCAGCCCCCCTTTTTCTGGAGAGATGTACGTAGTAATTTTAGTTTATCCATATCTTCCAGGCCATTTTTCATCGCCACTCTAACAGCATCGGACACGCTAGCCAAGGCTGCCTCCCCTTTGATAACGACCTCCTCTTGGTGTCCTTTTAGTAGGTCGATGAAGGGTTGACTGTGAAATGTGAATTTGAATTTTTGTTTAGGTGTGCGGTCTGCATGGCGAATGACTGCCACCATACCTTTCAGTTTCCAGGAGTGTTTGGAAGCTGGAGGTGGGGGTGGAGCCCCCTCATTTAGGTTTATCGACATGACAGGTGAAGCGCTAGGTGGAGAAACATGGGCACTGGAAGCTGGAAGTCTCTCATGCGTGGATGAGGCATTATGACAAGACACATTATCACGAGCCTCTGTAGTGGAAGAAGGGGCCATCAAGCCAGAAGAATTTGACTGCTCGGAGGTTTGGTGGCCTGACGTGTTCCCATGAATCTTTGAGGTGCTGGGAGATTTGAGCAGAGTCCTTAAAGCATGCTTGTGGGAGACAGAATATCTCCAGGGATGACCAGTGTCTGGTGAGAATGATTCAATCTGCTCCTGGTTCCCTTCACGCCTGTGCTTCTCGTTCAAAAAGGCGTCCTTCAGAATACTAGCACATCTATCGTAATAGTCATTGTTGTCTTTGACAAAGCTCCAGCCGTTAACGTCAATAACATAGCTTCTCTCTCCCACTCGAAGCATGTCAAAGCCACATATTCTTTGACCAAATCCATTTGATATTTTGGAGGCGATTGCGGCTTCATCCTTGCTCAGCTGTGTAATATACCTCAACTCCTTGCCATGGGTGTTTCGACGAACAAGTCCATCTACCACAGGTGATTTCCGTGTTTCAGCGTGACAGAAGTCTGGCCCCACTGTGTATGCTTTGACGTCCTCTGAATTGTCCACTCTCAGGAACTGTTCATAGATGTAGCTTGTACCATCCTCATTCACGGACCGGGGAATAATAAGAGATGGATCGTATTCAGAGCTCTTATTCCCAATTTTTCGAAAGAGCCTTCGTCCACCACCGCCATACTGCTGGTCATTAGGGAAGTAGATATGGATATTATGGTCCTCCCCATTCACGGGTTTTTCGACAAATGGTTTTTTGAAAGTTTTACCATCAACTATAAGTGAATCTCCATCATCTGACAAGGCGACGCTCTTTGTTTTCGAAGCACCTCCTCCAGTTCCGTCTTCAGGGCCCTCGAGTTTAATCCCCGTCAGCTTATGTACGTGTTGGGCGAGATCTGAGGACTCCAGAATTGGCCCACCATCTCGATTAACTTCCAATCTTTTGGGCGTTGGGACGTTCATGTGGTCTAAAATTCTCAAGCAAAGACGCCTATCCCATAGAACCTTCTGCATAGGCAAGTCATTGACGCAGAATGGTTTCCGCAGTCTTGCATAGGCAATGGCCTTGTCCAGCGGGAAGCCATCGGAAAAGAATGCAATAAGAAAGTCACACACAGGCCAATTCTCTACTGCTTCGTCGAGAATGACCTTGTCACCAAATACTATAACCTCAAACCCACCCTTCGACTGAAGGCGTGTTAGGATATTCTGACTTGGCTTGCTTCGCGCTTTAACATCTAGGGCACAGACACCTATTTTCCCAATGGTAGGAGGTGTATACTCCGTTTCACTGACGGAGCTAGTGGCGGTACTTCCACTTAATCGGCGGGGAGCCCGGCTGGAAGAGCGAGTGGATGAATGGTTGCCTCGGCCTTGATTCTCCGGTGCGTCGGATCTGGGCGTCTTGGATTGATTGATTTGGATCCCATATTGATTCCCCTTGAGGGAGATGGATCCTGCGGCATCATAAAGTAAACTGAAAGGCGGTTTATCCGACCGATCCGGGGTGGGGTTCGAAGCAGCGTTGCTTTCGACATCGCCTTCAGAGCAGCTGGCAGATGCGTCATGGTCAGGGGGGCGGTCACAGCCGGAATCCATGAGGTAGAGTAATTGAAGAAACAATCAGTGGCTAATACTTGGGGTCAGCATTGGTCGCTTGCGAAGAGTGTGCTAGGCTTCTGACAGAGCTTGGTTGATAAAATTGATCAACCTTCGATTTGGTTGGTGGGGGGCAGGATTGAGAATAGGTGGGTAGGAGGTTGAGCAGTTAAGGAATGGTGGCGACGGATGGAAATCATGAAATGGAGCCCCGGGCAGCGAAACTAGAAGCAGTACCCGTTAGGTAGAACATAGGTATGAATATATAATCTGATGAGTTTGCTTTGAGGCTATACGTGCACATAATTAATTGACAATTATATCTCCTCTACAATTAAGACCTTTGCACTGTACTCTACAGAACAATGAATGTCTTTCTGGACACAATGTAGTACATGTAACTGCTGTAGATGCATACCTGGGTACATACTGTATGTATGTATGTATGTATATCCATACATGGTACAGTACATACGCGTAGGTAGGTAGGTATGGTAAGGTAGTAGTTACTGTACTGAATTAAGGTAAGCATTCATCATCGTACGGAGTACAATGGGTGGGTCACGTAGGCGGTGCGGATGCCGGATATTTCTATGCTCCGATAAATTGGCAGAAAAAAAAAGAAGGCAAAAAAAAAAAAGGACGGGCAGTAGAGAGGCCCGACTAAGGTAAATGCAGTGAGTCGACCATTTGTGAACCCCGAGAACATTAATCAGCTCCCTACCTGGCCTTTGTTTTTTGAATTTGAATTCGGAAAGCTGCTATTCAAGTGAAAAAAAAAAGGGAAAGGAAGAAAAAGAAGAAGAAGTGGAAAGCATGCCATCCGATCACAATGGCGGCTTTGACCTACCTCTAGCAAAGAGGCAAAAGAGGTTAATTAAGGAAGAGGCCTCTCAGGCATATTCACAAACCACCGGCTCCAAGATTTTCGCTCCATTCCGAGTATGTATCGCTGTTCAATCACAAACTTCACCTTTTCCACATTCCTACCTTGCTTGTCCTCAAGGATACTAATTGGCATTTTGCGTGTAAGACTCTAGGACTGGTCTCATCCACACCAATTCCGTTTACCTGCGTACGCTTAGGAAAAGCTACTTTCCAAATTACGACTTGTGTAGGGCATAGCTTACAAACTTATGACTTAAAGCGAGGACTTACATTGGTCTTTGTGAGCAGACCCCAAACTCCGGAGAGCATCACAGCCACCTTTGCATGGCAGGACAAAGTTTTTGCAGCGTGGGGTAGTGCTCGGCCGGGGTCTTCTCGGGGCATCTGGGTCTTCAAGCGTGGCAAGAAGGTTGCGTCCCTCCAAACAACCGCCGAGTTCATTGAACCGATAGACCGGCTTCTTGTCTTCGGTACTTGGATCGTGGGCTGCAGTAGCAAGTGCATACAAGTGTGGAAAACTAACTCCTACGAACACTACACCACCCTCACCCCTCGGCATGGCATAGACACTACCGAAGATGATGTTTATACAAGTGAAATGTGCAATATGCCAACATACCTCAACAAAATCTTCGTGGGCAGATACGACGGAAGCGTTGACGTTTGGAACGTGAAAACGGGAAAATTGATTTATTCCTTGCTTCCGGAGTCAAGAGAATCGGGCGCCGTGTGTTCAATTCAGCCAAGCCCTGTATTATCTTTAATCGCAGTGGCCTACAAAAACGGCGGGCTGTCCATCATTCACGTCGACACAGGGCGACTTGTTTTAGCATTGAGGAAAAGCTCCTCAAACTTGCACCAGATTACCTCCATCGCCTTCCGGACAGATGGCCTGGGCGCTGGTGCAGACGGCCGGAAGTCGGGTGTCATGGCGACAAGTTGTGTGAACAGTGGTGATGTTACATTGTGGGACTTGAACAATGGTGGCAAGGTTATGGGTATCCTTCGCCGAGCCCATGCAATGTCCCGGGATGAAACAGGGGCCGGGGTTAATCACGTTGAGTTTTTGGATGGTCAGCCAGTGCTTGTCTCATCCGGGAAGGACAATGCGCTTAGAACTTGGATCTTCGACGAGAGCCCATTTTCTCCGATACCTAGGCCTCTGCATTCGAGGCGCGGGCACTCCGCGGCAATCACTACGCTTGGGTTTTTACCCCCAGTCTCTGAAGATTCCGAATTTGGTGGGAAATGGTTGTTGAGCGCCAGCAAAGACCGCAGTCTTTGGGGATTCAGCGTTCGGAAAGACAGCCAGAATACCGAAATATCACAAGGACCTATCGAACGCAAGGCAAAGAAACTTCCGGCTCCAGCCAATCTTCCCACGGGGAATGAAACACAAGATAACCTCAAGGCCCCAGAGATCACCTGCATCGCTTGCTCACTTAACCGCGATGGGGGGATTGGAGTTACGACTTCGGGTTCAACATGGGCGAATCCCAAACTCGCGAATACATCCGAATCGAATAAAACCGGTTGGGAAAGTATAGTGACCGGGCATCGCGGGGACAAGTATGCTCGGACGTGGTTCTGGGGCAAGAAAAAGGCTGGACGTTGGGCGTTCGAGACTAGCGATGGAACCGATGTAAAGGTGAGCACCTTGTCCCTGGAGGAAGTAGGAGGATTCTATATCTGATTGGATCACATACAGAGTGTCGCACTTTCTCAATGTGGAACATTTGCTTTGATTGGTTCTGCAGGAGGCTCGGTTGATATGTTCAACATGCAATCAGGTGCCCATCGACAAAGCTTTCCTTGTCGTAGCATGAAAAAGAAGAACAACATTGCCGACAGCAATCCCAGACATACTAAAGCAGTCACCGGCTTGTGGATAGATGGGCTGAACCAAACCGTTATCAGTTGCGGTCTTGATGGGAATGTTAAGGTAAGCCCAAACAAGTCTTACGAATTTTGATTCGAATTGAGTCTAAGCATCTCTCTTTACAGTTTTGGGATTTCACTGCCGGCTCATTAGTGGATGAGTTAAACTGGCACCCGATGGCATCTGTCACTGGACTTCGCTACAGCAGCGCCAGTGAATTGCTTGCATTCAGCTGTGATGATCTTTCAATCCGCGTTGTCGACATTGAAACAAGGAAAGTAGTGCGCGAGTTTTGGGGTTGTGTAGGTCAAATCAATGACTTCACATTTTCTGCCGACGGGCGATGGATTATTGCTGCATCCATGGACTCCGTCATTCGAGTATGGGACATGCCGACCGGGCATCTCATTGATCTCTTTCGCTTACCGAATACTTGCACGTCGCTGTCTATGTCGCCAACAGGGGAGTTCCTGGCTACGTCGCATGCCAATGGCGTGGGAATAAATCTATGGTCCAACAGAAACGTCTTTGTGCCGGTATCGACTCAAAATCTCGATGAGAACGACGTCTCCGATATGGTGATTCCTACAGCATCTGGGGAGCAGGGCACTGACGCTATCGAAGCTGCTTTCCTTGACGCACCTGAACAGGTTGAGTCAGCAGGCCCTATACTATCCAACGGACAGCTCAGTCGAGATATGATGACTCTCAGTGTTGTCCCAAGGAATAGATGGCAGGCCCTCGTTAAATTGGATCTAATTCGGGTGAGTTATATTCAGCGTTCTACCTTACCCTTGAGTCTGTTTCTTATCCGTCAATAGGAACGTAACAAGCCCCTAAGCCCGCCGAAAGTATCCGAAAAAGCACCTTTCTTTCTTCCAGCAGCGTCTAAAAGCGCTTACGACGAGGATGTGGATTCTTCACTGTTAGCGGAGAGCACTGCTGCTGAGCGCTCACGGATTGCCAGGTTGCAACATTCCCACGGTAAAAACGCAGGCTCTCAGTTAACATCACTCCTTGAAAATGGACGGGTATCTGGGAATTTCGATCCTTTCATGGAACATTTGAAGTCTCTATCCCCGGCAAAAGCAGATCTCGAAATCAGATCACTTAATACACGAGTCCTGAACAGACGCTCAGAATTATCAGATTTTATCTGCGCGCTCTCTGGCCGTCTTTCGTCAAAAAAGGACTTTGAAGTTGTGAACGCTTGGATGGCAGTGATTCTCAAGATACACGCCGATGTCATTGCGGAATGCTCTGCACCTGAATCGGTCGAATTGGGGAGTAATGTGTTAAGGGACGCCTTGGTTGCCTGGACTAAAATACAGCAACAAGAAGCACAACGCCTAGCTGGGAGGGTAGGATATTGTCGAGGTGTTGTCGGATTCTTGAGGTCTTCTCGTTGACGATGCACAAGAGTTACCCGTATAGCAATTACCAAGTTCAGCGCCCTCCACCTGTGTTCTTTCATTTGGTTTTCTTCTTGCTTTTGTACGGTAGCAATAACATGCATGATGAAATTTGTAATGTCATTAATTCATTCGCAGTCAAGGAGGTCATATATATTATGAGGTGTCATCGAACAAGCCTTGCGATTCTCGGTCGGGCCTGTTGAAATCGGTGTCAAGGACGGCAAAGATTGAGAACAAGCCGAGTCTCCAACAAGTTGAAAAAATCTCTCAACTAGATCACTGATAGTTTGTGTGGATAAATTGCATCTTATGGTCTGACTTGCAGGACGCATCATAATATGAAGAGCCGGGAGGCTAGCAAGCAAGTTTCGCAATTGCGGGGCAGCTCCATTACCAAGAGCTGTAGTTTCGAGCAACTGGGATAATATTCTCAGAGAATAGAGCCCGGCCAGTATTTGCGCATTAAGATGTATATCGGCCCATTCCAATTCTTCGCCCATATGACCAAGACTTAGAAATCGGGTTAGTCGCTCCGGCTCGGGCAACATCTTACCCCCTTCGGTGTCGTGGATTTCGTAGAGAACAAACATTATCCAGTAGACCGGTAAAGATGTACTGGCTCCCAACGCAGCATCGAACGAGCTCATGCGCGCCCAGATCTCGCCCATTTGAGAATCGATCAGCTCTGCATCGTCAAGATATATTGGGTGAGATGCGATTCTTGCCCCTCGTCGAACGAATTCACTAATAAAACGGTGCCTTTCCGATGTCGGGCGCGATGAGTTGAGAATTGAGTATGCTAGTGTCCTAAAAGATAGGCCTGATACCCATGCACAGCGCCGGGCGTGGTCTTCGTTAAGTATTGCCAGGTATACGTGCGGCGCCTGGCATGGCGCGAATGCCTCTTGCAACTCATACTGCCAATACAATTCTGATACTCTCGCGTCAAGGTCCCGGGGTGTTTTGCGGCTTGCATTATCAATTGAATCAAGGTCGTACTCTTGAACAAAAACACGAAAGGCTGGCGATTCTGCGAGTTGCCCGTCCACTTGATTGGTTTGTCGTATTAATTCCGCCAGTCGTATGTGCGGTTCACTCTGAAGGCCATAAGCTAGGCGAGTTAGATCCTTGATTCCCAGCCTTTTGGCCAGCGAAGCAGGACATATTCTCAAGGATTTCACCTGGGAAGAAGCGGGGGCTAATTGATCCCAGTTTAACATATAAAGTGAATTCAATAGCACAACCGAGCCACAGGGTCCGAGATCATATAGTAATAAGTCCGAGTCGTTTGTGAGTATAGCTGAGTTTGAGTGTCTTGCCGTACGAGCGCAATGGGCATCTGCTTCCCCCGGTACCATCACAGTAATGTCTGCCCAGGGAAAGTCTGCCAGGTAAAGCTGGGGTATAGACATGACATCCTTAGCAACATTGAGTATATTTGCTCGGTTCCACCTGTGTTTGAGATCCTCAAAAACCGCTGGAACGATGAAAGGGTTTTCAGGCAGTGTGTTGTGCTTGGTAGAGATACTCCGAGTCGCAAAGATCTTTTCAGGGCCAACCACACGATCACTACGGGGGGCGTCAGAGCATGAGAAACCCTTCTGAGTTTTCAAACAGAATTGTTCTAGTTTTCTTCGTGACTTTTCCAACCGAGTAAGACGGATCTCGCGCTTGTGGGGAGGAAGAGCCCCATCAAAGCATATTTCTTCACTTGGAAAGAATTAGTAGCTTGCTTGCATCATACCCATCATCATGGAACTTGAGTGCGAGGGTAGCTTACATCTGAACTCCGACTATGGTCAATTGAAGAAGGCATATCATCACCCCGCAGCTCACTTCGTTGCATGTTGGCTGAATATCAGGGGAATTTACTTTGGAATCTGACCAAGCAAGCAAGCGCGAGAATACGTGGTAGACCAAACTAGGGCCATCGATCACGATAGATTCAATATTTTCATGGTCCTCCCACTCGGTGTTAACTCCGCGCCCAAGTAATACAGTGTCTGAAAATGGGAGCAGATGCTGTGTTAGGCGGGGAATACCCATGATTACCAGAGCAGATAAGCCCAGCTGAAGTATTCCAAAGGTGTCAACACTTTTTGACTACTCCAATAAGCAAACTATTAGTGGTAACTAGTTAGCCGCAGACTGATTTGCCAAATTTTATGAGACCTAATAACCTTGCATCTATATAAGAAGGCGGTGTAAGACCTCGGGCTTATAGCTCGGTGTGGTCATAGATGTGACGGTCTACAAGGGAGGTTAATAAAAGACAGGCTTATTTCTGAATTATAATTAAAGAATTGTCCTATAGAAAATGAAAGATATCTAAAAGGAGATATAATTTTGCGATTCCCTTAATTAACTAACTAAGAGTTAACGTATTCCACAAACGAGCGGCCACCACACACGAGCGGCCACCTGTGTATTCCCATAGAAAATGGCCATTTTATAGACTTGAATAACACAACTATAATATAATCCTAGAATCTGTGGAAACAGTGGGGTATATAAGTAGCTACCCTTAGTATAAAAAGAGTTTTTTAAAATTTTTAAATGATTTTTTGAAGCCTGTATGGCGGGTTTTATTATAAAATACAATAATATGACTGTGATTTATATTACCTAGTTTATTAGGTATTGTAAAGGCTTAATAATGAAATTTATATACATTATGAAGTATTATAATATATAATAATTATTATTTAACCTTGAATAATGTATTGTGGCTGTGTTATTCAAGTCTATGAAATGGCACCTTTTTATACTCTAATATCTCAACAACAAGTAGGTTTAGAGGTATAGAGTCAAATATATAGTCTATTAATATAGTCTAAATTAAGTATCTCAAGTTTTAGCCCACTAAACTAAGTAGATCTTTAGGTAACATATATAACAGCTGTATTTTTGGTATATTATAATATTCTAGAATTAGAATATAAGACTATAGAGTCTAAAAAGAAGTATTTGTAATCCTGAAGGTATATATATCTTGAATAATTTATACCAGAAAATTCTTTAATTTTATATTAATTAATTAAATTATTTTAAAGAAACAATCCTTTATACTGAAAATTTCTTTAATTTGAAAGATAATAATATTTCCTTTTAAAAAGGCTAAATTTTAGCTCTTATAAATTTTAAATTAAAAAATTATTATTGTTATATCCGTTGAAGCTTAAGCAGGTCTTTAGTGTGACGGGGGCTCAATCTAGAATGAGAAGATATTCCATTCTTCAACTATCTAGGTAGCTGTTCAACGAGAATAACAAACATGAAGAGAAGGAAAGAAGATCCGGTAGTGGGGCTTCCCAGGTGTAAAGAACGACCAAGTCACCTGACCAGCCTAACCCGTGACCACGAGCGTCACATTTAGTTAGTCTATATCAGATTGTTTCGGATAACGCTATTGCGTGAGCCCCCGCCCCCCCCCCTCCCTAACCAGTTGAGTCTCATGTCCGGGTGCAATCCTAGGACCCTGACGCTCTTGGATGGGTATTTAATCACGGGCCCGATGTGTATTGGCGTGCAGTTAAAACAGTATAAATTATAAAAAATTTGATAAATATTTATCAGCTCTTTATTATATAATTATATTATTATTACCGCCTCTACTAGTACCTAAAGATTCTGCCGGAAACGCTTAAACCCGGGATTTCTCAATTAAACATACTTCATTTAAGTCGATAACCCGCTAAATTAAAAGTGGTTTAAAGGCCGGTTTAATATAATAACGAAAGAAAATATAAATCGGAGTGTTTAATATAGAAATTAAAATTTATATAAAGGTTGGTTATTAAAATCAGATTTTATATAAAGAAAAAAAATCGTACCCAAGACTCTAAATAATTATGGGAGTTGATCCTGCCACACCCGCCACGCGCCAATAGTATTGCTTTCCGCCCCAATCCACATCACATGACCCCGTGGCCTAGCGGTTTCGGGGTTTAGTGTCGGGCGATAATGATACGCAATAAATATACTACACAACAAAACATCCGAGGTTTAAAACTAATAAAGATGGAAAGAACAGCTTTTGCCAGCTGTTCTACAACTTAATTAAGCTTTAAACAGGGAAATTCGATTCAAAACCCGAGGGAAAAAAAGATTTTTGTTATGGCGAGCGTGAGAATTGATCCCGTGTCTGTCGCGCGTATATTTCTGTCGTATTTTTAGACTGATTCGTAATGCAAGCGAACGATAAGGTAAGCAGGCAAACGGGCGACGAGATAAGCCTACGACAAAGTAAACAGACGACAATGAACAGGCGATAATATAACGTGATAAAGAGGTTTTAAACGAAAGAAGAGATTAGTCTTATACATTAAATTCTATCTGTCTAATCTACAGTACATACAGAATACTATTCATATAAATGGACGTAAAGTCATAAAGCTGTCAAGCCGTCAAGCTGTCAAGCCGTCAAGCTGTCAAGCCGTCAAGCTGTCAAGCCGTCAAGCTGTCAAGCCGTCAAGCTGTCAAGCC